CCCGCCGCCTCCGCCGCCTCCTCCACGACCAACCCCATCACCAACCCCCCCTCCCCACCTCCCATGCTCTCCCTACTCCTCCACCACATCCACAAATCTGCGGCCGAGCTCTCCCGCCCCCTTACCACCACCCACCTCGCCCCTGCCGCCCTACTCGCCGCCGGCTTCGTCGACGTCACTACCGTCACGCGCTCCCTCCCCATCGGCATGTGGCCCGCGACCGAGCGCGAGCGGTCTCTCGGGAAAATGTGGATGGTGTGCGTGCTCGAGGGGCTGGAGGCTGAGGGGCTAAGGTTGTTGACGCGGACCGGGTGGGAGGTGAAGCATGTGATGGAGCTAGTGGGGGCCGCGAAGGAGGAGGTGATGGCACAGGTGGGGAGGGGAGGGGAAGATGGGGAGAGGGTGGGGTGGGCGTCGACGGTGAGGTTTGTGAGGGGGCGGAAATCGGGGTAGGTTTAATGAAGGTTAGGTCGGGTTTTATGAGGGTTTAGGAAGGGACGGGAGGGAAAATTGTAAGGTGGCCATGGGCCGCTGGTTGGGACTGTACTAATATTGATAAGAGTGTCTTGGAGCGCGGACATGATGGTACTGGATGATTTGGAACACGATAGGACGAACGGCAAGATTGTATGGATGGATGTACGTCACGAAAAATTTTCAAAAATCAATAAACGCCCCAATCCCGCTAGCGAGACCGCTTGCGTCTCCTCGAATGCTGCATAGCCAAACCCTCGTCAATGCCGTAATGATCATGAATGTACATGCCGCGTGCGTGGTATCCTGGCGCCTCTGCACGTCGTCATGCCACCCTCCCCTGTTTGCGACCTACCCAAACGCCACGCCATGCTAGAGAAACCCGCCATCACATAATGCTGCACTCCCGCTCCGACGACTTCGAGGACCCCTCCCCCGCATCATCCGGATCCGTCGGCGCCTTTCGCGTCATGCTCCTTAACCGCAACTTACTCTTCCTATTCCGCGTCGACTTCAACCGCCGCAACCCCGTCTCCTTCTCCTTCTCCTTCTCCCTCTCCCGCGGCTCCACGCTCCCCTCGGCCGACGACCCCCGCGGCGTCCGCTCCACCGCCTTCCCTTTTCCCCCATCATTCATCCCCCCCCCGTCGTCCGACGACCGCGCAACCGAAGCACCCGCATCCGGCGCCTCGCTCTCGCTCGTCGACCACTGCCCGATCAGTGACAGCCGCTCGGCGCTCATCTTCTGCAACCGCGAGAGTGACAGGCTCAGCCGATGTTCCTCGCTCTGCGTGCTGGGGTTGGCGCGGCGGGGTGGCGGGGTATCAGTGTCGGTTGCGGCGCTGCGGATTTTCCGGCCGAGGCGCGGCATGCCGAGGAAGGTGGACCGGGTTTCGTCGGCGGGGGTGGTGGGTGCAGTGCGGCCGCGCGCGTCGAGGGCGGCGAGGAGGGTGCCATCGAGGTGGGGGGGTTCGTCGAAGGTGAGGCTGTGCGGGTGATTGCTGGAGGTAGAGGGGCGGCCGGAAGATTGGAGAGAGTCGGTTGTGGCGGGGTTGGGGTCGGGGTCAGTGGTGGATTCGGCGAGGCTGGTCGCGAAGGTGTCGACGCTGGGGTCGGTCATGGTCATCGGGGTGGTGAGTTGAGAGTGGATGATCTGTGGGATTTTGGGGATGGGAAGATGGCCGTTGGCCTCGGCGTACGATGGAGGGCTATCGTAATCGGTGTCTTCCACAGGAAGGATACGGTAGAATAGGAGGTAGGGAAGTTCGTTTTCCAAGGCTTGGTGGATGTCCACCCATCGAACCCGCTGATTCACCTCGAGGTCATCGAAAAGCATCCATTTCGACTCGACGCCAGGTTCGGTGGACGAGAGTTTTCGTCCCGCGACGGTGGGTCGCACTAAACATATGTAATGGCCTGAATCCACGGATTTGCCGCGATGGCAGATCACCGCTTCGAGCATCAGCCGGAAGTCTTTGAAGTACGGTTCTTCGCGCTCATAATCCGCTTCCGAAATAAAATGGGGTATCGCTAGTTTTAAAGGAATATCTATACGGGTGGTTTTCCGCGTCCGCTCACCGTTGGCCGCCACGGAGTATCGTTTGAGACAGATCCCGAGAACCGGACGATTCGACGCAAAGTGAGCGGCGACTTGCTCATCCGTCTGTGGAACAGTATCCGCAGTAGACCAAGGGATCAGTTTAAAGAATTGCCACGCTTGCATTAGCACTTCTCGCTTGAACCTCTGGACGACTGGGTGAGCGTAGGAGACTGTCCAATCGTCTCGTGCTCGCTCCTTCTTGTCTATTGGTATAGTCGGTTCACGTCGAAATCCAAAGATGCTATCGTGTTGCGGGAGGGTGTGAGGGGATCCAGGAGAAGGGAGGTGCATGCCCCCATGCGGTGCTGCTATCGGTGTAGGTGTCTCCGACTGGGCCACCTCCCGGGTCTCGACGTACGAAGACCTCCCCTTCTCGTCGTCGAACGATCGGACGGACTGGAGGGTGTTTCGGCGGTGGAGATGCCTGCGCACTTCGACCCGGCTGTTGAAATAGGATTCAAGACACCCCTCGAGGGTCAGCGTGCTCCCATCGTGGGGTGGATCGGGCACAGCGACCTCCAGAATCCGTTCGTTCACGACCTTGTGGTCATCCTTCGCGTCTTCCTTGCCGGTGTGGTAGAGGTCCACTTTCAGGGTGAGGAGCGGCAGTCCCATCTGCTCCGTGATGAATGCAAACGCTTCGGAGACGTCCTGTTGCATGGTTTTTGACGCGTCCGTCCAACCGCAGGCGGCAAGGGCATTTTGTATATGTTCGGTCTGCTCAATGGTTAGCTCCGTCATCCCAGGCCAAGCATCGAGCGGCGTACAATGTCCTTGGAGATTAGGTATCCCCCCCTTAACATGTTCACCCATAATCGAATCAGAGCGGCGAGCCGGCGTCGTTCTGGGGCTTGGGAGTGGTCGCTGATCATCGGTTCGAAACTGTCAAGTTGACAGAACATGGAGAACAGAAGGGAATCCAGGTAGCAGGTGACGTTGTCGCGGTTCACGGCGCCAACCAGGTTCCGGTTCCAGTTGAAGCTGCGGAATCCCCCATTGACGGAGTCTTCCAAGATCATGAGGAGCTCGACAGCCTTGTCCACGTCCCCTTTGACCGACTCTGCACGGAGAGCGTATTCTGCTTGGGGCTCTCGGATAGCCACGATCCCATCGGTGGTCAGACGTTGAAGTATGGTTTTGACCTATTCCCATACATGTCAGATATGAATAATGTCGCATATCCGCAAGAGGACACACCTTCTCTTGTTCATGTTTCTCATGCTTCTCGTGTTTCTCATGCTTCTCGTGTTTCTCATGTTTCTCATGGTGCTTTTTCTTCTTCTCTTCGCCGGGGAGGGTAAACACATCGTAAATCTCCTTCGGAGAGCCTTGCTGCTACAGGCAGTTAGCAACCACGCACCAATGCCCCAAACACACCATATCATCGGCTCGCAGGAAGTAGAATCGACGTACCCTGCCATCGTTGCTCGTCCGCTTTGACTTCTTGTCCCGCCGACTGAGAAACCTACTGACAGCGCTCATAATCCAAACGAGCACGGAGTCCGACCCTCAGGAAACCATGTCTTGCGGGGAAGAGTGTGAAGTCGATCGGAGCAATTGAGGGAAGGGAGATTGCGTGGATGTTTTGACCGAGCGAACCAAATATGGTTGCCTGTCACATCAGGTAGCAGTCATTTGAGGAGGATGCTCGTTACGTGTTCGAACCAAATTGAGGTGACAGCGGAGGTCTGGTGAATCGAAACGTTTTGGTGGGGAGATTAGATCTGGAGGGGTCAAATGGAGGGATCAATGGAGCATGGGACTAAGAGAATTGAGTGAAGTGAAGTCCGCGCTGCAAGAATAAGAGTGGTGTTAACGTGAATGGATTTATGAAGCGGTAACATAAATGCTCGTGAAACTACTCCTCCTGTCACCTGTGATAGGCATCGAGCTGTTCCTGTTCCGACTTCAGACGTTTGTGTTCTTGCCACCAGGCAGCGATGGAACGCTGTAATTAGTAGATCTGTATGAACTGAGACCAGGGTGCTAAATTGGTTTGACTCTGCCTTGAGCCCTTTGACTTGGGCGGCTTCGACTCAGGTCCGGCCCCCACGCTAACCGCCCATTGCCAATGTCAACAGCAGTGAACAGCTGGGATTTCGAGCCAGGAACACAGCGGCCATGCCCATTAAGGCCCCGGTTATATCCCGATTTTACCCCCATTTTACTATAGTCCAGGCTGCCCTGTATTGCGATATTCAATACCACTAACTTGTCATATCCAGTAAATTGCACTTCACCTCCAATCATTAGCCGGCCCAGTGTCATAGCGCTGTAATTTACAACAGCGGCTGTATTTTCACCGAAGCTTCAAAGTCCGTCCCTGTTCTTGGAGATCTCGAGACATCGTGTGTTGATGCTGAAAAGTTTCCATCACACCGTTCAAGATCCGCAACACCCGATCCCACCACCATCCCACCTCCTCCTCATCTTCCTCCTCCATGGCTCTCCGTGAAAGCGGCCGCCAATGGCTGTCCGTCTTCTCGAAACCCGCCGTTCGTCCGACATCACTCGCTCCGAACACCAACGGACAGCGAAGATGGGCGACGACAAGATCCCACTTCAAGGATCTGGAATCAAATTCATCGTTCAACACACCGCCCGCCTCAGCTGATGTGATCAAGGGGTACAATCCCATCGCGCGCAGCGCGGCGCGAAAAGGACAGCTTCCACGCTCGGGGTAAGCAGCGGGTTGAAATCTACGATATTCGACATTCGACGACTAACACCTCACCAGCTATCAATACCGCTCCCCTAAACACTACCGCGGGCCCCTCCACCCCCATCAACCCCCCCCTAAATCCGACCCCGCCTCCCGCGAATTCATCCCCGGTCCCTTCACCTACCCCCGCCTTGAACAAACCTACCACAGCACCATTGCCCATGACATCCTCGCCATGGAATACGTCCACTTCCCCCCCGGCCAGGCGTCCCCGGACCACACCCAGCGCCTCCGTCGATGGGAGGGCGACTCGCCATACTTCGCGAACCGTTCGCCGCGGATGCCGCGCGGTGGCCGCCGGTTGAAGCTCGTGAAGCGGCCGACGACGTTCCGTACGATCCCAAAGGTCGAGCGGGTGACAGTGCATTCATTCGTGCCGGCGGCGGCGGACGATAGTGCGTTTCTGCATGTGGCAGGGATGGCGATCCAGGCGATCACGGGTGTGCGGGTGGAGTCGCATCAGTCGAAGCGGTCGGTGTCGCAGTGGGGATTGAGGGCGGGGAAATATGTCGCGGTCACGGCGGACATTACTGGTGAGGATATGTATGACTTCATCAGTAAGACGGTGCATATGGTGCTGCCCAAGATTAAGGATTGGAAAGGTATCTCGGTGGTCAGTGGAGATCACAGTGGGAATGTGAGCTTCGGGCTCAAACCCGAGGCGGTGGCCTTCTATCCGGAAATCGAAGTGAATTACGACATGTGAGTGAACGCTTCCGATGTACTGAGCGCTGAGTCTAACGGTGTATAGGTATCCGGCCAAGATGATCCCGGGTTGTCATATTACGATTCACACATCAGCGACTACGGACAAGCAAGCCCGGAATCTCCTCTCAGCGATCGGGATGCCTTATGAAGGTACCCTGAAGCGGTACACCTAGTGTGTGTAAGATACTCTGTACAAAACCTGTGATTGCATGTGGGTGGGAGTTTGGGTCAGCGATTGTCATATCTCGGAGGAAGTGTAGATCATTGGATTATCTAGAGGATTGGATGTCGAGATAGACCCATTAAGATTCATTATCAACCAGTCAAGACATGTTCAAGTTCAGGGATAGACAAGTCTATGATGTGACCTTGAATATAATCCCCAATTCCGAAGTACCGTATTGCCTAGTGACTTAATTCTCATTGCACGAATCGCCTGCTTTCAAAGATCTTACTCAAGCTCTCCTGTGGACTATCAATTGATATGATGATATCCCATCATGCAATTCTCAAGCAACACGGCACCAAGATCTGCATGGGGCTTGAACAATCATGGCATCTCTAAGTCTCCAAATGTTCACTCCGCTGACACATCAGGAGAAACCAAAGGTAAAGTGGATTGCTCCGGTCACGTGATCACGCGTCGCGCCGAACTTTTGCCCCGCGACGTGCGGCCAATCATTCGTCGCAGCGTAAGGCAGCCATCGCCAATCGGTCCCTATTTCGTGTTGCACCGCAGACCTCCCTTCGCAAGCAGAGTCCTCTTCTTCCTCTTCTTCATCGATACATCCCCTTCGAGTCCTTCTTTCACACTCTCGTTCCCCCTCCTTGTTTATCCTGAGCTGAACTCATTTGCGAGACGTGGATTTAGCAGATTTGTCGTGGTTTCGTCCTTTCGTTCATGCAACCCGCAGTGGTGAATACCCTTAGTGACTCACTACCACTGATTCGCCCTTTGATGAGTGTCAATCCCAGTGAGTTTATCTCCAACCAGTGTATTTTACGTCCTCTTCATCCATTGCTTTCGTCGCTAACATGAAATCCAATGCATTAGCGACCATATGGCCCCCTCATCATCTCGTGCTCGGTTCCCCCGAAGCACACAATCTATGTCGATGAACCCCCTCAATCCCTCAGGGATTCCGACTCCCGGTGCGGTTCAACCCGAACCTCCCAACCCTTATTCACGCCGCGTGCTCCAAGAAGTCGCTATCCCGGTCCACCGCCCCAACCGGTCCACAAAGAAGTCACCTGCCGTGGCATCCGTCCAAGACTCCGCAAGCACTGCGTCTGGAAGTGGAACGAGGGATACATCGGTCGATTTCGATACCCCGGATACGAGCCTGATTACTACACCTGCCGAATCCTCCAGCGGTAGCGCAAAGACGGGCATGACGACCACGATCCAAAGTAACAAACGGAAGAGAACTTCCCACAGCTCCATCTCTGGTGAGGGGGCGCAAGCGGACGTGTCAGCTGATGCGGAATTGGCACAACAATTGCAAGAAGATGAGTACAATCAAGTTGGAAACGAGGCTGGACCAAGCCGCTATGAGCAGGGTCTTGCCAGTCGTCTTGTGGAGGATGCACACACATCCGAATCTGAAAGCGAAGAGTCGGACTTTGAGCCTCTCGCCGTACAAGGCAAGCGAAGGAAGTTCCTTTCTTCCATCCCAAAGCCGGCGACGAAGGCTCGTGAAGGTACTAGGAACACAAAGAACCAGCAATCGGCCCCAGGTGCCGTTGAAGACGACGCTGCACTTTCATCTGATCTTTCGTCCGTTTTTGAGTTTAATGACTCCTCTTTTGTCGATTCTGACGATGATGATGCATTAGACCCTAATATCCCAATAGATGCTGATGCGCTACTAAACCTAAACACGCAACGGGGTTGGCGAAGATATCGTGAGCAAGTTAGAGAGGCGAGAATGAATCGCATGGAGCAACGAGCATTCGACCGGAAGCAGAGGCGGCGAATGAAACTTGAAGGATCTCATCCGGAGATTAAGACCATGTGGAAGGAACTTGAGAACGTCCCGATTATCACGCCCGTTAAAGCCCAGCAGCCGGCTTCCATTACTCGCACCCTGAAACCATTCCAATTGGAAGGTCTTGACTGGATGGTCAAACAAGAGAAGACCCATTACAAGGGCGGACTTCTTGGTGATGAGATGGGCATGGGGAAAACTATCCAAGCGGTTTCTCTCATCATGTCCGACCACCCTGCCCAAGATCCTACCTTGGTTGTTGTCCCGCCTGTTGCGTTGATGCAGTGGGCTAACGAGATCCGTGAATATACGAACGGCCAACTGAACGTTCTTGTGTATCATGGCTCCAACGCCAAATCCAAGAACCTCACGAAGAGTCAAATCAAGAAGTTCGATGTGATCATGATCTCCTACAATAGTCTCGAGTCTCTATACCGTAAGGAGACCAAGGGATGGACCCGTGGGGACGAGATTATTAAAGAAGATTCACCCATGCACTGCATCAAATTCCATCGCATCATTCTCGACGAGGCCCACAGCATCAAGCAACGGACCACCGGCGTCGCCAAGTCATGCTTCGCTCTCCAAGGAACCTACAAGTGGTGCCTGTCGGGAACGCCGGTGCAGAACCGGATCGGAGAATTCTTCTCTCTGCTTCGCTTCCTCGAGGTCCGTCCGTTCGCCGACTATTTCTGCGAGAAGTGCAGCTGCGCGCAGCTGCATTGGCAGTTGACCGAGGATCACATGTGTGCGAGCTGCGGGCACAGTGGAGCAGAGCACGTGTCCGTCTTCAATCAGGAGTTGCTGAACCCGATCACCGGTGACAGCGCGACGGACAGGGAGGAGGCGTTGGGGAAGTTGCATATGATCACGGCTCGAGTGATGCTTAGGCGCATGAAGAAGGATTACACGGCTTCGATGGTAATTCTTCCGCTATTTTCGACCCGGCAATCAACCGCTAACGATCAATATCAGGAATTGCCTCCCAAAGAGGTCCTCATCCACAATGAGTTCTTCGGCGAGATCGAGCGTGACTTCTCCAAGAGCATCATGACGAACAGCACTCGTACATTCGATCGATATGTGTCGCGGGGTGTCATGCTCAACAACTACGCCAACATCTTCGGTCTCATCATGCAGATGAGGCAGGTCGCCAACCATCCCGATCTCCTCCTCAAGAAACATGCTGAGATCGGCCAAAACGTCCTCGTGTGCAACATCTGCGACGAACCCGCCGAAGACCCCGTCCGATCGGCGTGTAAGCACGAGTTTTGCCGCACCTGCCTCAAAACCTATGTCCAGTCTAGCGAAGGCGCCGGGGAAACGGTGGTGGAATGTCCCCGCTGCCATATCGGGCTCAGCATCGACTGGGAGCAGCCGGAGATAGTGCAGGATGAGGAGCTCGTCAAGAAGAACTCCATCATCAACCGCATTAAGATGGACGACTGGACCTCCTCCACCAAGATCGAGATGCTCATCTATGAGCTGTACAAGCTGCGCAGCAAGAAGCAGACCCTCAAGTCCATCGTCTTCTCCCAGTTCACCTCCATGCTGCAGCTCGTCGAGTGGCGCCTCCGCCGGGCGGGCTTCAACACCGTCATTCTCGACGGCAGCATGAGCCCCGTCCAACGCCAACGCTCCATCGACTACTTCATGAAAAATCCCGACGTCGAGGTCTTCCTCGTCTCACTCAAAGCCGGCGGCGTCGCCCTCAACCTCACCGAAGCCTCCCGCGTCTTCATCGTCGACCCGTAAGTCCCTCCATCTCCCGTATCCGTCCTCTCACTAACCCCCGCAGCTGGTGGAACCCCGCCGCCGAATGGCAGAGCGCCGACCGCTGCCACCGCATCGGCCAGCGCCGGCCGTGCGTCATCACGCGGCTGTGCATTGAGGACTCGGTGGAGTCGCGCATGGTGATGTTGCAGGAGAAGAAGGCGCGCATGATCAGCGGGACGATCAACAACGACAAGGTCGCGATGGAGAAGCTGACGCCGGAGGATCTGCAGTTCCTCTTCCGGGGGACGTGAGGTTTGGTCGCTACGTTGTGGTGTTTGGTTATTTTTCTTGGGACTTGCGGAGATGGAGTATGGTTAGAAGTTCCATTAGCGAGTGACCATACGTTTATTTGAGCGGTCGGTGCTAATCGGGGTCGGCGCTTTCATGACTGGATGGATTCATGAAGTCGATTTCGGCGATGGAGGGATGGTTGATAGGGATGGTTTTACGCTTTCGGCTGTAATTCCATACCAGTGTAAGATGAATCAAGCGTCATTACATATTCAAGGGGTTCTCTCGCACACCCCAGGGCAAGTCGTCGACGATCATTTGCATTTTTATTCCCTAGTTATGAAATCACTGCATCGTTCTATCATTCCATCGACTCCACAGCATCTGGCGAATGGTCTAAGAATCGGTGACCATATTGTTGTCGTCGCTGTCCCGGCGGGCGTCTTTGCGGTGTCCATTACTGGTAAGCATCGTGTAATTTATATCTGCGTTCCCCAACAATAAAAAAAGAGCAGATAATAATAACGGACGATGAATGTCCCATGGTTTGATATACGAAGACAGGTGTTTGGGCATATCTAATATCAGTCCTCAAGGTTCATATTGAGGTTCCGCGGTCCTTCCCATTCATGTTCCTCAACTGTTACTAGTTGATTGTCTAAGTTATTTGGTTCCGTTCTGCTTAGCTCCCAGTAATCCATTTAGCGTACCGAATCTCCTCATCCCCGCGATACACAATAACACAAATGTAGCTTCCGCTCTGTCATGCACTCGTGCTCCTTCGGAAACCTTCCGAGAACGCCCACGTCGATCATTCCAAGGGTCCCTGGCAAGGCGCATGGAAGCATGCGGCATAGTCAATCATTCTTCAAATCGGGAGAAAAGACATCATAGCATGTTTGCTTGATAGTTCCGCCACCCGCCTGATTGCGTCTCGTTTTTAAGTTCTGGGAGCAATCCCAATCCCGCGTCGCGCAGCCACCTGCTGCGACAACCTCCCTTACCTTCCTCTTTACCCCGAGCATTGAAAACAGGAATCATAATATCCCAAGATCCATCGCCTCCGAACGCGTCGCATCCCGCTCCTCAGCCCCCCGATCCCTCGCCGTCGAAACCCGTCCCCATCATGTCAGACCACGACAACTCCCCCCGCCACCCCTCCTTGCGCGGCTACCTCCCCCTCTCCGAAGACGTGAACCCCCTATCTACGCGCGGGCAGTCGCTTCCGGGCCTGATCCAGAACCGAAGCTCCTCGAACCTCGCGCTGCTGCGCCGGACGTCGGTGTATCAGCTCGCGGGGGCGCTGGAGGATGCGGAAGATGGGCGACCCAGGTCGACGTTGGGGCATGAGCATGGCGGATGGGAGTCGGAGAGTCGGAGGAATAGTTTGCTAGCGCAGATGCCGGCGAGTTTGATGACGCCGCAGATGAGGAGCCAGAGGTTGATTGGGAACAGCAATCCGAGATATCGGTGGTGAGTTTGGTCTGCTAGTGGTTCGCTTGAAGAGCAGCGTCGGGACTGACTTGGGTTACCTTAAGGGAACAATATTACAAAACAGAAGAGCAATTGAAAGGGATGAAAAGACCAATGTAAGGCATCATGATCAGAGGCATCGGACATTTTACTAAAAAAATGTGCCATCCAGACGGAAATACTACGAACAAAACAATCAACTCATCCAGCAATATATCTTCATCGACCGCCTCCTCGACTCCTCCCTCCCACACAACCTCATCCAAGAATACCAACAGTCCCTCACCATCCCCTCTACCATCAACGAAGACTCCGGCTCCGCCGGTTCCAGCTCCCCTCCTCTCAGCCGGGACGACTCTTTTCTCCACCCACCGAACGGCGCGGCCGATGCAGAAAACTCCAACGGCGCAACAATCCGGGTGAAACGCACGCCGAAAAATATCTACAAACTTCCTGAGGAGACGACACCGCTCCTCTCGAGCAGCAATGACTCCGACGCACCTTTCGAGACCTACAAAGTCCCCGCCTACGAGCCCGGAGAAGAAGCGGATAGCAACGCCCCAATCGTCAAATGGGCGCTCTGGCTCAACATCGTCGCAAACTTTGTCTTGCTGGTGCTGAAGATCGTGGTAACGGTGCTGACTTCGTCGCTATCGGTGTTGGCGAGCTTGGTCGACGCGATCCTCGACTTCCTCTGCACTGCGATCATCGCGTTGACGACCTGGTTGATCCAGCGGAAGGATCCATATGCCTATCCGGTCGGTCGGCGGAGGCTGGAGGCGATTGGGGTGTTGGTGTTCTCGGTCATTATGATTGTGTCGTTCTTCCAGGTCGCATTGGAGGGGATGGCGCGGTTGACCTCGAGTGACCACACGATCGTTCAGCTGTCACTCCCTGCTGTGCTCATCATGGCTTCGACGGTTGTCATCAAAGGCCTCGCCTTCATATGGTGTCGTGTCATCCGTAAGTACCAACGCTTTCCCACACACCGCTTTCTAGCATATTGACTGATATCCTCTAGCGAACACCGCCGTTCGAGCTCTAGCTCAAGACGCCCTCACGGACGTCGTCTTCAACACCTTTAGCATCGTCTTCCCCCTGAGTAAGTTCCCCCTTCCCTTCCCAAAATCTCACGTCTCCCTAACCTACCCGCCAGTCGGCTTCTTCGCCAAAATCTGGTGGCTCGACCCTCTCGGCGGCGTCCTTCTCTCCCTCTACGTAATCATCAACTGGAGCCACTCCGCCCTCGGGCACATCCGCCGCCTCGCCGGGTCCGCCGCCACCGCCGACGAGCGCAACGTGCTCCTGTATCTCACGATGCGGTTCGCGAAGAGCGTCAAGCAGATCCAGGGGCTGAGCGCGTATCACTCCGGCGACAAGTTGATCGTCGAGGTGGATATCGTGTTGGATGAGCATACGAGTCTGAGAGATAGTCATGATGTAGGGGAGAGCTTGCAGTATGTGTTGGAAAGCGTGCCGACAGTGGATAGGGCGTTTGTGCATTTGGATTACGCGGGTTACAATTTACCGACGCACATGGAGCAGCAGTGCGATTGAGTTGCGATTGAGTTTGTGATTTTATTTTTCTAGATGTTGCATTCGGATTTGGTTCGGCGTGAGTTGGCTACGATACATGTACATACATATACCCAAATGTTTTCCACTTTCAATGGCTACCTTGAATACTTACTTCCCCTACTATTGTCGAACATTGTATTCCCGACCAAGCAGTACCACACATGCTCTCAGCATTTCCTCCCTGAACTGAATACGGAGTAAGCCCATCCTTTGCAAACAGCTCTAGAGTCCTGGTAGGCTCATATATGTGTCGCCTTACAACGTCGCCAACTGTCCGGATGCCTGCAAAACAACCTTTTAAAAATATAACTCCTATTTTGGACTCGATATTTCCTACTAGCAAAATGAAATGGACCTCCCGCACAGGATTTCGACCAGCGATTGCAATCCAGCAAGTGCCAGAAGGTAGGAGCGACCACCAGATGCTTGCACTTGCATCATTTCGTCCGAAATCAAGTCGTAGTGAAATGAGGTTACACATTTGACCATAATTCCACGGAACCAAAGGCCGCGTTGACCCGGAAATGGACCGTTGTGCTCGAGTTGACACATGGACCTCTAATTTGTTTACGTCACCTGACTACAGGGCTACAGCGCTGCTCGGACGAAACAACCAGCGCTTCTGGCGCCCGCGCGCATCGCTAGTGCTGTAGGAATTAATCTTTGGATCCATTACGCGATGTTCTGTTCAACACCAAGGGCACCAACGTCGACTGAGGGGTCGTGCTGGGCAACCCGGGAATACGACCCCTTGCGGTCAACACTAGACTCAAGGCTTCCTTTCGTCAAAACCCGTAGTCTTCAGCAGGGAAGACGGCAAGTCATATATCACCGGTAGAGCTGCCCTTCAGAACGACACGACCGGCGCAAGGTAATACCAACGAAAACGCGGCCAGCAAGACCCCATACCATGCCTTGACCACCAGACTAATTGAAGCGAATCCCTGGGTCTGTGCTAGTCGGGTCAAGCCAGATACCGCAGGATCTGGGGAGATTCACCAAACGGTGGGTCTAGTCAAACTAGCAACACTTGATTATGGATTTTCTAGACTGGCCACAGCGTTTGGATATTTAATAGATGAGAGATGAGACATGTCTATGAACTAGGTCCCTTTAGGTCTCTTGCTAAGTCTCCTGGTTAAATAACCTATGAAATACTCCCAAATTACCTATGTTTTCTAACTTCTAAGGTAGGATAACCGAAAACTATCTTTATCGTTGTAATTTGACGGTCCTGGCGGTTTCTGCCTCGAAATGTTGCCAATTACCCTTTCCATGTTTCGTACAGATCGATGGACGTGGCAGCCGCCAGGCGAATAGACCATGACTGATTTGACATTATTATTAACTACCGTACCGTACGCTCAACCACAGCTTGCAGAGAGAAACAAGGCCTGCACACAATCTCCTACGCCTCGACGGCCATTTTCACTATGCTTTAGAGAACATTGCCATTATTAAAGAAAGTGAAGGCTAGATAAGATACAAAAGTGAAATGTTAATAGTATCTAGATGGATATCAAACAATTCAGAAACAAAATACATGTCTTAAAATTAGACATGAATGACGATGGTGCTGCAGAAGCGTACAGGTGTAACCGCAAAGGAAAAAACATCCTGAGTCAAAGGTGTGCTTGGCCGAGGAGCGTGACGATAGAAAAGTCCAAGTCCTTTGGTGAAGAAGGATGGTGATCCGAACGATGTTGATGGAGTTGCCTTGGTACGCAATGGGTGTTGAAACAGTGCGACAGTCCAACTGATATGGCCTTGGTGACGATCCGGTTGGAAGCAAATGTGACAGAGCGGAAGTAGAGGGACCGGGAGCCTATGGTGCGTGTGTAATAGTATATATATATCCATATTGGACAGACCGTTGTCCAGACTCCCGATCTCCTCTTCACCTAATGCCGTTTCCGCAACGCATTGATCCTAACCGAAGCGGTCCTCTCCAAAGACCGCTACAACTTCGCAGCATGTCATGACTTCGCCGACAACCATCCGGAAGAGCACCGCCTCTTGACTGGCCATCGGCGTCTACTATCTCACCATCAACCGCGTGGCCGAAGCGCGACGGTTCTTCAGCAAATCTAGCATGATGGATGTGGACCTGAGCGATGAGTGATGAGGTTCATACGCTGAAGTTTCAGGACAGTGGGTCAGCTCGTTGTAGCATTTACGTGTTGGTTAATTTAACCTGGGGGGTAGACCGCACCTACACACAGCAGGCTTGTGGATTAAACCGATTCAATTAGCGATTGACCTCGTGCTGTTACGAATAGCACACAACCAGTGCGGCCAACGGTAAATTTTACCGTCCGAGCTTGACGGTAAACTTGGCATCGTTCATGCTTCTACGGATTAGAATGGCACTGTACAACATACTCTTCTTTAATATTAAAACTCCTTAAATAAGATGCCTTGAACCTTCCAATCCTTCAAGCATTCGACCGCCTCTACTGCTTCCATACTGATGCTAGCACGATCCCAACTAATCGTACGACGGCCGCCTGAAAACACTCTCTCTGGCTTGTCACTCATCGCAGGAATTGACAGGATCTCAAAGGCAAACCGTGAAAGTTGTGGAAATCGTAGTTGCTGCACTTCCTGGGCCCACCATTGAAGTGGTGTAAGTGGCTGAATGTTATACGAGGGTGATTCAGCACAATAGGAATCGTACTCATCCTGGCTTTGTGGGCGACCTCTTTCACGGCGCTTTTGGCGAAGCTTTTGAAGACTCGAGAGCTCCTCAACTGGCTCGGCTGAAGATATATTCTCGTTCGATGTCTGTTCGTGCGATGGGAGGGAGGAAGGTGGTAGGTTTTTCCGAAACCTCTCCCAGAGCTGTTTAACCTTCCAATTCATTTGTTCGTCCTCTGTTGAGAGCCACTCTCCTGTTTCATCCTTTTGCCAGGTCGTACGCCGTTCTGGATGAAGAATTCTTGCTGCCGCGTAATACGGAGATAGGCGAAGTTTCTCCACGTAAGTCAAGAACTTGGCATATGAACGCTGAACTCGGATATGGTGGAGCTTAAAGTTCTTATTTATCTATAAAAGCTTTAGTATAGATTAAACGAAAGGACGTACGACTTACGAGATATTCATCAAAATGATCATGTAAAAGATCCATACTTTCCAGCATCCGACCAAGCGTTGGCTCCTTTCCTTGCATCTCAAGGGTAGCATTCTCAAAGGGTTCAAGAAAACTGGCGATCATACGAAGCTGAATCCAGTCATCCATAGAAAGAACATCCTTTTTATCAATTGTTCCCTCTTTAAGATGCTTTTCAATGTATTGCTGAACACTAATCTTGATCTTCTCTTCTAGAGAAACCTTCAACATAGTATACCAGCTATTCCATTTCGTACGATTGTCCATTGGAATCAACCTCTGAGCAGCCTTCTTAAACTCCTGTGTTCGAATTGCGGACGAACGAATGTGCGAAACAATATTATGAAGCTTGCCCAAAACACCAAGTTTATTGCGGATAAAGTTGCCTCTATCCTTTTCACCTCTTTCACTCAGCTCTGTATCCTCAGAATCTTGTTGATCGTACGATTCCAGAACAGCTTCCTCATCGCTTTGAAAGAAAAAAGCCTGAACAACAAGATTAAGGATATGTCCTTGGCAGCGAATTCTTTGCTGTGTAGGATGCCAATCAATTCGTTTCTCTTCCGCGAGGAATTGAGAGATCGACCGACATAGCGTATCATTCGTCCCAGAATTGTCGCCGATAACAGTGCCAATTTTCTCTAGGATACCGTATTCTTCAAGAATAGGTTGAAGTGTATTCCATTGAGTTTCTCCACTATGGCCATAGGTCGGACGAAGAGCAAGAAGGATATTCCAAAACTGGTCGTTTATATCAACAAATGTTCCGCAGACTGCAAGTAAAAGATATCTGTTCGGAGAGGTCCAGATATCTACAGCAAGATGGATGCTTGTTTTGGCAGATTGGAGAGCTTTTCGTACGATATCCTTTGCTTCGGGGAGAGAATCTTGGATCTTCTTTGAAATAGTAGTGTGAGAACTTGGAATGAAAGGTATTGACTCTGGATTCAATGCCGCGCAGAAGGTCCGAAATTCAGGCCATTCTCCAATCCTGAACGGAAGCTTTCGTACGATAATAAGGTCTAAAAGTGTTTGATTGATCATCTTTTCGTTGATTGTTCGCTTGAGGACCTCCTGATTTAGGTTCTCAGCCGCATTCTCTGACATGAGCCTCGAGTATAGCGTGGAAATTGAATCCTGCGTATTCTTTGTACGAGCTTGTACGGATGAAGCAGAATCAATGTCATGTTTGCTCTTTAAGTGGGACCGAAGACCACTTGTTGAAGATGATTTGCTTGGGCAATATCTACAATAGTAGATAATATTGCCATTTTGATCACGCTCAGGCTCATGAGGCTCTTTTGTACGAGTATGCTCATGAATTGGAGAGGATTTCTTTCGGCGGATTGGGAGAGTAGAACCTAGAGATTCCGTCTCAAGAGTGTCAATACTCTGATCTAGAATAGATTGCTCGAATTCTGAGGCCATTATTCATGTTTAAATGTCTATCTTCGAGTTGTATTCTAAGTTGTGCGGAATGCCAAGCTTTTACTGTGAATTACCGCAGTAACGGTAAAATTACCGTTTTACTGTGGGCTTACCGTTGGCCGCACTGCACACAACAACAGACAAGTTATTTCCTGCATCTATCGTCCGGTCCGGTTCTATATATATACCTAGAAAGCGACGTGAATCCTAGACAAGCGCCGTGTCTTCAAGCAATGCTGACGGTTCCTGGAAACCATCCCAGAATTAGACTAGCAACGCCGACCTCGTGCATTGATTACGGGTTCAAAATCCCAATTGTCTTCTTCATTATGCAGACTCCACTGAACCTCAGGAGAGTGTAGACTGTAATAAGAGGGCCAGTTGCCTCCGGCGACGGGGTGGCACGGATGGGATGGAACAAAGCGGGTAGAAGAGGACAAGGGCGATAGAAGGGGCGGAATTAGGAGTATCTATGTACGGCAAGTGGGTCAAAATTGCCAAGCTTAAACCTCCAAAGCCCAAACCTTAAGTATTATGACCACTGACTGCACTGAGTTGCTAGAAAGCCTTAGGTCCCCCCGTTTTCTATGACTCCCTTGCCTACCCCCTTATCAGCGCGTGTATGCGCCTTTCACTAGCTAATTGTCAAATTCTGCGTACACGCATTGACGTTGACGAGGGTAAGTAAGTCATAGAAACCGATAGTACCGAATGAAAGATCATCATCCTTCATTATGCTTCATCATTTCACGCAACAGCCAACAAGTCTGTTCTTCGATTCCTCCCGGGTTCTAGCCTCCCGTGCGGTCGTAATCCATATTCCGTTGATTGGTCTGTCGGCTCTTAAACATTGCCAAATGCCGATTTTCCCTAGTCATGGAAAGAAATGCTTTGAACTTTGAAGATAAGCGCTAATTTTACGGCCGAAACTTTGTCTATTCTCGGAATGATGCTGGCATATCCCCCGAGTAGTCTAACGGGGCTAGCGGAGCTTCATTCTAAATGATAATAATTGAGAACTGCCCGTGTTTATAAGTAAATTCAACGACTGCAATGGAATAATACCCAGCTCCCAGGAATTTCCATTGAGGACCTTGCGATAATATTCGACGCATGTTCGCTCCCTCTTCACCCTATACCAATCGATTCAGGCCACGGGACCAACCATGGCCGATTCTAAACCTCGAGGCTCTAGTGAGCCGTATAAATCAAAGAATCCAAAATATGTCGACCTGATTAGCCGTGGCGTCAGAGGACCTTCACCAGCAGGCACCCTCACCTTCATCGGCTTACGCACCCTCGACATCCCTCTTCAGTATGCCCTCCTCGGCAGAGGACTGGGGGCATCACTACTCATGAAACTGGGCCTGACGCCGATTTCCGCGCAACCTGCTTTCCGGACCGGCTTCACCGCAATCGATTCCTTGGGTTTGCCGCTCCCGCAACTGATCATGCTCCTGATGACCGTAGGCGGCGCGATGCGGCATTATTACTGGATCGGGTTCCTCTCGAATGAGAAGTTCGCAGTGAAGTCTGCTCTAGCTATGACCGTGTACACTTCCTTGATGAACGTTATCGGCTCCATTCTAATCACTTCGGCTGCGACCTCGAGTATCAATTCTACCTGGCGCATTCCCCGAATCGACCTCCCCGCATCGATCGTCATCGGTTTCGCCGGATTTCTTCTCGGCACCTTATTCGAGACCGGCTCCGACCATCAGAGGAAGGTGTTCAAGGACAAGCCGGAGAATCAGGGCAAGGTCTGCACGGTTGGGTTCTGGAAGTATGCTAGGCATATAAATTATGGGGGATACGTCCTCTGGAGATCGGCTTATGTCCTCGCGGCAACCGGTTGGATTGGAGCTCTGGCAACGGCGGCAGTCCATGGGAGTGATTTAGGGACAAGGGGAGTTGCGACGATGGATGAGTACATGTCGTTCCGATATGGAGAGCAGTGGAGACAGTATAAGGCGAAAGTGACATACAAACTGTTCCCTGGAGTCTACTGAACTGGCAGTTGGCGTATCATTTATTAAGTATTGCCAAATGCCGACTTGAAACAACTGATATATTAACATATCCACTCATATCCTTCGCGCTACTCCGGAAATACGTCATATAATTATTGCAAGAATTAATAGTAAGCCTTTGCCCATAGAGCTGAGATCCCGACTACTTTTAAAGTAAGTACTGAACATATATGCCGCACCCCCCCGCCCCAAGTGGCCAAAGCAGGAAGACGTCGATCCAGAAAAGCACAATATCGGAATTAATAGCAAATTTCCTTTAACCAACCAAAAACATAACTTATAAACAACAGTGAGTTAAAATATGCGATGTAAAGTATATTATAGGAGAGCGACACTGTCCCCGCATATTCCTCAGTCCTCAGCCTTCACACTACCCCAGCAAGACGCTTCAACTTCTTCACAACATTCAATTCAGTGACTCTTTGCAGCCTCAAAGCAATCGATGCTTCCTGTTCCCCTAAATACTCAGGCTTTTCTATAGTATCCATTTTGAGGCAGCACTCGATAACATCGCAGAACGAATCGCCACATGCAGAGGCTACTTGCTGTAGACAGGGTTCAGTGTCCGCTGTGACCGACAGCAGACCTGCATTCTAGGCCAACGATTTCTCTAGGGGCCGGAGCTGTATTCCTCGAAGCGCGGACGGCTTAGACTTTGGGGATTCTCCAGTCCTATGATGTCCTCGATGCGCTTCCAGAGTGCAATTTCGGTCATCACGACGCCTAGACTGTAGATGTCGTACGACTTGCGATAGTTGCCATCCGCTTGACTAGATTGCGCGTTCGGATGGCGGTATATGTCTTTTAAAGGTTCGAATCCAGGATTCTCTGTCAATTGCCTCCTTCCTAGCCAGCGGACGGAGTTTGCAACCGCTCAAACCCTGGTTATCACCCCATCGATAGATCCTGAAAGAGGTGGAAAAGGTCAACGTCAGTACTTTCAACCGGGCGAGCGTCTTCCATTCAAAGCGATACGTATTCTCGGCTCAGGAAGCTTCTCGCAGGTTGACTTCGTTCGCAGCTTGAACACCCCCCGAAATTACGCACGTAAACGGGTACTTCGCGCCACCTTCTTCAGAGAAGAGCAAACGGAACATATGAAGCAGTTCATCGCGGAGATCGAAATCCTAAAACGCCTTTACCACCGACACGTGGTAAAGTTTGTGGGGAGTTACACCGATTCCAAATACCTAGGTTTGATTATATATCCAGTTGCCGAAATGAACCTAATTACCTATCTTTCTTGCGCCGATACAGCTAGATATGGCGAACTGCGTACCTTCTTCGGTTGTCTCCCGACGGCCCTTGAGTTTCTACATGAGCAAAAGATTCGGCACAAGGACATCAAGCCAGCGAATATCTTGGTTTATGGCGGAAAAGTCTTGTTTACGGACTTCGGGATATCGCGCGACTTTACGGATGCAGCAGGCAGTACTACGTTCGGCACAGTCAATTGGAGCACGGCGCGGTACTGTGCGCCAGAAGTGGCTGACCGTGAATCTCGAAATACATCGTCTGATATCTGGAGCTTAGGTGTTGTCTTCCTTGAGATGGTCGCGGTACTTAAGGGCAGAGCAGTTGAGTATGTACATGATTTTCTTAAGAGTCATGGATCGGAGAATGCTTACGTCCGTACCAATCCTGATGGCTTTAATGAGCTTGTTGCAGAGCTTAAAGAGACTAGAAATCGATACGATAACGCAGTGGTAGAGTAAACTCAGGACATGCTCATACCACAGCGAAAGAAGCGTCCAACCGCGGCCGCGCTGGTGGCATCTATTATTGCGGCAGGTGAGAAGGAGGGCGGAAACGGAACTTTCTGCGGAATATGCTGTGTTTCTCCGGACGGTGTTTCGGATGATATGGATGAGCTCGAGTTAGCCGATGCTTAATGAGTTCCTGTTATCGTTCATCTTTCCCGTCTGAAACGGTTATACAAGGACGTGGAGTGCAGACCGGGCAACTCCCAACACGAAGTCGCTGGAGCGAGGAAGTGCGATGGATACCACTGGCAAAGGATTGGTTAGTCGACTATTTATAGACTAGACACCCAAGCCAGGGGTGAGTTTGGCACGAAAGCGAAGCGCCTAGGGAAAATAACCAAAATCCCCTCTAGAAACCCGAGAAAATCCAGGATATTTTCCTTATAGATTTATTTAGTTGGCGAACGAGCTGGTATTATCGATCAACACGACATTCGAGACCGTATGGCAGACACACGAGGCATGGACAGGGTATTTTATAGAAGATCGGGGGTATGTGATGTTCGGAAAAGTCAATACTAACATCGCCGCATATGCTATCGAAAAGGAGAGAGTTGCTCTGTGGCTTGGACCCAACACACCTACAGTAGTATCAGGTCAACCCATAGTCAAAGAAGCGGGCGCCCGACCCCGATAGGGCTCGGCGACAGCGAAATTCCAGACCCCATGACACAGAAGGACGAAGTATCATAGAAGATCGAAGGCCCAACCGATGTCGATAAAGCAGTCAACAATAATGTCAATGACGCAGTGTGCTCTATTATCCATAGACATAGTATCATAACTTATAAGGTCGGTGATGAAATGGTGCGTGGTGCATGTTCGAAGGTGATCCCCTTTCATTCGATCAAAGTGGCTACACTTGGCTTCCGTGGCGCCATCAGTGAACGAACCCATCTAAAAGCGGAACTTCCCAGAGGAAACAGCCTCGTTTCCTCGTCGGGTTTTTTCCACCTTTCGGTCGCTGGGTAGGTGGCGTTCAGTGACTTCAGTGATCAGTCAGTTCAGTGATCAGTGACTTCAGTCGCAGGATGGACGAGCCTACCAACTACCAGGCGCAGCGGGCCGAACCGTGAGGAAACATCTAAGTACTGAAGAAATATACTGGTGTCTGGTTACTGGTAACTGTCAACTGCCAAGTGCTTAAAAGTACACACTCTCAAATTCCATCTACGTCTTCTCGACCATGTCTACACGATCCCTTGGGTAGACATAGACCTTGAGGCCAAGCAAGTACTTGGCCGGGCCGATGTCTTTGGTACGGAAATGTCTAGCTAGCAATGAAGGGATTCTGTGAAGAAGTACAGTGAGCAGTAAGGTATGTACTGAATAAGCAAGAAACAGCCAGAAGATTCTGTTCATTTGTCTGCTCACTTTGATAACAATGAATGCATCCCCTCCAGTAAACAAAAACAACATGATCCCGGATGCACCCAAACTTACTCTGCCTGACTTAATATTACATCTACCGGCCTCTTTCTCCAGCGATACCGTCAACTTGATTGTCCGTTGCCAATTATATGCAGGCTCAGGTATCTACCAGCAGTTCTACTGCTCAACTCCAAGCAACCTACCTATCACCATCCCATTGTGACAGCGACAGCAGTGTTCCCAATCGCAGCAAAGTTCAAAACGTCACCTTTCGTCACCTCGGATAACCTGACGGAGGTAATATCTTGCTTGTTTTATGCGTGCACGATGGTCCTGACGGAGGGATTCACCACGGCCTTGTGTGGACCGCTTGTGCCGTTGTTGCGAACTGCGCATGGGGAGGTTTCCTGTCCGGGACGCGAGATGAGCGACGGGTGGAGGTGGAGAAATATAGCCTCTTGATGGAGTGTGATTATTACTTTCGAGTGATGGATGATAAGGGTCGAGGTGCGTAGTAAGAGCCAGCAAATGTATTTATTAGCTGCTGATGGCCGGGTTTATATAGACCTCGAGAAGTATCCTATCGTCGCATCCTTCGACCATTTCGAGTTCCTGCACCGCAACCTTCCGCCCGGTCGGACGTCCGAAGCACTTCGAATTCCTCGATCGAACCACGAGATCGGTTGGACTGGCCTCTCAGATACACCACTGATGCGCGATGGATCCTGTCGAAATACCCCCCACTACGAAGGCCCTGAAGCCGCGCATCTCGTCCCGCGAGCCGAGAAATGTTAGTTCGGATCGAACGAAATGTTGAAATACGCTTCTTGCCTCTTCCGTCGGTTGCTTCGGCTGACGATCCTCGCGATGCTCTACTGCTGCGCTCCGATCTACACTCTACCTTCGACGCGAAACGCTGGGTCGTGGTCCCGAAGGCGAAAACCTGGGTAGTCCGCGTACTGGATCTGGGCCCGTCGAGGCGGTTTCTAAGCTTATACCGTAACGTGACGTAGCGGCCGCTCGAGGAGGTGTCTATTGAGTATCTGTTCGCACTATTTACTGGGGCGATCCTAACTCCGCTCGCATTTACTGGTTTTGCTGGACGACGGAAACTGGTTACTATGGACATGGAGGACCAGTCGAGTAATATCGGGGAGCTCACGAGCGATCAGGGGCAAGTCTCTTTCCTCTTCAAACGAAGAGTAGGCGGTAGAGTCCAAAAGGAGATAGTGGATGGAAGCAGAAAAGGATCTTAATGAAGAAGAAGAACGCGGGGGTCGAAGGAGAAAGAGGAGTTTGAGCCTTTCCACTCACACCTGAAAAGTAAGAGTAGATAAGACAACGAGTTAGTTGTTCGCAATTTACTAGTAGGTCGGGCATATGGTTCGGGCATGGTTTGTAGAGACTAGGTATTGTCGAATTTAACTGTCTGCGGACGAGGGTGTAGGTACGAGGTGATGGATCGATCAAGGGATAGAAGGTTTGATCATCATCATCTTTCGATCGATGGCGGACATGGTAGCTTCTTGACGAGACTCGTCCCACCTACTTAATCAAGGCCTGGATTGTATCCCCACGATGATGATGTCCTGGAGAGTGATGGTAGAGGCTTCGTTTGGTGTCGCAGGCAGCGCCTCACCAGATCAAAAGCCAAAAACGACGCTTCTCCTAATATCAATGCCGCATTAATTTTCTCCGGGGAAGAAAGGTTGTTATATCTATTGTTTCCTAACCTAATGATAGGCTGTCGCGAAGAACGAACACCCCAGATGCCCTTACGGAGCCCTTGGTTGGCTCATCCAGCGGCAGTAAGAATCACATGTATTTGCCCGGATCATCCATACTCTCGCGGAAAGGTACGTTCTTTAAGAGCGGCTGTTTGAAGCTTGGACAAAATCTAGATGGATCATGTCAATATCCTGAAGTATGAGCTGCGAGGCGGTATTATGGGCGGAGTGCTTTAAGCATGTGGTTGTGGAGAGGAGCCATTGGCCGCTCAGCAACGCGAGGGGATGGGCTCTAAAGCAAAGCAGCAGTTGTGCTTAGAGGAGAGAACCCCTGACCTATTCTTCACCCCCCGACCCGCTTGCCTTGCGGCTTCGCAAATTCGCCCCTCATCCATATAAACCAGTTTGCCGTTCTGGACGAGAGTCTTTCCGTCCACAACCACTCGCTGGATGTCTCTCCCTGTGCAGCTATGAACGACCACTGTGACTGGATCAAGACCCCCTTCGAAGCACAGTGTAGCATCGAATGGAGCGCAATGTAGCCCTTTGTTGGAGATGGCGACGAAGTCCGCTTTCTTGCCAACTTCGCGGCTCCCGATATCGTTCTCGAGTCTGAGAGCCCGTGCGCCAAAGACCGTAACCATCATAAGGACCCCCCATGATCGAATCTGCCCAGCATGGAGCATGGCTGTGACTTGCATCCCTCGGAACATGTCATATGTGTCGTTATAGGGAGCGCCCGTGCCAAGAGCAACGTTGACTCCTTTGTTCAACATCTCAACAACTGGAGCAGTGCCGTTGCTGAACTTGAGGTCGCTGGCCAGACTATGCGAGACGCTTGTCTCCGTATCGCGGAGAATATCTAGATCCACGTCGAGGTCAAGATGAGCCATGTGCGCGAGAACTGTCCTCGGTCCGGCGATGTATTCCGACTCGCAGAATTGCATGGGCGATTTCTTATAGTGTTCCTTGAATATTTGAAGGTCACTTGGAGTTTCAGTGCAATGCATTGTCATCCCGATGCCATTCTCTTGGCACCTCCAACCTATACTTGCATACGGTAAATGGACTTGGGAGGGCTCTGACGGGGTACTGGCACTAATCCATATGTGGACGCATCCATTGAATGACTTGTTATGTCGTCCGTGGTCGTACACAACAGTCCGGATTGTAACTCTACGGGCATCCTGTTCTCCTGGATCTGCGAGGCTCATCTCCGCGTTCCTCACTGGAACCCTGACCAGTCTTCCCTAATTGAATCAGATCCACTCCTAGGCTATCAACTAGGTTTTACTCACCAGACATGTCCTGATGCTCGACTCCCCGACGGCTCGGATGACATTGTCAAGACCTCGTCCGGTACATCAGCATGGGCTCCAAGAAACAGGTTGTTCCGCTCTTCATCATCTTGGCTATCGTGAGCGAGGCGGCAATGTAGCCATCATCTCCCTCGAAACTGGACTCCAGTGGCAAGAAGTCCTGGCAATTGCCGGGGTCGAGTGTCGGAATGGTTAAATAGCCCACGTAGGGTGGAGTGCGCCACATGAGCATGCGTATTGATTAGACCTGGAACGACGACCATTTCTTGAAGATCCACCACCATGAATGGTACTGTGTTTGAGTCAATGAATTGACGTATAAAGCAGGAGAGCTTAACTTCGCAATCATTTCGCAATCATTTTGCATACTTGAAGGGGTTTTAACTAAATCCCACTTTCCAATGGCGACGATTCGATCGTCCTCCACAAGAATAGTCCCATCGAGGAATATTTCTCGCCTCTTGTTGCAAGTTATGATGACTCCGTTCTGATATAAGACACAACTATTCGGCTTGAGCACCATTTTGCTTGAGGACTTAGATAACTATGAAATGAATTAAACTGGACGTAGACAATATCGTGCAGCAATTACGTCGTTTAGGAGCTGGAGTCTAAGAAGTTGTAGAGTAGTGTTGGACTTCGTCGCCAGTTGCAGTGGCATCCCAAGAAACAAGAAAGAACGTCCAAACCCGAGACACCAGCTGGAGCCGCTGCATCCATTACAGTGAATGTGAAAACAGAAATCCAACTTCTTTCATATCATACACTAGCAGAAAATCCGCATAGATTACTGCGCAGTGTACGGATACATTAAATGGGAAGGAAACGGACATGTTGTGGTCGAGTTTAACGTTGTGAAACCTTTGCTGGCCGACGTTCGGCTAAGATAGACATCGACCTGGAACAGGGATAGCGGGAGCCACTCCGTGAGAGGAATTAAAAATAAGGAGTAATATAGCAGATCGAACCGTTGGAAGTGTTTGGAAGTGTTCGAATAATGTCTAAATCTCATCGTAGAGACACCGCTGTTGTTGCAGCAGTCATTGGAGCCATACCAAACCTCGTTTTGCCTTGGGACGCTAAGAGGTGTCAGGAAAAGAGCCATGCCAGGTTATACAGACCTAAGGGCTGAAAATGGCATGTCCGATAAAAGGGCTTGGTTAATTGACTTCCACACCTAGATGAAATGACCGGCTAGAGTTTCACATAGAGAAAGTTCGGCAGACATGAACTGGTTTGCAATTTGATATAAGCCATGGAAAGGATGACTGGTACAAAGGAGACCCAAAAGAGTGAGTTGGAGATTCCGTCTTTGAAATCCTTAGGTGCCCTTGCCTCGACTTGCGCGGCATCGATACTCCAGCCAAGTTTGGAACCCTCCTGTCGGATCATGGTAGCACGGATCCGAGGACCTCCGCCATGAAGCTGCGGTAAATGGCGAAATCCCGTGGGACGTCAACGCATGCCGCGGCTTGTCAATCCGGCATCATGCTGGCGAAGCTGCTCCCTCCAAAAACATGATGTGACAGATTATCGGAGGGCACCGATAGAGCTGCAGGCTGCAAATTTGATGTTGCGCAATATTTTCGGCGCTCGTTTAACGTCCTACGATTGTTAGCCGCGTGGGTAGATTAGCTAGAAGAAACTCCTACTGACCATTCAAACGATCCCCGTAGCATATATGCGAATCACTTCACAACCGTGCCCTCGCTGCCGGCGTCAAATGCCCCCTCCCCTCCTTCTCGACCTGCTTCTGCACTCCTCCCACTCCACCCGCATTCTTGAGCTGCTTCTGCACCCCGCCAGCTCCACCCGCGTTCTCGAGCTGCTTGTTCAATTCGCGAGATGCCCTCAGATCCACCTCGGGCGCGGCATGGCCCGGCGTCACTGGCTCGAATAAAGCATCCTCGCTTTCGTAGGCGAGGTCGCCCAACCGTCAGTCGTCATAAAATTCATCTTCGTCACTGAAATCGGCTAGCTGTTCGAAATTGACGTTGTAGCGCAAGATGGCGCCGATGCCACCGAAGCCTTTGACGAACTGGTTGCCCTCGGAGCTTCGGTCGGAGACGAACTCGAGGTTGGCGCCGAAGTCGCGGTAGTGTTCCGCAAGCCATTCAAGGAACGATCCTTGCTCGATGATTTCCATCTCTTGCCCGGTGTCCTTGTCCATAAATTGGGAACGGTCGCCTTTCTCTTGTTGCTTGGTGGTGTGGAGGATGATCTCGCTTCCCTGGCTGCTCTTGAGCGTCCAACGAGTCACTTCCAAGTTTTCGAAGACGATCAAGATGTCAGCGGCGCCTAGTTCGAGGGCCTTGAGGGTATCATCGATACCGTAGCAAACCTTCCCAGAGTCTTGGGAAATCTCATCGAAGTACTTGTTGATGAGCTTCTTCTCTTGAATGAACTTGACGTTGGAGAGAGTCTCCGAGGACAGCTCGATGGCTTGATTGAAACCGTTCTCGCCACCATATGAAACATCCACGATCTTGATGACTTTCGCTTGCAGACGCCCATCGAACAGGTCCGATTGGTTCAAGTCGTTTTTGAAGTCGGCCGAACCGGCCAGGATCAGGCCGGCGACGTTGACCTTATCGTTGGTGATAAAGTTTTGGACGGCCAATTCTGCCACTTTTCGGACGTAATTGTGACGTTTCTCCTCTCGAAGACGCGCGAAACGCAGGGCGGACTGACCACCACGACCATGCTTCTTCGGAAGATCGACGGAGAACTTGTGGACGATGTCGCGCGTATTGCCGCTGAGAGTTCCGAACAAAGCTCCGTTACCGTCCATGATAATGAATCCGAACTTCTGGTCAGATTCAAGAAGCTCGGAAAGAGCCTCGGTATGAAACTTGTTGTCGCATAGGTACAAAGACGTATTGATCGGCTTGAAAGGTTCGAAGTCGATGTTGATCTTGCGCTCTTTTCCTTCGGAGGTGATGATTTCACCACAGTAGACGACTAGTCCATTCGGAGGGACTTTGGAATACAGCTTCAGGCGCTGCTGGGTACTTGTGATGGCGGAGAGAACCGAGAGACGGTTGACACGAGATTTGATGTTGGAGGCGGTACCCTGACCGAGCTGTCAGTCGATCCGATATTCCAGGGCACCAGGCAGGAGTTGCACGTACAAATTCTTCAGCCAACATCTTCGACGCTCGTGAGACTTGATCCTTGGGAGCTATAAGAACTCCGTTAGCGACCAGCATCCCCACGCTCTGCCAAGGGATGCAAGAACTTACGGATAATGAGCGAGATCATGGAGGTGCCGTTACCACGAGCAGACTCAAGCCTCTTGATGAGCTTCTTGACCTTCCATATCTCGATATTCTTCTCCGCCTCGTTGGCCTGTGGGGCGCTCATGTTGGCTTAGGGGGCTGGAGGAGCGGGATGGAGGATGAGAATGACGTAGGGTTTTTCGGGCTCCGTGGCGCAAAGGCTTGTCAATATACGATTGACAAGGGGAGCGCAAATGAGAGAAGTGTTCTGCAGAAAGGATATCTGCGAACTTTTCGAAGGGGAGATGACGTGGTGAGAATGAATGTGGTAAAGTTGAGGATTGGCGAAAGCGGCGACGTTTGGGTCAAAATTTAATTCGGGTTTGAGACACAGTCAGGCTCATCCCCGCTATGGAACTAAACTTTAATAGATAAATTCGTTACTGAGTAAGCAACTCTGGCTCAATCAATCACGGCCAATGACACAGAGTGTTATTTATTCTGTAATATTATAGCTGAGCTGGATGGTTCAGGACTCAGGACTCAGGAGACACTCAACCCCGCCCGATCACTCAGTAAAGTTATCAAACTTCACGAGTCGATCCAAGCTCAACCTATACACAATATGGATTCAATCCTTTAGTAGCGAATACAGCACTGTTCTACAATTCACCATAAGGTTTATATTTCTCGCTAATGGTTGCAGCCGCCCAATATTAGTTGGTCGAAATCCCCTCCCTACCCCAGTATTTGCCCAGCTGCTGGATATCCGAGCCCACTGCCGAGTAGACGCATGCAACAACTCTCACAATGTTGATCGTGCGAAACCAGATGTCATGTCCTAATCGCGTTGCGAAATATTGTCGGCCACTGAGTTGGAATCAGTCCCTGGGTCGATTTAAGGACCAAGAATATCGCTAGGCGGTATGCCAAAGGCATCAAGTCCATCCGATCTTCTGCTGGGCAGGGGGTGATGAACCGAATCGCGGGAATTATGGATGCCTAGAAGGGAGTCGGTGACATTAAACTCATCCTTACAGACCGAGCAATTAGCAGAGGGATTTATTTGGCACCGGATCTCGTGAAGCGGACTCTGATATTGCTGCTGTGTTGAATAGGAAGGAAATTTGAGTCCGCTACCTCTATGCTCTATCTACTCTGTCCAACAATACTAATATTCTGTATTGTTATCTTAACTTTGGCCTGGATATATGACTTCGACTTTCGAGGAACTATGTTCTTTGGAATGCGGTATTTCAAGCGATGAATAACTGGCATTATGTTTGTAATACGACTAAGTTAGTTAGTCATGATATTACTTACTCCGTATACTCATTCTGCCATGATGGATGCAGGATCCCGAGAGGCTCAACAATATTAGCCAATCCGAACTCAAGAATCGCTATCACACTGAACCTAAACTGGACCATGGCTGTGGATAGCTTTGCCATCAGCACACTTTTCCCACTTCCATGTCGTCACTGGTCGGATGCTCGTGATGGCCGACAACTTCAAGTCTCTCAAATATCCACCAAGTGGAGCCGACTGCGTTTATACATGGCCAGTTTCCATGACGATGGCGCGGACTGGTTGGGAATTGGGATCGTGCGAACAAAGCGATTTTCTGCTGTCAATCACCGGACACTTGATAATTGATATGGGATGGATCTAGCTTATCCCTCAACAATTGAACCCTGTTGTCGCCTCCATCGTTTTTCGTGGGCCGCTTCTAGCCTTCCCGCTCGAGCCAAATAGGTCCACAATCATTTATTGTTCATGAGACTCGACATCTTCCATAAACCTTCCCTATCGCTCCCTTCTTGTGATGAAGTATTAATATTATGCATGATTAGGCCTCGTCGCGTTTTGTGATTCCATTGCCGTGTCCGCAGTCTCGTGCGGTCGTCCCACTTCGAGACTGAGCCTGCCCCGCACACCTCCCCACATCCAATTGTCTTTCCGCGTTATCTTCTTTTGACCTGGCGATGCCGAGTCCGGGAAAGCAGCCGACGACATGGGGGCAATATGAGCATGGCTCGCGTTCAGGATCGGTGGGATCAACCGGCAGTCATGTTCAATGGGCAGTGGATGCAAGAGACGAGGAGGGAGGACATCAACTATTTCCGCCGGATCACTATGGAGATTCGGAGTTACGAAGGCGAAGGTATGCCGGTGTACAATCCGATCTTTATATTCCATGGCGACTCCATTCCGACCCCGTGGTACACATTACACAAGTCCCACCCTCTCTAACAAATCTTAGGTCGTCCATGTCTCTCCGAATCTCCAACCTGCGTTCCGCAGGCGGCGTAAACAGCATCGATAACTTCGCCAGATCATGGACCCGTGCGGCCGCCTTCCATCAAATCACTCCGGCAAGACCATCCTTCCGCTTTCAATCCGACACGCATCCCGATGGGACTACGGCCGGCGAATTCCCCGAAGGGTTCTACGAGGATGACTCGCAGGCTGGTCTGGATAGCCCGAGCGGATACGATGGGGACCAATCAGCGATAGGCTCGCCGAATTCGCGAGGAGGATTCATGAGGCCGGATATGGACCCGCGGAATACCTCGGACCCGTTTCGAGACACCGCCATCGCCACGAGCACCGACGAAAGCGGGACGCCGGACCATGATTTGGATCAAGGGGTAACTGCCCGGCTATTGCAACACCGACGTGCGTCGTTCCGGTCTGACTCCGGGCCGCTGAGCATCGAGCCGTCAATTGGCTCGCAGTTTGGCGGCAGCTATGGAACCATGTACGGCAGCGTGGGTTCGAGGAGGAACAGTACCATGAGACATGCGGCGCGGTTATGGGAAGAGCGCCAGCGAGAAGGGGAGCGGGTTGCACTTGGGGAAGGAGTTACGTTGGATAAAGACTTCATCCCTGGGGACGACGAGGGAGCGTCGCTGATCATCCGGGAAGTCGAGGAAGATGGTGTCAAATACACCGCGGTAGTGGGGCAGAGCACGTTGCCGCAGACTATTTTCAATTCCGTCAATGTTCTGATCGGCGTCGGTCTATTGTCCCTGCCATTGGCGTTGAAGTATTGCGGATGGGTACTCGGAATGAGCTTTTTCCTCGCTGCCGTTCTTGTAACGCAGCACACGGCCAAGCTTCTCGCGAAATGCTTGGATGTGGATTCGAGTCTGGTCACCTTCGCAGACCTCGCTTATGTTTCTTTTGGCTCTCGCGCGCGTATTGCGGTTTCTGTGCTCTTCTCCGTGGAGCTGATTGCCGCATGCGTTGCTCTCGTCATCCTGTTTGCGGATTCTTTAGACGCTCTCATCCCAGGACTCTCCCTCGTGACTTGGAAGATCATCTGTGGCATAATCCTCATCCCACTGGTATTCCTACCACTCCGACTTCTCTCCTTCACGTCAGTGCTCGGAATTATTTGCTGCTTTGGGATTACCATCTCGGTCCTTGCAGATGGCTTCATCAAAGAAGAACAACCGGGAAGTTTACTCTCCCCTGCCACGACCTACGCATGGCCCGAGCATTGGGGAACGCTATTGCTTGGGTTTGGGTTGCTGATGAGCCCATGGGGAGGGCACAGCGTCTTCCCGAATATTTATAGAGACATGAGACACCCACACAAGTACCACAGAGCAGTGAACATCACTTATGTGTTCACGGTAAGGGATGAACGCACTTCGGAAATGTCGCCTAGCTGATGTCGTTGATAGTATCTGCTCGATTTGCTGATGGCAGTGGTCGGCCTCCTGATGTTCGGCGATGGTGTTCGAGAGGAGATCACCTCTAATATCCTGATGACCCCTGGATACCCGCAATGGATCTCTATCTTCATCGTCATTTGTGTCGCCATCATCCCCTTGACCAAGGCCCCCCTCAAGTAAGTTGGACTATCCTGTCTCACAAAGCATCCGAACGGACGTAGCTGACAACCTGGAAGCGCTCGTCCAGTACTCTCGACCCTCGAAGTCATCATAGGTCTCCATATCTCGCAAGATCCAGGGCCTCAGAACCCTCACGCAACCACCCGGCTGCCTCTCGCCACGCGGCAATTCTTTCGCATTTTGTTGACAATCGCCTTGATTGTCATCTTCGTCTTCCTCGCCATTGTTTTTCCCGCATTCGACCGCATAATGGCGCTGCTTGGTTCGGTCTGCTGTTTTTCGGGTTGCATCATCCTGCCCCTTGCTTTCCATTTGAAGCTCTTTTATAAGGACATGGGTCCAGGCGAGCGTCTTTATGGTTGGGTCTGCATGAGCATAAGCACGTTGCTCGCTATTGCCAGCACGATAGCAGCGATTCTGCCCAGAGATGTCGTCGGATATTGATATCGATACGCAAGAGTGTTGCTCCCTTTCTGGAATCTGATACCCACCTGCTGGAATGTTTGCGCATCATTGACATTTAATAGAGCATTGCCGGAAGCGTTGCGGACTCCCTGGGTTGGCAAGATTGTAGCTTTAGTATATAATACCTTGGCCATATAATGTTTAGATCTTGACACCTTGCCTGGAATGACTGTGTCACTCCAAGACGACGCAGAAGTTGTTTCGTCCGACACCTGGATTCAATTCCTGCTTCGAAAATCGTCGAGATCTGACGCCTAGACGGCCTCCCTCATCGGTATTGCTCTCTATTCGTGTTCCATGATGGTGATATTGCCATAGTGTGTATGACAGCTTCTGCGTTTGCTTGCACTTCGTCATCGCAAAGCCCAGAGCCTTCATGATATCCTGGAGGTGATCGAGCGTAAGATATCGGCTATTAGTCACACAGGGTAGCGGAAGGACGAGGAAGAGGGCCGGGATTAAGACCGTGGTATTCTTGAGACTTTGTCCGCTCAATTGGCTAGAATCTTCGCGTAGAAACTGCGCACATCGGGCCAACATCAACCCTCGCGATGCGGGCGTCCCACTATAGTTAAGGACCAGGCTTAAACTGAGGATATCGAACTTCTGGTCCTCGCTTCGGGGCACTGGCCTGTCCATGAAGTCCTGTTGCTCAATGTCTGGGTGAGAGCTCCGTAAGTCAATCCTGGTGGCTTCAATGGCCGACTGGACAGTGATGGCATTTCGCGGATGGATCGCGCCAACTTCAAGGAGCCGCAACCGTTTTCCAGATTTGCCGATTCGTGACAGGTCGGCTTCTAGCCACTCGAGTAACAGTTTGGAGCTATCGCCTCCACGAGGGTTGCTTTGCCCCACGAGGCTCGCGTTCTGGTAGGCCGTCAAGCCACCAGTCTCCCGGATTTCGGTTTCGATTCGCTGTATGGTTTCTTGGTCGGATGACGCACGAGCTGCGGAAAGCTGCTTCTGTAGGACATGATGTTTTCGGATCACCGTCCTTGTAGCCTTGGAGGAGAGATTCTGAGATAGGGCTGCCCGTGGTGGTCGTGGTCGTGAGGCCGAGAGGGACTTTGCCCGCAACGAACCCTGTTTCGAGGGCTTACGATTCGCTCCCATTGCTGCATGCCTTTAGGGAGACTATGGTCCTCATATTATATTTTAGAGTTCTCTTGAAATAAGATTCTGGATTTGAGCTGACTTGGATCCCGATTCCAGAGAGGCTCCATGAAAAACATGGCAGTCGTTGAATTGAGAAACCATCCTAGCCAATGAGAGACAGCGCTCCAGAATTAGCGCTATCCCCGATTAGATTTAGCGTCCACACACTGAAGCGAACCACACACAACTTCACTTTCAACAACTTCTCCATCGCCAGTATCACGACTTTTCATCCACCTCGTCATCCTCAATCACACAAAATGGCGCCGTCCGGTGACAAGAAGAAGGGTACGACCGTCAATCCGCTCGACTACGAGCATTTTCCCCCTTCTATCGAATGTCACCGCTAACCGACCCAATAGCTTCCAAGTCCTCCACCAAGGCCAACGCGGCCGCGAAGGCAACTCTGCGCGGTGTAAGCTCCCACCCGCCATGAACCCCATCGGACTCTTAGAGAGGCGTGTCAGCACAGCATCGCTGACGGCTTGTATTTTCCACAATATAGGTCAACTCGCACAAAGTCCGCAAGGTCCGCACCAGCACCACTTTCCACCGCCCCAAGACCCTCGTGCTCGCGCGCGCGCCCAAATACCAGCGCAAGAGCGTCCACCATGAGCCGCGCCTCGACCAGGGCAAGGTCATCGTGCACCCGCTCAACACCGAGAGCGCGATGAAGAAGATCGAGGAGAACAATACCCTGGTGTTCATCGTGGATATCAAGGCGAACAAGAGGCAAATCAAGGATGCGCTGAAGAAGCTGTATAACATTGATTGCTTGAAGATCAACACCCTCATCCGGTAGGTGTATGCTACGGCGATTTCTCAATGGGTGGTATACTAACGACGAATAGTCCGGACGGCACCAAGAAGGCCTACGCCCGGTTGACGCCTGATGTCGACGCCCTCGACATCGCGGCTACGAAGCTTTCGATCGTTTGAGCGGTGGGTTTTTTACGCTTTACACTGCATGGTCCAAATATGGCCCCTTTCTCTCTGAGGTTCTCTCTTTGAGATTCTCTCTGAGGATAGGAAAAAGAATCGGCGTCCCGTGTGTCAAATTAGCCTTTACATCATCGGGTCGGATGGAGATGACCATTCGGGGGATAGTGGCATAGATGAATTCATTCGATATCCTCATCCAATGTGTGAATTTCAGCAGTGTGCCTCCATGTGCTCTAGTCTACGATGGTCTCGTTCCCTGGCGCTTGCCTCAAACGCGTCTAATAGCCCAACGAATCCACCCATGGCATGCCGTATCCTCGTTTCGCACGGTATGAGAATTTGATAATCAAGTGACGTCCCAAGCCCCTCCCGGCTCCTTCGATTGACTAACGTTTCGTGCCTCGCATTCGGAATACCGGGAGTACACCCTTACATCTGAGCCTTCAGGTCCTGAACCAGCTCCCACAGATCCTCCGCATTTTGCGGCTTGAGCTGCGATATGTTAGCAATGGGTGCCGAGAAGGAAGCGACGAAGTCTCCGTACCCGTAATTGCATCAGCACGGGTTCAACGCCCTTTTCGCCTTTCACAAAGGTTGAGAAAATGACCCGTCCGTCCTTCGGTTTGTCGCTGTTGACGCCGTGGAACTTGAGCTCCTTGATGATCGGGGTATTAAGCACCAAGTTATGGGTTCCGTCGACCCTTAGAAGCAGGCGTGCCTTTCTGCCCTCGGATTTGCCATCCCCCTCGGCAGTATTGAGCTTGAGGTTTCCCGTTCCCCGTTCTTTCCAAGCCCCTCCGCCATTTGCGTCTTTGTGGAAAGCGAACAACTTGGCCCTGCTCGTGAATTCTGTAGTCTCAGTCTCCTCCCCAGTTTCCACTGCTACTGCATTAGCGGAAGACGTCCATTGAATGCCACATCAGGACTCACCCGTGCGCTCAAAGAACCGCTTATCTTTCTTCCCTTCATCCGTATCCTTTGGGGGAGCGGCTTCCTCCTTCTCGTCCTCCCCGCTGCCTTCATCCTCATCGTCTTCATCCTCGTCCACAGCCGTACCGAACGGCTTCGCAGGCTTGGCGCTCAACCCGACAATTCCTCCCGTGCTGCTGCTCCCAGCAAAACTACTTAACCCCGGACCTTTGGACAACGACGCGAATCCACTGCTGAACCCGCTGTTCCCAAAACCTCCAAGCTTGGAGGACCCCGCTCCACCGAGCGCGCCGAACGGCGACTTGTCCCCTTGGCTCGTTGCGAAACTGGTGGTCGTAGCGGTGTTGGAGGACGGTGGGATCATGCTACCGAAGGGGCTGGGGGACTTGGATGTGTTGCCGCCCAGCGCGCCAAAGGGGGAACTCTCAGAGCTTGCGAGTTTACCGAAGCCAGAGGAAGCGAATGCGCTGGATGATGTTTTGGGTGCGGGCTTCTTCTCGGGGGACAGAGTTGCGAAGGGAGATGCGGCGGCGTAGTTGGCGAAACCACCTGAAGCTGGGAGCTGGAAGGTGTTAGTAATAATGGGTTTTAACAGAAAAAAGTGATCGAGACAATACCTTCTTCTCAGGACTTTGTTTCGGTTGCTGGGTTTCTTTCTCATCAGCAATGGCCTTTGTTTCCGTATTGGCCTTCGCGATGGTCGCCGAATCATCGCGATCGCGCTGTCTTTTCGCCTGCCGCCCTTCGGGGGTGGATGCGTCGGCTCGCTTCTCACTGCCCGGCTTCAGGGACGAGGCCTTCCCTGCATCGGTCTCCCCTTTCTGGGCTTGGCCTTTGAGGTATTCATCCCGATTACGCTTGTTTTTGGGACTCGCCAGAGGATTGGTCGCATCGTCCTCAGAGGACGGCAGATCCATAGCACTTGGTGTCAACGGTCGACCATTCGTTGCTTCACCTGTTTTTGCGTTGCTGGTGGCATGCTCGCCTTCATCCTTTTCGTTATCGCGAGAACGCTTCCTCACATGTTTCTCGGGCTTCGTCTGATCCGCATCTTTCCCATCCACTTCTTCGATGCTTCGCTTCCGCTGGAGTCGCCCTCGCGAAGTGCTTCCTTCTCCAGCGGTGGCGGCTTTGGTTGAGTCCTCGGGTGCGTCGGGAATATCATGGTCACTGTTTTCTCCTGTGATGTTGGGTTGTCCTTCTATCGATGTCTCCTTCAGCTGTTTCCGGACCGGCTTCTCCCCACTGCTGTCCGCATCGCTCGCATTCTCCGGCGTGGACGCACCTTCGCGAGATGGGGATGGCTGATCCGGCGTTTTCCCGTCTTTCGATGGTTGAGGGGACTTTCGCCGCGTAGTTGATCGGGTCATTGCGTCACTTGAGGGGGGTTTATATTCGAGGCTTCAAGAGAGTTCGAAGTGCTGGAGTATCGTGTAATGGTGTACCGGGACCGGTGGATCGAGAATATAGCTTTGGATATGATCTGACCATCGACGGGAATGATAAAGTCTTTCAAAAGCGGGAGGGAGCCTCTGGCTCTATGGTCTGACCACACCTGAACCAAATCAAGTAGGCGCACTCGAGTAGGAATCGAGCGGGATTTATCGGCGTCAAGTCGCTTTGGCCGGCAAAGTGTTCGTAGGCGATGGTCTGTTGTCCGCCGAGCGGGGAGTATGGACCGGTATGATGGATCGGTCTGATGGTGTTCAAGTTACTCGGTTAGGTGGCGCGAATTGAATCGAGGCTCTGTGCAGTGGGTACGGAGGAAACAGGAGCACCGTCAAAAAGGGCAAGTTTTAAGTGGAGGGAACTTGAGGCTGTTGGAGCCGAGTCAACAGGTGGTTGCAGTCTTGCAGATGCCTGTTAAAGACGGTTGCAACTCGCAAGACAGAAAGGGAGATTCACGAAGAGAAGAGAGGCGAGAGGTTGCGGTGGATGAAAGTGAATGAAGCCAACACAGGCAGCGTGGATTGTGGAGCGGATTGGAGCTGGCCACTTGGACAAATGACAAGGTGAATTCGGTTCACCTCAGTTGGTTCGTTCACTGTACTCGTTGCTGTGCAGAGTCCAGAGTGCAGACTCACTAGACTGCGGTGTGAGCTGCGCCACTAATTCACCAGCAATCGACAGCAATCTATTGGCTGGTGTCCCGCTGGCTCAAACTGTCCATTCTTGTCAGTCCATGTTGACCATCCATAAGGAAATGCCATGACAATAAGAGGACTACACATCGTGGGGGCGTCCTCAGGTAGTTTGCACGCCGGATAGGTATATTTGGAGCGTCACTCTTTGAAAGAAACAGTCTGCTACCAAGCTATTTGGTTCCTTTCGCCTAAATGCCGGAATCTTGGACTGTCCATGAATTATACAGCAGGATATTGTAATCGCAGTCCCGTTCCCACCTTGCGATTGGACGGTGGGGCGGAGCGGAGCGGAAGCCCTTGGCTGCTGTCATTCCGCTCACTGTAGGTAAGAATGCATTGGAAAAGCTGGACAATGTTCATCATACCAAGAAATAAGTGTTGACTCATTCTATGTAATTAGTTCGGGGAGACAGGACTGAAAATTACTATTTGAGAGATCCCAACCTGGTCCTCCGTTTCGTGACTCTTGCAGGGGCGAGATTTGCCCCGCTGACAAAATATCGACTATCGAGACTGGAGAATTTCCGCCCTCCTCCTCGACACTCCCAAATACCACGCCGAGTTGGCACCCAACCTCCTTCATATCTACAAGAAACGAACCAGAAACGAACAGTTGCTGTGGCTACAACCGATCACGATGGGGCTCCCAAAGTCCAAAAATGCCGTCGGACTCGGCAACACCCTGATGAATGACCGCTTTGGGAAGGGCAAAGGGTCAGACATGCGGAGGGGCAATTTTCAACCGGGCGCTCAGCAGGGCATCCAGCGGAAAGGACAGGATGGAGAGACGGTAACTCACTTGAAGTGTACGAGAAATGAGTAGCAGACTAATCTGTCCGGGTAGTATGTGACGAACAGCAAGAAGGAAGCGTCATGGGTCAAGATGCGCAGTGTGACGGAACAGGGCGACCTCGACGAGTTTCTCAGCACCGCGGAACTGGAAGGTACCGACTTCACTGCGCAGAAGTTGAACAGCGTCAAGATCATCCACCGCGACTCGAGAAATCCGTATTTGCTGACCGCCACGGAGGAGAGGGCGGCCGTGCGGAAGCAGAATGCGAATCGAGCCCGTCTGACGGTTCCGCGACGACCGGCCTGGGACGAGAAAACCACACCGCGAGAATTAGACACGCGCGAGCAAGAGTCTTTCATGATATGGCGAAGAGGTTTGGCAAGTCTACAAGAGTCCGACGATTTGCTGATGACGCCGTTCGAACGCAACCTGGAGGTATGGCGGCAATTATGGCGAGTCATCGAGCGGTCGGATTTGATCGTGCAGATTGTTGACGCTCGAAACCCTCTCCTTTTCCGATGCGAAGATCTGGAGAAGTACGTCAAGGAGGTGGATCCGGGCAAGAACAACCTGCTGCTGGTCAACAAAGCCGATATGATGACGTCCTATCAACGGAAGATCTGGGCCGAGCATTTCAAGAAAGCTGGCATTAGTTTCCGCTTCTTCTCAGCAGAATTGTCAAAAGAACGGAACGAGGCACAGAAGGACGAGGAGGATTCGGAGGACGAGTCTTCAGAGGAGGAAGATGAAGAAGAAGAAGATATCTCTGCCGAAACAGAGAAGCTGGATATTGATTCTACGGATGGATCTAACGAGGCCCCTCTCGATGGTGACGACACGGAAGATGATTCTACGAGGATTATTACCACCGACGATCTCGAAGACCTGTTCCTCGAGAATGCGCCCGAGCCGGAGAACGACCGAGAAGGACAAACCAAAAGGATATCAGTTGGACTCGTCGGGTACCCCAACGTCGGTAAATCGTCGACCATCAACGCCCTCATCGGCGCCAAGAAGGTGTCGGTTTCATCCACGCCTGGCAAAACGAAGCATTTCCAGACGATCCATCTGAGTCCCTCGGTCATCTTGGTCGATTGTCCCGGTCTTGTGTTCCCCAACTTCGCAACCACCAAGGCCGAGTTGGTGTGCAACGGTGTATTGCCAATCGATCAGCTCAGAGAGTTCGTCGGACCGGCTGGTCTGATCGCGGACAGAATCCCCAAGGAATACGTGGAGTCTACTTACGGGATCAAGATCCCCACTCGTCCGCTCGAAGAAGGTGGAACTGGCACGCCGACTGCAAGCGAGGTATTGTCCGCTTATGCTCGCGCTCGAGGCTTCTTCACCACAGGCCTAGGACAGCCGGATGAATCGAGAGCGGCGAGGCAATTGTTGAAAGACTACGTCAAAGGCAAGCTGCTCTTCTGCCATCCACCTCCCGCGGACCCTCCGCTCAACGGCACCGATTTCAATCGAGAGCTGTACGATGCGAGCTTCACTCGTGCATCCGAAGCTCCTGTCGTCTCCGAAGAGGGCACCGAGACGGAATCACTAGCACTGGAATCACTGGACGATCTGGACATGGTTCCTATCGGGATGGTCCAAGGGCCCAAAACGAAGCGAATGGATAAAAAATTCTTCGCTCGAGGCCAGGGTGCCACCACCGCTCGAGGACAGAGTGGTGCCGGTCATCTGACCATGCCGTTCAATTACCAGTACACCGAACAGGGACAGAACTCCGCCAAGGGCCTCAGCGGGCGGAAGCAGAAGGCGATGTTGGCGCTCGAAAAGGATATAGATCCGGCGGATTTGAGATTGGACACGAAGAAGCACTTCAAGGCCAACAAACGCAAGGCGAAGAAGAAAGCCGACGACGATTGAGCGGAATGTAGCCAATGGCGTCAAGCTTCGATAATGTCTATGAAACTGCATGTACGGGCGAATTGCTGTTTCCAACCCTGCTTCCGTGATCGCGGGTATAAGGCCACACCCTCTCGGTAGTTCGGCATGGTTTAAACCGTTTCTCAGCCTTAAAGGATTTGCCTCTCAATTCTCACGGTTCGTACACGTTGACAAGGTGGTAAGCGGTAACGCATGGTATCGCGAGATGGGGTGGTCCCACCACCTGAGGACGTCGCCCGAGAATTGCCATTTTTCCAAGGGTGCAATCTGCACCGCTTCGTCATGGTGTGAGAATGTCGTGATTTTAGGCGGTGGAATTGAGACCTGAGACGGGAGGTGGAGGGGGGAGTCGGAGAGCCTCGGCGGGTCTGGGAGTCGGTCTGAGGGAGCCTGGGGGCCGGGAGGGGTTGGAGCCTTGGAGGAGGAGTAGTCAGCAGAAGGATATGGAGCACCGAGATGGAGAACAGTAGAGAGCAGAGGAGGCTACAGGCGATCGATGCGGGGGGTCCCCTCCACTAACCGTACTACGGCGGCAATCGTCCCAACTTCCCCAAGCCTCAGAGCTCAGAACCGAGGTGCCGTCCAGAACAATAAACACTTCGGCCATGTTCCTACCAAAGGGGGCACCCTGGCTACTAGAAAAGCCCCATAAGATGAAATAAAAGTATCCATTTCGAAATATCTGTCTTCCTTTTCATCCCTCGAACATCTAAATCGTGATCTAAAGTACCATCGTCGTACTTCTATCCCGTTTCTATCCTTGATCCCCCGTTCCACCGCCACCATGACCACCGAACTCCGCACCCACGCCCAGCGCGCGTCGGAACGTATCCCCCCAATTGCCCTTCCATATGTCAGCGAACGCGCACGGAAGGCGTTGGACCTCGTAAGTCTTCGGTCCCAGTCCTTGGTGCACCGGCAATTAACCACTCCCGCAGGTCGAGAAGTTCGTCGAGGAGGAGTGCATCCCCGCCGATGCCGTCTACCAACAACAGATCGGCAAGACGGTCGAGGAGCGATTCAACTCCCACCCACCGATCATGGAGGAGTTGAAGCAGAGGGCCAGGGAATACGGTCTCTGGAACATGTTCTTGCCCAGGAACCACTTCAAGGAGGGTGCTGGCTTCAGCAACGTTGAGTACGGCCTCATGGCCGAGATCTTGGGCAAGAGCCGTATTGCTAGCGAGGTACGTTGCCAAAGATTTATGCAGGGGATTATCAAGGTCGGAAATGCTGATGAGATGGCGATAGGCTACCAACTGCGCCGCCCCGGATACCGGCAACATGGAGGTGCTTGCCAAGTACGGCAATGCTGCTCAGAAGAAGCAGTGGCTCGAGCCGCTCCTCGAGGGCAAGATCCGATCTGCTTTCTTGATGACCGAGCCCAACGTGGCATCCAGCGACGCCACCAACATTGAGCTTGCGGTTCACCAAGAGGGCAACGAGTGGGTGCTCAACGGCCAGGTAAGCCTATCTCCATCACCTTCCACCACCCCATACTGACCCATATCAGAAATGGTGGAGCTCCGGCGCCGGCGACCCTCGCTGCACCATCTACCTCGTCATGGCCAAGAGCGACCCCAACAACGCGGACAAGTACAAGCAGCAATCCGTCGTCCTTGTCCCCCATGATGCCCCCGGCATCACCATCCACCGCATGCTGTCCGTCTTCGGCTACGACGATGCGCCCCACGGCCACGGCCACATCACCTTCAAGAACGTCCGCGTCCCCATCGGCAACATGGTCCTCGGCGCCGGCCGCGGCTTCGAAATCATCCAGGGTCGTCTCGGCCCCGGCCGTATCCACCACGCCATGCGCAGCGTTGGTGCCGTAAGTTCCCCCGCAGAGTACACCGCATATTAGATCGACGTCAGCTAACCGAGCTTCTTATCCACAGGCTGAGAAGGCCCTCGACCTCTTCGTCGCCCGCCTCAACGACCCCAACAAAGTCGCCTTCGGCAAGATGCTCAACGAGCACGGCGTCATGCTTGACCGCCTCGCGCGCGCACGCATCGACATCGATGCCGCACGCCTCATCGTCCTCAACGCCGCCATCAAGATCGACCTCTCGAACGCCAAGGGCGCGCTGAAGGAGATCGCCGAAGCCAAGGTCCTCGTCCCCAAGACCCTCCTCGAGACCATCGACATGGCCATCCAGGCCTACGGCGCCGCCGGCGTGTGCCAGGATACCCCGCTCGCCAACATGTACGCCAACGGGCGGACAATGCGCATCGTGGATGGACCGGATGAGGTGCATTTGCAGCAGCTTGGAAAGGCGGAGAATAAGCGAGGGCAGCAGGTATTGAAGTACTACAAGACGCAAGACGCGAACGTCGAGCGGGTGTTGAAGAGCCATGGGTTGGGGAAGGTGGATCCGCTGCAGTTGAACCGGGAGTCCGGGAAGGGTGGATCGCGGTTGTAATTGGAAGAAGATGTTAGGGATAGACCATTTTTGACAGTGAATCTCGACCGCCTTGGTGGGTATGCCTATTTACCTTAGTTTTGTGTAGATATAGCAAAACGGATTGGTTTCTTTGTCATTATTTCAAGGTCTTGGGCCAAAGGAATGCATCGTCCCCTTCATCTTAGTGATATATTCCGGAGTCCTTGCTACCTGGGACCAGCTTTGCCCCCTTGTGTAGCCAACAACTGCTATTATGGCACACCTTCGGCTATGATACATCCTGATAAGGGTTTATTCTAACTTGGCAATCGATATATGTAAGCCTATTGATTTTCTACACGACATTGGTGATAGATCACGAAAACAGCCGGTGACACACATATCATCCACCGATGATTGGAACCGCCCAATGAATTGCCCTGCCGTGAATTGATTCTAATACCGTCTAGATAAACCATATACGAGCCTATCGAACCACCTCCCACGAAACCGCCCATCATAACCTGACTTCCCCTACCGGACCTCGCACGCCGGAAAGTACCTCGGCCCCACAAATCCATGCACCTGGATCGACTGCACATCGATATTCCCCCCCGGACTCGGGCTCCACAGCTTCAACAGCACGAACTTCCCCGACACCGGCGGATCGAACTTCACCGCGATATTCCCGTCCTGCCGCCCGATGAAGAACTTCGCGTGCGGCGCCCGCACCGCCGTCCCCGCCGTCGACGTCGTCCCGTCCGGCAGCACCGGCTTGATCACGCTGGGGAGCACCCGATGCTGCAGCTGTCCGAGGAACCGGTTGCGCATGTAGGACGCTGTGTCCGTTGTGTCCGGGTCGGTTGCTCGGTTGCTCCACATCGTGTTCAGCGCCTCCCACGCTTCTTCGTCTTCGCTGGAGTTGGGCTCGACGGGCCCCGTGTCTGGGCGGGCGGCCGCTTGGCGACGCGCGCGCTCGGCGAAGCGGAGGGCGCGGCTCCAGTCTTCTTCGGTGTCCCAGTCGGAGACATCATCATCGGTGGTGACGTGGAAGGGGTAGGGGTTGCTCTGAGGCGGGGGATCTGCTGGGTCGGAGGGATTGGTGTAGGTGGAGGGGCGGTTCATGAGGTCTTGGAGGTGATATGGTCCAGTGGGTCGGTGGAGGGACCAATTGGGCTCAAGGGTGCTGAGAATGAGATCGTTCAGGCTGCTTGGATCGCTGTCGATCTCGTGGACGTGAGGTTGCAGTCGGCGCTCCCAAGCCAGATGCCCGTTCTCCCACACATCCCACTCGTCTGGGCCCTGATAGTACGATGGGCGGTTTTGGGGCTGGGAGACGCCGTTTCGGTTTTGGGCGGTGCTCAATGGCGGTGTGGATTTGGGTTGTCTCTGGATATTGACGTATTCAATCTGGTACATCGAGGAGCTGCTGAGAAGCGAGGTAGAATCCATGCCGATGAAGATCAAGCCCTCTTGTATGCTGAGAGAGCACTATTAGTACTCGGATAAGAAGGCAAGTTAGCTGATCGGAACATACGGGAATGGGTAGCCTCGTTCCGGTGCCTTGATGACGACCTTCTGAAGAGTGAATGGGACCTCTCCCTCATGCCGAAGAAGGAGGTCGCACGACGAGCTCTTGATCGAGCAGACGCTCTTATCATCCTTCAAGAACTGCGCCCGTCGGTTCATAATATACGTATCGTCATTCCCGTCCTCGGTACAGCTCAGAACCTCCATGTTCAGCTTCCCCGGGACGACTTGGCCGTGATATCCGTAGCGGAACCCCTTGTAATCCGGGTCCGCAACGCTATGGTCATGGTCCAACTTCCGACGCTTTCCACGAGGTCGGCTTCGCTCTCGGCTTGCGTCCTGCTCCGCAATCCAGCTGAAGTCCGGGAGGGGGAGCCGCCTTAAATTGGACGACGACGCTCGATCGAGGATATCGCTGATCCGCGAGACGTAGTCACTCGCATCGTGGAGCGCCGCGAGAGCGGGGTTGTCGGCGGCTTCGTCCCTCTGTGCAAGGCGTCTCTGTCTGGCCATCGCCGAGAGCAGGGGCCGTCGACTGCTGTGGTTAGGTGCCCGTGTCGACGACGCTGGTGGGGCGATGTCCGGGTTCTCGGACGAGGCGTCGTCGTCCTGGCGGGAGGAGGATCTGGAGAACACACGGCGTCGCCGCGGCGGCGGAGCGTTGTCGGAAGAATGGGGCATAGTTGCCGTAGAAGTGGAAGGGACGCCGAATGCGAAGCTCGGAGCGGAGTCGGAAGAAGGTGGGATACTGGGGGCGGTGGTGGGGGTAAGGAGTGTGAAGCCCGGATAGCGAGATCGTGCGGTGGGCTCCTCGTCGTCTTGCAAGGCGGAGGGTTGTCGATCGCCGTCTCGGTTGCGGGAGGACGATGAAGCAGGTGGCCAGTCGAACGAACCCGACATCTCCAGGTATGGATGAGGGCACGGAAGCAGATGTCTATGAAACAGGCCTGACGGAGACAGCTGTCTTTAATCGTCGGGGTATGGTAGATTTACAGGATTGGTGGAAGGTTTCGGGCAGCAGTATGACAGTGGGCCTTAAACCATTCTTATGGTTGGAATGAATGCATACACATCAGTTCTGATGGCTGGGAATGAAGCAGAGGAGGAGGGAGTGTACGAGGTCGGGGAGATTGGAGTGATGATGTTACCTTATCCATACTATAGGAATGAAGGGAAAAGGTCACGCAGGATACACGTAAATTACCTTCCCAAGTACAGCTATCCGGATGGCCCCTTACAAACGGTCCAACCCCCAACCCTTTCCCAGTCACTTTCTGTTCTGTAAGGAATGTCCGAGGAACACGGATTTATGCAAAAGTAACGAAGCCAATTGCTGTGGTCTGATGGCATGGCCGGATCGCTCGTCCATAATAGTCACAAATTAGGATCCCACTGGCGCCACTAATAGGCTCTCCACTCCCCTGTTCGGGCTGTCCCACACTGGTGTCTCCATGTTTGAAGACCTTGCGTCATAAGTCATAAGAGCCAGCGGTTTCATCAACAGCGTTACTATTATATTCCTTTAATATTCTTCGTGGTCATTAGGAGTGAGTTGGCGAGGCGAGATGCTGCTGATACAGAGGACACCGCCGGGTATATTCCACCATCCCGCTACACGCCTGATCTCGAGGCGGGCGTTCACTTCGTCTCGGGTGGTCCGTCGACTGGCCCTTTCCTATGACCTGCATGAGCCCAGCCCGAAGCAAGATGGCGAGCAATTGGGCGCCCCAATTGTATTCCTACACGGTCTGTTCGGGTCGAAGCAAAACAATCGGAGCATGAGCAAGTATGATATAACACCATCATGTATCTCTGGAAAGGACTAAGCAGGATGTAGAGCCCTTGCGCGGGATCTGCGGAGGCCAGTCTACGCGGTCGTACGTACAATGAACCAAGCCGTTTACAGCCAACGAGTCCAGAGCTCATGCCGGAATAGGATCTCAGGAATCATGGTGACTCTCCTCATGATCCGACGCATGACTACCTCCATCTTGCAAACGATGTCGAGACGTTCCTCGAGTATCACAAGCTCACCGAACCAACCCTAATTGGGCACTCCATGTCAGTTCTTGTTCAACTTTGACGGCTCTAGGACGCTTCTCATAAGGATGATATAGGGGTGCTAAAGTCGCCATGACCGTGGCCCTTCGCTCCCCGCCCAAAGTAGCGAATCTCATCGCTGTTGACAACGCTCCAGTGGATGCGGCATTGAAGAGTGATTTCGGTGGTTACATCCGCGGAATGCGGCAGATCGAAGAAAAGGGAGCAAAGAGACAAAGCGATGCGGATGAGATCCTCAAGTCGTATGCACCGGTGAGTTTGTCATGTGTCTCCCTAGGTAACCGTGGTTTCCGGGCAGATCTCTCGTAACTAGACTGTCGTCATGGCTAATATATGTATAAAACGTCCGAGCTAAGATACGTCGTGTAGGAGCTTCCCATCCGGCAGTTTCTGCTGACCAACTTGACCCGACCCCAGGGCTCCGAATACCTGAAGTTCCGGATCCCGGTCAAATATCTCGCGGACGCGTTGGATAAGATGGCCGATTTCCCGTTCAAAGACCCCGAACAAGTGCGGTTTGCAAAGCCGGCGTTGTTCGTGAGGGGCACGAAAAGTCATTACATGGCCGACGAGACGTTGCCGGTCATCGGGCGGTTTTTCCCGCTATTTCAGGTGGTGGATGTGGAGGGTGGGCATTGGGTGATTAGTGAGAACCCAGAGGCATTCAAGACGGGTGAGTCGAATCCATTTGATGACTTGATTGGTGTGCTAACCATGTCTACCTAGCCGTGGTCGAGTTCTTGCAACAGGAATGATTTGTTCCCAGGTCGATGGGCTCACTGGCGCCAGCGGAGTCCTGCACTATTATTGTAACTTTATAGATAGAATAGGCCAAGACTTCAGGCCATACCCAGGATTGAGGAGTATCCGGTTGCAATATCACATCTTCACAGGCGTAGTTCGTATATCTTCGATTCAGAGACCCTGCTTTTCAGCTATGATAAAACACCGTGGCATGCTAAGTCCATGATACGCCCTTTGATACCAGTTGGGCCAACCCAATTGACCCCGTCCCAGTATTTTTTAGACACTCTCCAGAGGGGCACGCTCCTTGAAGTCCTTCTCGAGCTTCTGACCAGAATCATCCGTGCTTGCCTCGCCGTGAAGCGTGAGCAGCGCACCCAGATCGAACTTGGGCTGCTTGAGGAGCTTGACCTTGCGAACGTGGACCTGTGACGGTTAGAATATGCAATTGATCCGAAGAAGACGATAACGTACGTGTTGAAGAGGATAGATGCCAACGCAGGCCTTCTCGATCTCACGTCCAATGACTTCCGGAATCAACTTCTGCACCAACTGATTGAGCGTGGTGCTGGCGGCCTCCCGCTGCATGATCTCGACCATCTTCTTTCGGATGGCCCGGATCTGTGATGACGCGGCATAGGTGGTCTTCTTGATCTGGTTGGGTCGTCGCTTGGTGAAGGCGATGCAGAAGAGACGGAGGAGGTAGTCATCGGTGGTCTTGACCACGACGTTGGCCTCGATCAGCGATTGCCACTTGCGGACCAACGATCGCAGCTTGTCGGAGGTGAAGTCAAGCCCGTGGAAGTTGGTGAGGCAGTTCTTGCCCTGCACCTCGTCCACGCGGAGCTTGATCTTGCGGAAGCTGTGGTCCTCGTCCTTCTGGAGATCGGCGAGCGAGACCTCGAGTATCCGGCCCTTGAGGGCGTCGTTCGCGTTCTTCATACCGGTCGTGCGGTTGACGAGGGTTTTTCCGACACTGATGAAGCGCACGTTAGCATATCTGGAGCGTCGTGAGGGATTCGGTTACCAAGGTTTGCACGCACTCTCGGCTGGCGAAGGTTGACGGAGCCTTGATGTTGTACCAGTCCTTCCGGGCGAAGGGGTCAGTTCGCTTCTTCAGGCCCTTCTTGCCTTTCGACAAACGCTTGTTCTTGCCAACAGCCATGATTGCGCTGTTGCAGTAAGGTCTGGATGTGGTAGATCTCGGTTCGTGGAGGTACGTTGGGTGAGACGAACTTTGAGAGTGTGAAGGAGGTTTAGCGAAAATTACTCAGCCAATGTGTGATGCACCGCCACAGGGGCCACACTTGGTCTGTGCACGGAATTTTGCTGCGAATTTAGTGCGAAACAGCGAAAGTGCGAACTTGGCAGTTTGCGAAGTGCAAACTCGAAACACGTGATAGGTCTTGGCGGTTCCTGCTTTTCACCTTTCAGTTTGGTTGTGCTGCAATTACGAACGACGAAGCAGTCATGCTCCGGGCCGATGGGCTGAATCATTGTCATACCAGTCACTGCTCCAATTTGTATTATGTATTATTATCCTTTGCATTGGACATTGGTATATACGTAGTGCATCCTATGCTGCCATGAAGGCATCTCCAACTCCTGTTGCGGAACTCCACCCGAGGAACTCCACCCGAGCAACGGCGACTGACGCGCCCATTTCTTCGACAAGCGGTGTGAAGAAGCCAGCGTGCTGATCATCAAGACAAACGTCCGCCCCATCATGGCAATCGTCAAGGCGCCGATGGTTGCATCCATCGTTCCTACGCCCGGCTATGTGATTTCGTCTTCCGATGAAGACCCACAGTCCCTCCTGTCCTTCGGATGGGAATCTGCCTCTGCTCGGCACACTGTTTCACCTGTGCTCGTCGCTTTCATGATTTCTATTGCAAGAAAACCGAGTCGTGGTTCCCCCTGGGGGAAGTCATCAGTCCCACCGCTTATCTAGCAGTGACGTGTCGGTCCTTCACGATTGATCATAGTTTTCTTCGTTGTCCCCATAATCTTGCGAGTCGAACGATTGCTGGTACTGCTCGAAGTCGGGGAAGCTGACATAGCCATCTTATCATGGGTTAGCAACAGCGTCCAGCCGTGTTACTGGTAATGTCTGTCATACCTCTCTTTTCTCGGATCGACCATCGTCCTTCATCGCTCGACGAATGCTGCTCATTATGCAACATGTGCAATGAATCTATCTGACGTTCACTCTCCCTCGCCGGCGGAGTCGGTAGCGGTGTTGACGCCGGAGTACGTCGTCTTGATCCGGGGCTCGACGCCACTTTTGAGAGCAAGACGGACGCTTTCGTTGGCGAGCCGGCTTCGTGTCTCGTTGCGGAAGAGTTCTGGACACTGATGGAAGGGGGGATTACGGTGGATGGTGAGAGGGGGGATCGTCGACTGGATGATTTGAACACCTGTGAGGGTGACGTAGGGGAAGGGAGTTGGATATGCATTTTCTCGGATGGCATATGGATTGGTGGATATGTGGATACGGTTGGGGGTTGTTGTGAAGTGGTCAAGAGCTTTAGATATGCTTTCGATATGTCTTCTCGGACCTTTCCGTGGTGGAGACGGAGTATGGCGTGAGAGTGAAGAGACACGGAGGAGACGGATGCGGGTGGAAGCCTGGCTAAGGAGGTTGACATAGGCACGTTATGTATAGGGTGCTGGACGGGTTCACGAGATGTGGTTCGTTTTGGCGGATCAACCAATGGAGAATTTCGACGGTTCGACAAATGGCCGTGAAATCCAATTGTCATCCGAAGAGAGCAGGTCTGAGACTCTAGATGTCATTTGCCGGTATAATATGGAATGCTCAAGTTGGACATGCGAGGTGAGTTGGGGAACCAGGATTCCGCCTGTCCGCCTCCCTCAGGGCCAGTCGTGCTGCCATGTCAGCTTTCGGTGGAGCGCCAAACGTGCTGGACTGTTGGCCACCGCCTGCGACTATCAATGGGATTTTGGGAAAATGGGGAAGAGGCGTGTTCAACTGTTCATGGTTTCTCCTCCTAGCCATGTCACATCGACTCCGCAAATAGCCATCCATCCGTATGGATTGTCGACGACGCCGTGTTCTAGACAACATTAATAATCCTAGCACCCACACGTTGGGAAGAAACACGACGGAGATCCCAGGGAAGCCCGCGCCCAGCCAGTCTACCCCTCGTTCAACCATCTCGGTCAATTTGAGGGGAGAGAGAGACACAGCGACCGTTCTCCCCAATTCATTGTTCGTTAGCTCGGATGTGAGCAGCCCGCCAAAGCCTGAATTCCAATTCCACGCACCGCATTCCAAAAAAGCATGACCAAGGAAATCGGATGTGGCACCCCGTCGACGATCCAGTCGCCCGCATTCGGAGCTCGGACGACTGAGCGTCGACCACGTCAAGTATCACCAGATGGGACGAAAAGAAATTCTTCGGGGCGCTTGCAACTCGATTCCGCCCGTGGACCTGTCCTGTCCCGCCGCGTTTTCGGCTGTGCCAGACACTGGCTCGACGCGGGTTGGGGGCGTGCGAACTAAACATTGCTTCTGCCACCACGGAGCTTGGGCGGTGCGTGATACTCGGTGCGGGTGCCTCGCGGTTTCTTCCAAATAGCGTTGCGGGGGGGCATGTTCCACGGGGCACGTCTGGAACTCTGGACGCCGTTTCATTAATCTATGGAGATCCAAATTCAGGAGCCGCGGGCGGGCGAAGACAGCTGTTGCATGCACCGGATTCGTGGGACCACCGTTACTCCCGTTGGTTCAGCCTTGTTTGGCGGGCCGGTGCGAACTACAGGACCCAGATGCGTTTTGGCGTGTTGGGCGGCGGTCCGCTTGCACGACATGTTCAGATGATCACTTTGGGGATGGGCGACGAGCGCGCCCCTTGCTAGTTCCGCGGAATCTAGAGTTGGTTCTATCACCCGGTTGTTTCGTTACATACATCCGTTGCGGCCCAATTGCCTTCGAAGTTGAACCGTTGGCCCGTACGAGCGACCAATAACCCCCCTCCGACGCGGCCGCCATGGCTTCGCCCCTGTTAGTGCTGTATACATGTTAGTCAAACCGGTGTAAATCGCAGATAGGTTCTCTTACATCGACATCATCCCATGCACGACCATGGACGTTGGCCAACTCGTCCATAGTCATCGTTTTTCCTGTGGTGACTATGACGAAACGTGTCAGTAACGAGGTCCTCCGCATGGGGGCACTGGGAAGCTTACAGTATCCTGCATGGATCTTCGCGTCGATTTCCACTCGGCTGTCCTCTGGAATCAGCTCGTCGGGAATGGGGACTCGCTCGTGGATTGGAATCCCTTGCTCTACAATTGCGTCATGCTTCATATTGGACATGCTGAGCATGCGGTCAATCTTGGTAATGCCCAGCCAGTGGAGGATGTCTGGCATCAAGGCTTGGAACCGCATATCTTTGACGCCGGCGATGTTCTCCGTCCGTTTGAAGTACTCACTGGCACGGTCCGCACCTCGCTTCCGCGCATTATAGACCAGGTACTTAGTGACTTCGCCTAATGCACGGCCTTCCTTGCGGAAGTAGATGACGATCCCGCTGCCGCCATTCTGGGCTTCCTTGACGGCCTCCTCCACGCCGAAAATCAGGTAAGGCCGGCACGTGCAGATATCTGAGCCAAACACGTCGCTTCCATTGCATTCATCATGAACTCGGAGAGCCAGTTTTACATTGGCATCAGAGATTTTCGCGGGGTCTCCAAAGATATAGACCGTCAACCCGCCAATCGGAGGAAGGAACAGATCAATGTCACCTCTCGTGATCAGTTCTGGATAAGAACCACCGGTCTCCTCGAATAGGGTTCTACGAAGGAGGGTTTCGTCTATCGAAGCATTCTTAGTGGATGAGCAACGCATGGGAAGGATGGCGACATACCTATTCCGAATCGCTCCGCGACGCCAGGAAGGTGCCACACGGGCTCGACGGCAACTTTCGTGACGGCCAATTCACCTTGCTCATTGATGCAGATCTTGCCATCCGGCTTCAATCGACCTTCGCGGACGCTGTTCTCCAGCTCCGGGAGCTTCATATGCGCCTTGGTCACGGCGATGGTGGGTCGGATTTCGACACCGTCTTTATCGATGACCTCTTTGAAGAGCCACGGTGCCAGGTGGCCCAATGGGTCCATCGCGACGATCTTCTTCGGATCCTTCCACTGTGGTTGCGGCTTGATATCTACCGCGGGCTCCGTGTTGGTGAAATCCGGCTTGTGGTTGACGTCTAGTTCGCTACTCGCTACAGCGAGTGCATTATAGACCGAGTATGACCCGCCATGGGCGCCAATGGCTGCATCAGTTAGCTTTCACTGCTCTAATATAAAGTCTAGATAGTATGGGACGTGTAGCAGGAGGGGACTGAGCCTACCATTTCGTCGTCGAATCGAGTTCTTATGCCTCGACACAACTACCGGACCTCTCGTATTCGGATCTTCATGACCCCAATTCATGGGCAATGGGTCCATTCCACCCCGATCCGGATACGACGTGAGGACGATCTTCGAGATCTCCGGATCGGAGTCAGTCGGCCGCGATACGGTAGGTATCTGTTTCTCTGCTCCATTGGTGGCGACCGGGACTGTTTCTTGCTTCTTTTCCACCTGCGGTAGCTTCAAAACGTCCGGTCCATTGTCCTTGAGTTCTTTCACGCCGGCCAAAACATTGACACGGCCGTTGATCTGATCCACGGTAGAGGCCAGTTGAGCATTCTCGTCTCGAATCTCTTGGAGACTAGATAATATCTGATTCAACACAGAGTCGCCCATTTTGAAGTATCCAAATTACAAAGTGAATATGAGTTGATGACACGTTTCCAAGCTCTTGATGACGACTCTTATTCTTCGGGGGGTTCCGAAGGGATTTGAAGTAACACACCAGCAGAAGAAGAAGAAGGAATGTGGAATGACCAGAGAGAGGGGAATCTAAGTCGGTTCTCGCTGGTTCTAATATACGGATTTTGATTTATTAGATCTATGGCGCTTGTTTGTGGCTCTGCGAATGGGTTCTTTGTCTTCCTGGGTACTTACGCTCTAATCATCAACGATTATCGATCGTCGTCGGGCCTCAGGGAGATAGGGATAAGGGAAGCCGAATTCCGGGGCGTGACCAGCGATAAGTGGCAGCTATGACTGGGGGAGACCCACCGACTAGGATTTCGCCCGCCTGCCCGCCTGCGGCCTGCCCGCCGCCGCCCACCACTCCACTAGGCAATTCGAAGCTTGGACGCTCCATCTGATACCTTACTGAAGTTACAAATTCATATGGAACTCATTACGACACACCAACTCTCTTTCCTCCATTCTATCCATCGTCCTATTTGGCTGTATCCGACCACACGTAGAACAGGAGTCTCAAGATGGTATAGTGTGCATCACATCAGAAATGCAGTGATGGAACCTAATCTCTCGTTCTAGGGCAAGCGAAAGAAGTCCTCCCGGAAACCCGCAGGAAAGAAGAAGCGCGAACCCCTCGGCAGCACATTCCAATGCGTCTTCTGCAATCACGAGAGTGCCGTACAGGTCAAGCTCGACAAGAAAGGCGGCGTCGGAAACCTTTCGTGCAAAGTCTGCGGACAGCATTACCAGACCGGCATCAACCGTACTTTCCACATCGCTTTCCCCGTGGCATCTCAAACAAGGCTGACCACTCCGCTTGGTTAGATCTCTCGGCGCCGGTAGACGTCTACGCTGCCTGGATGGACGCGTGTGAAGAAGTGGCGAAGGAAGCGACCTCCGCTGGCGCGCAATACACATCGACCGCAGATGACTATATGCCTGAAGCGAGAAGTGCGGCGCCGCCGAAAGTCGGCCTGGGTGCGTCGCAGAAGGAGGACGATCTAGACGGATTCATCGATAATGACGACGACGATGTGGAGGCTGGTTACGGTGATGATGAATGAGGATGGCAGTGATCAAATGATGCAAGATGAGAGTGTTGAATTTGCCCTTCAGTTCCTCGCGGTGATGTAGAGCTCGGCTCCGCGATTCGGAAGAGAGCCTTGCCGTACAGAGGCCATCAATCGTTGGAAGTGCGAACAACTCTATTATCTATACGGAGGAATGCTGGAGCCGATACGGTCTCTTCGGAATGGTGGCACATGGCGTCAACGGCAGCTTGGGAATGGGAGAGGGTGCTCCTATTGTATAATATAGATCTCATTGAACACATTCGGCATCCTATGCTATGCAAGTTATGTGGTGCTATATGGGACTTCCAGGCTAATGCAATGATCCATCAATACAACCGCCATTTGAAGCAACCAGAACCGTCCCATCTGCGCTCGCGGAGCCGGGACCTCCCACATCCGACCCTTTACATCGTGTAGAACCTGTCACCGAAATCTCCCAACCCAGGAACGATATAGCTGCGAAACACGTGAGCTTTTGGTCACGTCACTTTGCGGGTCGTGGCACTTACTTTTTGTCGTCCAGCCCTTGGTCGACAAACGCCGTGACCACACGCACCTTGGGGACCTTCCGCGCAAAGTTCTCCGCCCCTTCGGGGCTGGCGATCAGGTTTAGGAACAGGATCCGATCTTCGGGGACGCCCTTATCTAGGAGCACTTGGACCGCCATGAGCGCGGAGCCACCTAGCATCGTGAGCATGTCAACTTCAGCTTCCGGGCGATGGAGGATTACCTGTCGCAAGCATGGGGTCGAGCAGCAAGACATATCTCTGCGCGATGTCCTCGGGAAGCTTGTCGTAGAAGAGTCTCGGTTGCGCCGTGTCTTCATCGCGTTGGATCAGGATCTTGCCGATTCGCACGCTTCGACAGCAGTCCCGCAGGCCCTGCTCCATGGCTTCTCCCGCACGCATGATTGAGACACCGCAGATCTTGCCCTCGAACTTGACACCGGAGTAGGAGATGCCCACCGGGGTGTTGATCGTGTGCTGGACGACCGGCAGGTGGTTCAGACCTTCCTCGACTAGCAGTCGGATGATGCGGTTGGAATAGAAGATGAAGTCTGCGCGGTTCGTGTTTACATCGCGGATCATACTGCCGAATGGTCAGTCTACGGTTCAATCCGAACGCCAGCGATAGGGATGTGCAAGCAAAGACGGGAAGATGTAGATGGCTACCCACGTCAGAAGAGCGATTAGCTGCGGCGTCTGGGAGAGGACATGCACATTGGGGTGTGGCACTTCGGTCGACACGGTGGCTATGGGCCTCTGTTCCTCCGGGCGGTATTCTGGTCCCATACCCCGCGAAGGAGTCTTTGACATGGACATTCTGAAATCTGTATATTCCGGCTGGATTGCGGGGACAAGAGCGGATAGCGGAGGGGAGGATATATGCGGAGGAGAGATTCTCGAGCGACGCCACGGACTGTTCAGGTATTAATTAAGAGTCCAACATGATTCTCGAGGTTCGCCAATACCCTTTGCAACGACGAACAAGATAGGAACGTAATTGTTCACATGCACGGGGTATAATTTATGGGGTTGGTTGAAAAATCGGCATAGAACTTCCGCTTGAAGTGACCGAGATTAGAGATAACTATGGATGAGGCTTTCGTCTATCTTTCTATCGGGCCCTGCCGCCCGCCGGCCGCACTGCAAGCGGGCAACTTTCTGCACGGAACAGGGGTGTAGGTTGCCCGCCAATGGAAACGCAGAATTCTCAGGTCAGGTGCTTGAACCCCATGCATTGAAAATCCCAGTTCAGCGCCTTGCCGCCTGATGATCTGAGAGACTTGCAGCCTTGAAGCCTTACAGCCTTGAAGCCTTATAGCCTAGCAGCCTTGAAGCCCTGCAGCCTAGCAGCCTAATCCGCCATGCTGATGTGATGTTGATGGTCGTCATTCGACGCTGTATCCAAAACATCAACAACTCCCAGGAGGGAATGTGAATTCTATTGAAGTGAACCTGCTTATCACTCCATCCCACACCCATCCGATCCTCCATCCAAATCCATCTTGTATCTATACTTCTGTCACGCCCCATTCCAGTCTTTGTCCGCCACCCCCGCCGTTTCTGGAACCCTCCCGGCGCCTTGTACTTGACGCTTGGTGGATCGCTTTTGGAACGTGCTGTTGGAGATGTTCTATTAGGATCCTGGGCTGTTGAAGTGTAATATACATCAAAGGGAATGAGACACGGTGTCGCCATGGCCACGCGATCGAACGGAAGCATGACCACCATGTCTTCGACCGCTCCCCAACGACGAAACGACCTCTCCACCCACGGCAGATCATCTAGTCGGAGCGCAAAGTTGAGCGGCGAGGAGGCCTCATCTTCGACGGCACATAAGTCGCGTAACGCTCCGGAAGCGACAGGAAGGTTAAAGAGGAATGCTGCCACCGTAGAGCAACCATCGAAGCCGGCGCCAGGGAAGCTGTTGCGCCCTCCACAAAAGAAGGTGGTGTCGGAAAGCTCCTCGGTCTTCGATGTTCCCTCGTCGGATGACGAACCTACCCCGAAACCAACTACACGGAGAGCACTTCCATTAGGTCGACCTCGTGCCCCAGTTCCAACTCAATCAAGACGCAAAACACCCGAGCGACAAGTGAGCGACGCGAAGGTCCAGAAGGTTCAGAAGTCGACACTCGTACCACAGGCGTGGGTCTCCCGTCCTATCACCGAGAAGCCGGTCAAGGAATCATCTGACCCATACTCGATCCATTCAACCAGTTCTGAACACGAATCAGATATGGCGGCGAAATCGGCCATGAAGCGTAAAGTTAGCGATGCGCCACAAAGAACCGATACGTCTGGCGTAGTCAAGAAACCGCGAAGGATCGGAGTGAGTGAAACGAAAGCTCGTTCACTTGGATCACAAGCAAAATCTGCCCCAGAAGCGCTACGCAAAATGGTGTCTAGAGACCGGCAGAGTGCCAGAGTAACTTCTGCAAAAGCGGCGCAAGGCGCCCACTACTCCCCAGGACTCACTTCTGACGACACTGGTATCACTCCATCCACACCACCAGCACGTCAGAGTGACTCTGAAGCATCGAACAGTCATGCTCCAGGTACCATCACTCCGAAACAGAAAGAGCTGTGGTCAGCCTTACTAGAGTCCCCAGAGACTCCTAACAGGGAAGAACTCCAGCGACTGCGGCTAAGCGAGAAGAAAGTCGCATTTCTTCACCGGTCGTCGTCGGATATTCCGAAGAGATCACGACTGATTGACAGCTTGAGACTACACGGCTCGGCATCAAACGAATCCGAAGAGGAGGATGACGATGACGAGAAAATGGAGGAGGCAGACGGCACACCCAGGAGAGGCGGGAAGAGGAAGGTTCAGGAAGCGTTCGAGACGAGAAATGCGAAAGTCACTCAAAATAGCCATGTTCGGACGTTTGTTTCTAGTGCCGGTGCTCGGATGACCTACGGAGAGACGCGCACCCTTCTACAAGAGGATCCGAAAACCTTCGAGGAGCAACTCGACGATATGTTCCCGGACCCCGTCCCATTGAGCAGCCAGCCCATCGACGAGGAACTAGAAGACCCCCAAGGCGCCATGCGGTCGGTCCACGAACTCCGCGCCGCAGGCGGAAGCCAACGGTTCGCGGAAGACCTTGAGGCCCTGCTGGAGGACATCTCCGCCACCACGCCCGGGTCGACCGGCCGGAAGCGGAGCGCCATGTGCGAGCTAGCTGAGAAATGCGCGGATAAGGACTTCGTCGAGCGCATGTGCACCACGGGGTTCATCGGCCGCATGTTCGAGATCGGCGCGTCGGAAACGGATACGATCGTGCTGTTTGCGTGGGGCATCGCCGTGGCGCTGGCGTTGAAATTGGGGACGAGCGGCATCGTGGCGCAAGGAGCGTGGGAGGCTTCGCATCGGATGGAGCAGTCCTATGGATCACTGTCGAGGCTTTTGGACATGGACGCTGATATCGTACGGATCGGCAAGGATCGAAAGACGAATATGTCTCGCGCGTCTCAGATTTCACTTGCGCAGTTCAAGGAGTTTGTGTTGAAGGGAGTGCTCTTCCAAAATGGCACACCGCAGCAGACAACCTTGAGTCCCCGAGACGTGACGCTCCGGTTTCTGGAGTCGCTGCTTCGAAAACTCCGCAAGTCCGGGATCCGAGACACGATCCTGGACGAGCAAGTGGTTGCGAAGATTATCGAGATCGCCCAAAAGAGCCTGAAATCGCCTGGGCCTCGTGACCACTGCATCTCCATCCTCGAGTTCGAATCCGGGTCCGGCAAGTCGTTCCCCACCGAGCAGATCCACGCGATCGTCACCGTGATCACCTCCATCCTCTCCATGGACGAAACCTACAACACCACCTCCGACCTCCTCGAGCTCACCCTCCGCCTCATCCTCAACCTCACCAACAACGAACCTACCGCCTGCGCCATCTTCTCCTCTCCCGCCTCCCCCATCATCCTCCAACTCCTCACCTCCACCGTCCACCTCTTCTCCACCTGCACCTCCATCGCCACCTCTCCTACACCCCCCTCCGCCACCCACCTCGTCTCCATCGACCGCCTCATCCTCACACTCGGCGCGACCATCAACCTAGCCGAATTCTCCGATCCGGCCCGCCGCGCCGCCCTCTCCCCCGTTCCCCCTTCAAACCACCAACCCAACCCCCCCAAACCACCAACCACCATCCTCTCCTCCCTCCTCCACACCTTCCTCGCCGGCCGCGCCCACCTCGCCGCCGCTACCATCGACGACCTGCAAGCCGAATCCACGAAACAACACAGCTCCTTCTCGCAACTGCAGATCGCGCACGGATACCTCGCCGTGCTGCTCGGGAACCTGTGCCAGTGCCCCGCGGTGCTGAGCGCCGTGCGGGAGGAGTTGGCGCGCACGACGCGGCCGGGGCAGTCCGGGGGGAGGGAGACGGACACGGGGTTGCGGGTGTTGATGAAGGCGGTGCGGGAGTTTATTACGGTGTATCGCGCGGCGAATGGGGCGGGGAGCGGGGGGCATGGGGAGGAGGAGGGGCAGGAAGAGGGGGAGGCTGGAGAGGAGATGGTGTGGGATGGGATGGGAAGTGGGCGGGGGAGGGGGAAGGGTGGGACAGAGGAGGATGAGACGTGGAGGGCGTGGACGGTGAGGTTGGAGGGGGTGGTGAGGAAGTTGGAGGAGGCGGAGGGGTGAGGGGAGACGGGAGACGGGAGATGATGAAGATATGGACATGATGATGGATGGGGATCTGGGCGTTGGTGGTTAGCATGTTTAGGACTGCGGAATGCGTCAGTTGATGAAGGGAGTTGGTTCCTCGGGCCTAGCGGTGGTTCTGAAATGGAGTCGATGATCGATCGGGAATCCTTGGTCGGTTCAAGACGCTTTAGAAGGAATCCTCACCGATAGTTACTATTTGGGTGGAACTGATGGCCTTGACAGTCGTGCAGATGATCGCTTGCACAGCAGATCATATTTAGGATTAGGTAGATTAGCAAATCCGAATCCTTCACCAGCCAAATTCCTCTCATGTCATGCCCTACTCACTATATTTATTTGTCCATCAAAAAACGATTTAGAATTGGTGAAGAACTAGGTCTACGTATAACGAAATCGCATGGTTGCAGTTCTATTCTACTTAATCGTAGGAGAGCAAAAACCGCTTGCCATCGTAGCCTTCTGTGGAATTTTTATTGGAGACTCAAATAGAAAACCGGAAAGTCGGTAATCTTGCTCCATACTGTTCATGGTGCTCATGAAAAAAAATGAAAAAGTTCAACCTTCGCTTGTGCGCTGTCATCCATCAATTTCGCCGTATCCATAATCCTCATGATGCGATCCCCGCATTCCGTGCTCCGACGTACTGGGGATCCGTCCGCGTCCGCAGTTACGGGGACTCCTTCACCTTCTTGATGACGGCCACGACGCGGTCGAACAGCGGATGCGTGGCCTCCAGACCGCACAGCTCTGTTGCCAACCCCTCCGGTGTGCCGGCGGCCAGCTTCTTCGCGAGCTCCTTGCTCTCCTCGTCGCCCTCGACGTTCTGGAAGCGCAGGGCCCACTCAATGGCGGCGACGAGGTGGGAGCAGTCCATGTTCGCCTCGGCGAGCTGGGAGGCGGGGCCGACGAAGCGTTCGTTGCGGCTGATCTTGCGCAGCGGGGCGCGGCCCACGCGCTCGACCTTGTCCTCGAGGGCGGGGTTGGAGATGCGCTTGATGATGGCCTCGATGTAGGCGTCCTGGTCGGCGGGGGCGACGCCGTGCTTCTTGACGATGAGGCTGGCGGTCTCCTTGACGACGGAGCGGACGATGGCCTGGATCTCCGGGTCGGCGACGGCCTCGTGGATGAGCGCCTTGCCACGGGCGTAGCCGTAGTAGGCGGCGGTGGCGTGCGCGGTGTTGACGGTGAAGAGCTTGCGTTCGATGAAGGGCTTGAGGTCCTTGACGAAGTGGACGCCTTCGATCTGGGGGTGGCCGACGCCGTCGAAGGGGGGGGTCTCGATGCACCATTCGTGGAACTTTTCGATCTTCACGTCGAGCGGGCCGGCGGCGGGGTCCTGCTGCGGGACGATGCGGTCGATGGCGCTGTTGGCGAAGCGCGCCTTAGTGTCGATCGTCTTGAGGGTGTCTGCGCTGAGCTTCTCCTTGATGAAGCCGGCGAGGGCATCGGTGGCGCCGATCATGTTCTCGCACGCGACGACGGCGAGGGGGTAGTCGAGCTTGCGGGCTTCGATGCCTTTGGCGATGACGGGGCCGATGAACCGCATGACGTTGGGGCCGACGGCACAGGTGACGGTATCAGCGGTGGCGATCTCCTCGATCACCTTGGCCTCATCATGCTTGCTGTTGATGGCGCGGTAGTGATCGATGGTAAACTCGCGGGTTCCATCGTCGCCGATCTCCGTGACGGTGTAGGAGGGGTTCTTGTTGAGGGAATCGATGATGCTGTCCATGACATCGACGAAGACGACCTCATAGCCGGAGTTGTGGAGGAACCTAGGTACGTTAGTGTGTGATGTCAATTGGTGATACGAGGAACTCACTCTCCAACAAAGCCACGGCCGATAGCCCCACCACCGAAATGTATGGACTTCTTCTCGTAAGGAGCCATGATGATCAATTGATCGATGGAGTAGGTATAGTGAGGTTGGTGTGAGAGGGATTGAGTTGTCAAGATAGAATTGAAGGTGTCTGACGGCAAGATATATTATGTTAGTAGCTGTTCATTACCATTGATGCTCACGCCGATCAGTTCATAGGACAAGGTGGGGAAGAGAAGCTTGATGCAGCAGCTGACTGCAAGGGGACTCGACTAACCTGTGCAAAAGCAATGAAAGCTGACACGGATGTGGAAGAGTGTGGGGTGTTGATGGAAGAAAGGTGGAGGTGGAAAGTTTAGGAAGAAGTTGGGGGTGATGTACACAAGAGAGGAGATAAGTTGATGGTGAGAGTTGAGAGTGAGAGAGAAGTGGAAGGGGGAGAGGCGATGGTTAAGGTGAAAGTGACCATGAAGACGTTCCGGTTTCACTCGCGTTGTTGAGTGGTACTTTAAACGTCACCAGGGACCGCTCAACAATCCGGTAACTTGGCGCCTAGTTATTAACTCTCCTTTGGCGTTATTCACGTCACTTTCAAGAACCAGTACAGTAAGGTAGCAGCAATCCTCATCACGGTAATCGTGTCTTCTGTAAGAAAGACTATTGATGGACGTGGCCGACACCTGATCCATTTACTCACACCGCCTTCGATATCTTCATCATGATCCAACTGATCAGGTACAAGAAGTACCCCCCTCGACGGAAAAGCGATGTCCAGATCCCACACTAACAGAATCCTTTGCCTCACACGCATCACCCCCACCAGATGTCGCGTACCGCTGGACGGGATTCATGACTGCTCACGGCTCAGCCTGCTCACCGACAAGTGGCGCTGACACGAAGAGGTGCATAAGGGTATTGGGATGTGCCTTAAGCGCCGCTCCATGCATGACCATCGCATGTTCATTGTTCAAGTACCGATACCTCTGGCTCCCCAGACCATCACCCTCCCACCTCCTCCTATGCTCCATCGCGAATGATTCTGGTGATACTTCAAAAGTCCATCCATCTCGACGGTCGTGACGGTCTCTCCAGGTTGCCTACGTCATGATGTCGTTCTATTACCGAATCATCCGCTAGCGCCGGCCCGTCTCGACTTTGCTGTGTTAAGCCTCACCAACGAGCCCAACAAAACCCGAGCTACGCGATGGGGTACCAAAGTTGCGAGGCGAACGCCGGAATGCCGTTAATCGCAGCGGGGGGATTGGTGCTGGCCGGACGGGACGTTGCGGATTTGCGTGCCATCGGGTGGGAATAAAATGAAGGGATGCAGGTACCGTTGCTAATCTCACTATCTGGGCCATGGAATCATCACGACGCCGGATGGAATACACGTTCTTATCGTTCCAGGTACGTTTACAAGTCCATTGGGAGATTGTGACATTGCGACATTGAGGCGCCAAAGCCCGATCCTCCTCTCCATGACTCCTAGAAATGCTCTCGCCATGATTGTTCCTCGAAATGCAATATTAATGTCGAACCCCTTCTCAGTCCCATTTCCACCCATCCATGATCCCCTCAGGCCCGAATCGCCTGTTGCACGTGCGGATATACGCTCACCATGCGCGCCCATAGATCCGGATGATCCCGCCGCAACGCCTCCGGATTCCACGCCATCGCCACGAAGATCGCATCGATCCCGCTCCCCAGCGGCGTGGTGACGATGCTCGCGATCTGTAGCCCGATCAGGAACGCGAACGCCACCACCACCGGCGTGTAACCCCCGTCGCGGTTGTACCCGGGCTGCGTGAAGACCAGGTAGAGGTACGAGAGCAGCGCGCACGTGTACGCGACGAACATGGATCCGATGGAGAGGACCGGGCCGACGAGGCACTCCTGCGCGAGCGCGTCGATCCCGCGGTCTTTCACCATCGTCCAGGTGTCTTTGGCGGCGGGGATGTACGCTTTTCCGTACAGGGCGATGTGCGCGAAGGCGTATTTGTTGAAGATGTGGGCGAGCCAGTTGAGCATGTCAATGAGGCAGCCGAGGACGCAGAAGGCGACGTAGCCGACCATGTTTCCTTGCGCGCCCTCGCTTCTCTGGGCGATGGAGCAGGCTTGGCGGAGGGCGTTGATGATCGCGAGGAGGAGGCTGCCGAAGCTGATGCTGCCGAAGCTGTAGGTCACGGCGCGCTTGAAGGCGCCGGTAGTGGCGCCTTTGGGTAGGTTGTGAGGGAAGAAGTACCAGGAGCCGTAGACGCCGCAGATGATGGTGTGGATGGTGTTCTTGAGCCATTCGGAGATCCAGTACATTGCGAACTGCTGGGTGTCAGCACTTTCGGCAGGAAAAGATTGACACAGATTTCACTAACCGTGATGAAGACTAGCAGCCCGATCACTTTGGCTGTTGAGCACCCTCCCCCGTTTGTAGAGCATGCTGGATTAAGTCCAGGCTCATACTTAACGTAGACCGCCACGAGCGTGATGGAATACCATGCTCCGAACGCAATCGAAACGAGGCCACCGACCCAGCTGACCAGGTAGACGTGCCCATACGTCTTGGACACGTCAATCGTCGTTTGGAGCATCAGAGTCGAGAATGGAATCCGTTTCCGCCACGAGATGAACATGAAGAGAGTAATGACGGCGAATCTGGCGGACTGTTAGCTTCCTCACTGTTTCCACTGGCCTGCGTCACTGACATCAAGAAGACAATCCCCCCCGACCAATACCCTCTCGCCATCATATAGATCGCCGTCACGAATCCCAGCTATATTTGATCTTAGCATCGTTGAGCCCACACGCAACGCATACAACATACCACGATGTTCAAGACCCCGGAAATCCAGATAAACTGCTTCGTAAAGAGCCGCGCCATCCACACGTACGCATAGCTCAGCACGATCGCCACCGCCAAACAAAAGATAAACAACACCACCGTATTCGTGTTCAGCGAGAAGTCGTTCCCACTATCATAGATCCCCCCGCCATTAAACCCCTTCGTCGCCGCATACCCATGTAACGCGATCCCCGACACCGCCGTGAACCCCGCGAACACGATCAGCAGCTACCACACCCGTCAGCATCTCAGAGCTTGGAGTGGTACATGCAACCTACCAAGATCCCCGCCCACACGTCGTTCCACTGCGGCTTCTCGACCTTAAACGTCTGCTCAAACGTCGCCTTCTCGCCATAGTCGTCCGCCGGGCCGCTCGGCGCCCCGTAGTTCTGTGCGTATGACGGGGGAGGCGGAGGGTGGTGGTCTTTGGGCGGGGCGGGGGGAGGGTAGCCGGCAGGTTGTGGGGGGGAGTTGTAGTAGGACGCGGCCTCACCGGCCATGGTTGCTGTGGTGTGGTGTTTGGTGGGATGGAGGGATTGTGGTATCACGATGGGAATTGGGAGGGTGGAGTTGGAGCTGGGAGGATAGTATGAATAGAAGACTCTGTCAGGATGGATACAGATGATGAGACGGGGTCTTGCGAGCACGCAAAGTACTATGAAGGAGTTGAATAGTTACATGAAAACCGCGATAATTGTTCTTTGTCCTCTGGCATCTGAAGCAATGACGACTGCCCTTGCAAGGGTCCGGCGGATGGCTGCGACTTCGCCCGCTCTCATTGGTTACATGAGCGATTGGCGAGGTTTTGATGTCGATCTTTATCAGAATGATCGGATCGGAGTGTAAGGGCTAAGAAGAGGAGTAAACAGCCCGGGACGTCAGTTGCCTTGCATATCAAGAATCCAATATTCGGAATTCGGCGCTGGATTGCGTTTGTATAGCTACCCCAGGTAGGACAGAATTCTCACTGCGTTCCATCCGTGACGCCCATCCCTCGCACTCAGATCGCTCCTGCCCTTGGAATTGAGCATGAAGCTGGATAAGTATCGGTATGACGTATGTCGTTTCGTCATCCATGACTTGTCTCGCCCATCGAGCTGCCTACAGCAGCTATGCGGCTTCGCCAGGCCCATGCGTTGTCAGTGGCCCTTCGGATATGTACCAAGCCTCCATAGGATCCCACGACATCGTCCGATCAATATGCCGGTCCTGCTCCTGCTCCTCCCAAGTGGCGGTGATTTTCCAAACAGTTGCCAGGCGCCACATCAACCCGAGCTTCTCTAATATTGAGACGAATTGGCCGGATAGCCCTCCCGATTCTCCAGCCATGACTCCCTGAATAGCGAATGGACCGGCCAATGCTCCTATAGACATGGTGAGGCCCATTCTAGCACCAGGGGACCAGTCTATTCATCCCGAGTCGCCTAGTCTTAGACTCCAATCGCATATCCCATTGATCCAAGGAATCGAGTCCTAGGGACCGACCATAGGTAGCAATTCAAGCCTCGTTGGCTTTCGGAACCTCATCCTGTAGCGTCGGCTGACCCACAGCCTGTCCAGGTTCGGCTTTCTTCGATGCGATTTTATCCTCCCATTTGTCCGTGAAGTAGAGACCCAACGCACTCCAGCCGATGACTCCTACTCCTAGGTAGATGCGAGTCCGGGGGGTGAGACTTCTGTAGGCACTGCTGGATATTAGCCCATATGGAAGGGAATAGAAGGGAAAAGTGCAGTTTACCCCCAGAATGACATGTTGAACAGGAGATAGAATGGAGGTCGATGCAAGAGGATACGGAGAGTCTATATGGGGATTAAGGGCACTCGCATGAATATTATCGCCAGTTCAGAATTCACCACCAAGTGAACACATCACAGCATTTCATTAATGTTGACAATGATATGAAGAAACGATGGTTATTTATTTAAATATTCAATGTTGACTTGGAGAGTTGTGAACATGGGATGCGTTGGTTGGAGAGGCACTGCTAAACTTCGGCCTTCGGGAGAGCCGCTAAACTTTGGCCTCCAAATTTGCCCCACGGCACGCTTCCTCATCACCACTGAAGAGTTAGGACTGTATGTCGCCCACTTCTACCATCATAACCACTTCAAACCCAAAAACTAAAGGATAATTTTACAATCCGACGTCGAAGAATCTAACCTATCCATTCAAATCCGACCCGTTTAACCCCCGCGCATCCTATCGAGCGCGACCCTCAAAATGTCGAAACCCGCAGAGTAAGGATCAATGAGTTCCCACGACCGTCTTGATACTAACCCTTCCCATAAGACGTACCCGCGACTGGGCCGAAGAAGAAGACGAAGACACCCTCGCCCTCCCGCAGCCCACCGTTACCAAAAACAAGGATGGCACCGAGACCATCGTTTCCTACCGCATCGACGAGAACGGCAAGAAAGTCAAGACCACCCGCCGCATCAAGAAGACCATCGTCAAGCAGATCGTGAACCCGCGCGTCGCCGAGCGCAAGCACTGGGCCAAGTTCGGCGCCGAAAAGGGCAAGCCCGCCGGCCCGCAGTCCGACACCACCAGCATCGCCGAAAACATCGCCTTCCGCCCCACCATCGGGTTCCGCGCTGGCGCCCAGGAGGAGAAGTCCGAGGAGCAGAAGAAGGCGGTCCTCAAGGACGCGAAGATCAAGTGCCGTATCTGTAGTGGCGAGCATTGGACCTCGAAGTGTCCCTTCAAAGATACCATGGCCCCCGAGGGCGATTCCGGGCCCGGTTTGGGGGATTTGGGCGTCGACGAGGCACCGGCAGAGGGCGGGTTAGGAGTGGGTGGGGGCGGCTATGTGCCGCCACACATGCGGAAGGGAGGCGCGGGTGCTGGAGAGCGGATGGGCGGGAAATTCGAGCGGGACGATCTGGCCACGCTGAGAGTCACCAACGTAAGTTCTGTGGCATGCAAGTACAGGATGGTGGTTAATGCTCTGTACAGGTCAGCGAGTTCGCCGAAGAGCAGGACCTTCGGGATATGTTCTCAAGGTACGGTCGGGTCACGAGGGTGTATCTGGCGAAGGACCGCGAGACCGGCCGAGCCAAGGGGTTCGCGTTCGTCAGCTTTGAGGATCGTCTGGATGCGGTGAAGGCGTGCGATAAGATGGATGGCTGTAAGTTTCCCTGGATCTATTTGCTTCGTATCGTTCTGACTTTGAGTAGTTGGATTTGGTCACTTGATTCTTCGTGTGGAGTTTGCGAAGAAGTCGACTTGAGCAGGGAGCGTTTTCAGTGGCTACGGCAGGATAGAATGACGGTTCGATATCGCAATCGCGGATTACTTTGACCATGGATCATGATATTACCATAGCTAGAAGTGCAAAAGGCATGATGGGTTCACAAAAGAGCCAAATTCTTACGCCGTTACATGACGGCAATATTCCAACTACCGGTAATACTGTCATTCGTGAATTGAATTGTTGAACGGCTCCACGAACCCAAATTCGTTCCCTTTGCTTATTTTGATCCCATTGGTCAGCCCTACTGTGTAATCCCAACTATCCCTTGGAAAACCGCGTGAACGGGGAGACCCTTTTCCACGCGGAATTGCGCCTTGTGGATTACGATGCTGGAAAACCCGAGTTGCCCGAGCGAACCATATGCGCAACTTGACGAGTGACGACGCAGCTCTCCTTATGTTGATCCTTACTGAGAACGCTTTGGCATCGAATGGGCTGAGCCACATTACGGAATACGAACCTGAAGTCCTGAACTTTTTGACAGTAATTCTACCATCTTACTTAGCGAGCCCAGGAGTAGCGAGGATGTTCTGCGAATCTAATAATTCTCCCTCGTCCCTTTAAGTTTAACTGCAGCCCATTCATCCGTCCCTCCTTTGACACCTCCGCTATGCCTTCGGGGTCCTCGCCTGCGCCAACCCAGGCTCAGGCCGACGACCCGGCAAACGACCAGAATGGCAACCTTGAACTCAAGGAGATGCTGTCGACGAAACCGCTGCTGCCCGTGGAGGAAGATCTCATGCAGCTGGCGCGGTTAGGGGAAGTCGGTGCGATCCAGAAACTCTTCGACACTGGGAAGTTCGATGCTACATATTCGGACGAGGAGGGCATCACTGCGTTACATGTGCGCCATCCCCTTTCTTCATCGTGTTTTGCTAGAGATCGTGCTAAAACTTGCGCAGTGGGCCGCGATCAACAACCGTTTACCGCTCTGCCATTTCCTCCTCCAGGCCGGCGCATCTGTGAACGTGAAAGGTGGCGAAGCCGACGCGACCCCCGCGCACTGGGCCGCGAAGAAATGCGCATACTACGTCGTCAACCTGCTCCTGGAGCACGGCGCCGACCCCCTCCTCACCGACGACCAAGGCTTCAACCTCCTCCACTGGGCCGCCCTCGACGGCAACGTCTTCCAGCTCCTCCTCCTCCTCCACCAGGACATCCCCATCGACATCCAGGACAGCCAGGGCCATACCAGCCTGATGTGGGCCGCGTATAAGGGCTTCCCCGCATGCGTCGGCCTCCTCCTCCGCTGGGGCGCGAACATCTTCGCGAGAGACGACCAGGGGTTCACCGCGCTGCATTGGGCACTCGTCAGTCGCAGCAGCCTGGCCGTCCAGAAGCTGCTCGAGTACGGCGCCGACCGATTCGCGGAGAATAACGACGGGAAGACCCCCGCGGTCGTCGCGAAGGAGATGGGCATCGAGAAGATCTGGCACGATGCGCTGGACACGGCGGGGTTCCACCCCGATGGGAGCGCGCGGGACTTTAAGCTGTCGTTCGTCAAGGATCGGCGGACGTTCTTCTGGAGAGGATTGTTTGTGTGGCCCGGGGTGATCCTCTTCTTCTCGTTTCTGATTTTGAGCCATTTCGTTATCTACCTTTCGATACCCCTGGCCGTGCTGGTTGCGTTCGGTCTGCAGTGGTTGGCGCGGACTTCCCTGCGCTGGGCTCCTTCGGATATGAAAAGCCTTCATAAGACTGTAAGTATCACTGATGGCGATTGCGGAGCGTGGCATCGCTAACCCATCCAGCCTTTCCTAGCCGGTGTTTTTGCCGGATCCCTCTTCTGGGTCGGCGTTCGATATCTGACCCATATTCTCCCCTGTAAGTTATCCAGCAGCGCGTATCAAACTCTCGCTAACGATCCATAGGGACATATTCCAAATTTCCCTTCCTGAATATCATCTTCACCACATTATTTATCCTGTGCGGCTATTTCTACTTCAGCGCCATGCTTCGGGACCCCGGGTTCGTTCCGAAGCCAGACAGTCGCAACAAGCAGCGGGAGATCATTGATGACCTGTTGAAAGTGTTCAAGTTCGACGAACAGCACTTCTGCGTCCATTGCATGGTTCGGAGACCGTTGCGGAGCAAGCATTGCAAGATCTGCAAACGTTGCGTGGCGCGAGAAGACCAGTAAGCTCCCTAAATGGTTGTCCTATGCTCCAAGCTGACGAAATCAGTCATTGTCCGTGGGTAGACAATTGCGTCGGGGTGAACAACCATCGACACTTCTTGCTTTTCGTCGTAACCCTGCAATTCGGGGTCATCACGTTAGCCTGGTTACTGCTGAAATGTAAGTTTCCTCCGTCCATGTGCCAGCATTTCTAACGATCAAAGACCTCGAAGTCCTTCCCGACGTCACCGCGGTGGAGTGTACCATCGTCTCCGCCGAGATCTGCACCATCCTCAACAAAGACCCCTTCACCACCGTCGCGGTGGCGTGGTGTACCTTCCAATTAATCTGGGTTACCATGCTCCTCATCGTCCAGCTACTCCAGGTCGCTCGTGCCATGACTACCTACGAAAGCATGCGCGGCTTCGAACACGATCGCAGCGTCGGAGATACCCTCACCACGTTCATGACCACCGGCGCCACGTCGGCCGGCCAAGCCGCGGTGTCCGCCACCGGCCCGGGCTCCGGCTCGTCCACCGACGGACATCACCATCACCACCACAAGAACCACGGGTTCTTCAGTCAATGGAAGAAGCTATTCGGCCTCGATGCGTTCATGGCCACCGCAGTGAACTCGAACCCTGCGGAAATCGAGGCGAAGCAGGAGGGGAACCCGTATACCCGAGGAATCGTCACGAACTGTAAAGACTTCTGGTGCACGCCCACCGCGTTGTTCGGAGGCGATGGCGGTGGAGCGGCGCTACTAGACGGGGCGGCCGTGGACTACACGAAGCTGTACGACGCGCCGCTGAAGTTGAGCAGACGGAGGGGAGGCGAAGGCGGAGCATATGTGTCCGTCAATACGGATGAAAATGTATAGACGTGGCTATGGTATATATTATGATATTCGACGGAGCATAGGTACTTTGTAATTATGGGGGTCTTACATCTGGGTCTCCCGAAGGTCGGACGAGATCCAGAACTATCAATTCTAAGGTGCATGGCATCACTGTATAAATCAACCTTCTTTCTTCATGGAATGTGCGGATCTCAAGCAATCATTGGTTTGATCACATTACAATCTGGAGAATTTATATACGACCGTATTGGAACCATTCAGTGACCTGGTCCCAATCACATCAGAAATTAGAATGGACGGACGGATCAGCGAAGTTCGGCACTGTGCCGAGCGGGACGCCGAGTTGGCCCGATGATAAAACACCCCAACCGCCTCCGAGTCCACTTCGTGAAGGCGTGACTCGTGTACGATTCCAAGCTACCATTTACCATAGATCTGAGCAGAGATTGCCTGCTTTACTGCACGGCGCTCACCATGCCCTGGTTGACACTATGACTTCTCCACAGGCTTGCCATAGCCTCCGGCGCCTGGGCGTCGCTGCCCGTGTCCCACGTGCGCGAACGGCGCGTCTCTGCCACGATTGTCTGCGGACATATACCTCTCTGACGCCGTCTCGTTGTGGGCGGAAAGAATTTGTTGGAGGTCGTCAGTATCTGGGGACGCGCCCGGTAGTTCGTCCGGGGCACCAGTTCGCAAGAGGAGTGTCTGGGGAGAGTGCGTATCTGGCGGCTTTATGAAATCGCATCCACCGGACTGACACCTTTCCTAGCGGAATGGAGACCATATGGACCGATAGAAGAATACGACGAAAGGGTCGCCTCAGGGCGGCTTCGAAATGATGATCATCAGAGAGGTACGGATGCTGTCCGATGCGCCAATTCCTGGATCTGACCCGAAAAAGCAATCATCGGACATCTTGAGGACCTTCACGAAATGCTCAGATCATATACCCCGCCCAAAGTCGTACATCCGACAATCGAGTCACTCCAACCGCCGAAGAAGACCCTGTTTGGATCCCTCTTTGGAGGCGGTGAGGATGACAAGGCAAAAGCACGAGTGGAGATCTCGCCAGATATACCCAAAGGCGTCTACATGTTCGGCGACGTGGGAAGCGGAAAGACCATGCTGATGGACCTGTTCTACGAGACCATACCACCGAACATCAAGCAGAAAACAAGAATCCATTTCCATAACTTTATGCAAGAGGTTCATAAGGAAATGCACAAGATGAAGATGGAGCATGGGAACGATATCGATGGGATCCCGTTTGTGGCGGCCAACATAGCGGAAAAGTCCAGTGTGTTATGCTTTGACGAGTTTCAGTGTACGGACGTCGCTGATGCGATGATTTTGCGAAGGTATGTCGGCTAGATATCGTCTTTTGGCGGCGCTAACATTCGCCAAAGGCTTTTGGAATCATTGATGGCCCACGGCGTGGTTCTCGTCACCACATCGAACCGACATCCCGACGATCTGTACAAAAACGGCATCCAGCGCGAATCCTTCGTCCCCGCGATCAACCTCATGAAAGACCGACTCCGCGTAATCAACTTAGATTCCTCGACCGATTATAGAAAGATACCCCGCCCGCCATCCGGCGTGTACCATCACCCCTTAGATAAGGCCGCACAGAGCCACGCGAACAAATGGTTTGAATTTCTGGGAGACTTTAAGAATGATCCCCCTCATCCGGCGACGCATATGGTATGGGGAAGGGAGATCCATGTGCCCAAGGCTAGCGGCAAAGCGGCCATGTTCACGTTCAAGGAAATCATTGGGCGCGCCACTGGCGCTGCGGATTACTTGGAGCTGATGAGGAGTTATGAAGCATTCATTATCACGGAGGTCCCGGGGATGACCCACCGGTCGCGAGATTTAGCTCGACGGTTTATTATCTTTATCGACGCCATTTATGAGAGCAGGGTGAGTGGGCGCGATGCCCGATTATTTTTGCAACATGTCTGACGCATCCGCAGGCCAAACTGGTCATGACCACGTCGGTTCCATTGACAGAGCTGTTTCTTTCGAAGAACGAGCTCGACGACGCCGTGCACGCCGGGCAAGCCAAAGGCGAGATCCCCGACGCGGACGTGCACCACGACGTCTCCGATGTCATGAGGAGTCTCATGGACGACCTCGGGATGAACATGTCCATGCTGAAGAACAGCAGCATCTTCACGGGCGACGAGGAGCGGTTTGCTTTTGCGAGGGCGCTGAGTCGGCTGGTGGAGATGGGGAGCCAGGACTGGGTGGAGCGCGGGATGGGGCTTGAGAAGATGGGTGGGAAGCAGGAGATGGAGAGCTGGCAGAGAGTGAGGAGTCGCTGGCGGGAGGATAGTTTGTAGATACGACTGTTAGATAGCAATACACGACTACATTAGATGTATGAAGGCTTGTGCCTGCCCCTTGAATACCATTCAATATTTATTATTCCCTACAATTATATAAACCATATATGTGTTTATCGATACCGTTGCATGTATCGGGTTTTTAATCGTGTCTTGATAGTTAAGAATATATCATTCCAGTCTACAACATCTAACCGCGCAGCGAAACGTATAATTAATTATCTTGCTTCCCATCAGAACAAGATGTGGATGAGCATAAAAGGCCCGTGCCATGAAGACACCCAAACGTCACACCTGTATCTCCAACCCATCTCTCCATCTACCAACCTAAATTAAAATAAGAATATCTTTTCCGTCTCTGAATTTCTAGTCAGGGTGACCGTTGTAAGGCCGAACTGGACCTGGTGCAGAAAGAGCTAGGAAGATGCGGTCCCGGATCACATATCTCCAACATGATGTCTCGCAGTTCAATCCCTCCCAGATCCGCGTCCGGAAAGATTCCATAGAATTGAGCAAGTTGGATGCGGCAAAGGAGCATCGCATGACATTTGCATTCTCGGAGCTACCACGGGAGGTATGTCATGGTCGATGCTGGCATTCGCCATCGGAAATCGTTCAGGCAACTGCTGAGTTCTGTAGTTATGGCTGGCGCTGAAGCAATGCCACGAACTTCACGTCCGCTGGGTATCCATGACCCCGGTGCAAGGGGTGGGCCCATACGTTTCACGGATGTCGCCTGGGCTCCATGTCTTCTTCAGTCCCTTAAGCGAGGGTACCGCGTAAGCCAAAGCGCTGTCGATTCTGAAGAAGGGTCGTTAATATGTGAACAGGGACCGCCTTTGCCCCCTGATCAAGAAGGTGTTTGGAGATGGCATGGATTGTGTCTCTCCACAGGTATGATCCCGAACGTTCTATTCTGCCATGGATGTATCTGATGAGACTAGGAATCGTTCATAAGTCCTCCTATACTCTCGGAGAGATTCTCAGCTTCCTCATCCCTTCAATATTACCATGTGACTCCTTCCCTCAAAGATCTCGTTGCCTATCTGAAAGAAAAAATATGTCCGAGGTCAGATGAGAAATGCATCCGCGACGCAGCGTCACTTCTCGATGCAAAATACCTTGATATGGACTATGATGCCATATCTCACTCGCTGACCGTCACCGCCTTCTGGGATCGTGCTTGTCCTAATTCACCATGGACGGAGACGCACCTGAGGAGAGAGAGCTCGGAAACAATCGAGATCGGGGTTCTTAATGCCGAGAAGGCTTCGGAACCGGAAGAGCAGTCTTTAGGAGGCTTCCTGGCCGTCCTTGGGCAGGACGACGAACCCAGTACGTTAACTACATCCATTCCACACCATACATGTGCTAATATCTATGCGTTAAATAGAGCCAACATTGTTCTCCTTCCCCTCCCGCCATCACGCCCTCCCGTCGTCTCCAATCAAGTATCGTGCTCACTTCTCCCAACCAACTGGCCTCCATCCGACTCTCCACCTCACGTTCTCCTCCCCGCCGGTTCCTCCAAGTCCAATTACTTCCCCCGACGCCGAACCCATGTCCCACTCCTGCGCCCTCCACGCCTATCTTACTCTCCCTTCCCAAATTTTCCTCGACCGCTACCAGCTATCCGACCCGCTCTTCCTATCGTCCCGGAATTTGCGCTCCTTGAGGAGCCTTTCCGGCGAAACCGACCTCGAGGCGCCGGACTGGGTCGTCTCACGATGGGGATCGGCGGCTTTGATTGAGCTAGCATCTCCCGCTGACTCTAGGTTGGATCACGGGGAGAATAAGCATCGTCAGAACGAGTGGACGGCATCGATTCCTCTTCATCTGCGGTACCTGTCTCCTCGAAACGTCTCTGCAGCATCAAATGGCGGGCGCGGGTCGGTAGGAGAATGGTTGGCTGGGTGGAAAAATGGTGCGAACGCGAATAATACGGTCACTACCCCTTTCCCTTGGCCTCCCGTCTTTTGGGCATGCGCCGCAGATTCGGGGGACAAGTTTGCAGTCAACCCGTTTGACCGCACAAATCTGGGATACGACGGGCTCTTCGGTAGACAAACGGTCTTCTATCATATAGAGCCGGAGGCACTGGATGGCGGAAGTTTCATGGGCTTGGTGAATATACCGGTAATGGATACGGAATGGGCGAGGTGGGTAGAATTGGGGACGGTTTGGGCCATAGCACTGGGAACGGTGTGGGTTTGCTGGGTGATTGGGAAGGTGGTTTTCCAGAACCGGAACCGAAAGCAAATGAAGGGCGATAAGAAACATAGGTAGAGGTGGGATTTTTAAGGATACCTTTCAAATTTTGATATCAAATGTGGTCAATCGCAATCTCAATCTCAATTGCTCTCGATAGCTCACACTTCACGGCTGGCACGAACATCCGCTGGCAGGTTATTGACTTACAAAACCATCAAAGTCAGGGGTAGTGTAGCTGCACCTCATTTGTTACTGATGCTCATCAACCACATCGTCTCTATCTCGCCGTTTGGTTCGACACGGAAGAAGTCCATGAATGGGCCAGTGACCTCGATTAATGGCGCCGTTTCCCGGCCGTTCCCATGCTTTCTGATCTTATCTGTTCAACAGACCTTGAACAAAGATTCAAGGGACATATACAGGATATTGCAAGACAAACCAGCAGGAACTGATCTATTTGGTAACTTCTCGGCAGACCCGTGCAGCAGGGGGATTTCCAGTGCTCATGCAATGGCAAATCGGACCATATAGCCGGATATACGACCGTTATAGAGTCACCCCACAAAGCATTGCCAACTCCGGAATGAATTGTCTTGATTGCTACAGGATTATAGGTTCTTCAGGGTCCCACTGCTAGAAATGCCCACGTAAGTCTTTCTATGAAGGGTGTAAGGGGATTTCTGGGGCTATAAAGACATAGGAGGAATTCAGGTATCTCGATCAGATAAAGACCGAACCGATCAGACGATCATTGAGAGCACTGCTCCAGCCGACTGCACAATTTCAGATGCTGTTTCCAAACCGTTCTCAGGGAGTCTATTTCCGTTGCGATCCAAGGGCCGATCGTCTTCGGAGCCGAAAGGGGTTTTGTTAAACCGTAGTCGAGCAGTCGAAGCCGGTGATCCGATCGTTCCATCCAATCTTCCTAAGGTCACTTTCGCCAGGGGATGTGAATCGGTGGCTGTCTTCACCACCGACTCGACAGCACTCGTTGCTGGCGGAGTTCAGCATCGGGATTTCCGATTGATGGGACCCATAAACTTACTCATATACCACGCAAGTGGAGTTTTCGGCTGGCCGGAAAGCCGAAATTTCCTCGAGCGTAGATCAACTCAGCACAGCCCATTCATTGCCTGCGACCAGTGATTCTCGTACCAGCCTGTTACGGTCTCTTTGTTATGACAGAAGCTCCATTCGTGGGTGAAATGACGGCAAGGTGGATTGTAGTTATCATTTTTACACACATAAACCTGTTCAAATGCATCAATAGCCGGGATAGAGGAATGGTACAATTACAATGATATATTATACTTACGGGGTGAAGTTATACACCCCGTCCCCCCTTCACGACGGTCGGCGCAAGGGTAAACAGTGAAAGTCCAAGGAGCATAGATCGGAAGACAAGCATGATGAGATAGATGATGTAGAATGATTCTCTAAGGATAGGCTGGTGCATCTTGCAAATTTTCTGAACTTAGGGCAACGAGAGCGAAGGTATCATAGGAATAGGTTAGTTGATCAAAGAGGAATCGGATGTGATAAGAGGAAATTCGGCCGCAACAGAAGTGTATCGACATAGCAAAGGGTTGGGAGGTAACGCAGCTGCTGCATACTAGTATGAAGGATCGCGAGTGCCCCATACACCTAGATTTCCTGAAAAGATGATGCTACTACTAGTATAGATATAGTAGGCACATACGCGACCATCTCACTTATAGAAGGAACACGTACGGGGTCCGCGACATTCGGATGTCCTAGCATGTTCCACTCGCAATTCGTGAAATTCAGCCGACATACCACTGCTAGCATTCAAGCGTTGTGCTTGAACGAGACAAGGATGGAAATTGGGAAGACGTGACAGCTAATGCGATTTTGAATAAAGAACGCATTGAGGTAATGCCCATATTCTTGCGCGTAGAGAGCCTCAGGTCCTGGATCGGTTGTCAAGCATACCGTAAGGACGTCCGCTGCTCTTTCTCAGTGTTTTGTGAAATCGGTATCAAGATTAGCCTAACAAGATGAATTGTGAGATCAATCATGCTAAACTACGTGCTTCAGACTAGTATCTGAACACAGAGTCATGATGGATAGGGAATCAACCATTTGAGGTCTGAATATAAATAGGATGAAGGACGTGTAGTGTGCCGCGGAGAGGCAGCAACCCGGTTCGGAATGGCATCTCTCACCGTACCTAGAGGACCCTATGAATAGGCAATTTTTTTACAGTCATATGAGTACGTAGCATAAAGCCTTTATGCTAGTTGCCATTGTCTAAGATGAGATGAATGATGAATTGAACATAGATGGTGTTGCGGAGTGGACTTCCCCAGCCGCTAAGAATCTAAATATGGCTCCTCGCCAACAAACGCCAAACCCCGGCTCTAGCCAATCAGCATCTAGTTCCTGCACTTTCATCACCTCCTCCATCCACTCCAAGTCTCTAACCGCCCTGACCCTGACCGACATGCAATCCGTACACCAATCGAGGAACAGAGACGCCTGATCAGCTCGAAACACCTGGTGATTTGGTAAACGCCCATTCTGCGCCATTGATCAGGAGCCAGACGAAATATGCCTAGCAATGCACGAGAGGAGCGGCTGCCACGTCCTCTTATAGACGAGATGGCCCAGCAAGCGGGTAAGTTTGGAGGTTTGTGATCTGCTTTTCCTGTTGCAATTCAAGTCACTTTCCGTCCCTATCATATTAGTGTTTTCTGTCTTCTCCCCCGGTTGAGAGACAATAGCGCTGTGCGTTGCACTAGATCCGTGGTGCTGGACAGCATGAGGAACTTTTTCGCCGCCGTTGCGGCTGTGGCCTTCTTGCCTGCTGTGCTGGCTCAAGCGGCCGATGCCACATCTACAACAGTCTCCCCCACCGAAGCTCCAGCCAAGATCAACCCTGGGACCGTCTCCGAGGGCGGTCTGGGAACGTCGACGGACCCAGGAGTTGCCGGTGCGGCGGGTCCGGACAGTGGTGGAATCCATATCAGCACAGGCGGGATCATTGGGATCGCGGTAGGCATTGCCGTGGCGGTGATTGGCATCGGTGAGTGCTCCTCAACAAATAATGTAAACCGTCCCAATACGTCCAACTGACTCCTGTTTCTAGGCGTCATGTGGTTCCTCTGGTACATGGCCAAGAAACGCTCCTGGGACGTCCGCAGCAGCATCCGCCGCGTCTCGCGACGCCTGACCGGCGGCATCTCGGCGAAGCGGAAGTCGAACCGTACGGCCACCCGATTAGCGTCGCCGCCGCGCGACCGAGACGTTGAGAAGGGCTACAAGGAGTCGTTTCGACCCGAGAAGTCAAAACCGGTGGCGAACGTCAAACCGATAGAGATGAATAAGCCGGCGAAGGAGACCAAGAATGGGGACCGGAATCCTCAGACGTGGAGATCGAACATGGCGAGGGATGGACGGAGATGATGAGCGGACCGGCGTTCCGGCGCAAGATCCTTTGAACTGGGTTTGAGGTTTCAGTGCATAGCATTGGACGACCAGTGAACAATATGGTATTGAAGATGATGAGTATTTTGAGCGAGTCTTCGTCATTTGCAATTTCGGGTCGCATGAACTTTCAAATCTACGGTGTTCTTTGGATATTACACTATCGGCGGAGAGCATTGCTGGTGCATAACTTCATTTATACATACTGTATTCATCCTTCTATGATAGATCACCGGCAATCAAAGTCCTCTTACACCAATCCATGTCCATTCCTTACTCGCTAGATCTTCGTATATTCTTCCAATAGACCGAAACACCTCCTATCTCGCGACAACCCCACGTTGGATATCACAGGAGACCTACGGACGCAGTGTCCCCCGCATATCGAGCATCACTCCCCACCCATAGCTGGGTGCCTCTTCCGCTCCGCCCTCCGCTGTTTCACCTGCCGACACACCGCCACGGCCGTCAAGTTCGCCACCAGCGGATCCACCCACGCGTCGTCCACCACCAACACGCTCGTCCCGTAGATCGAACCCCAATCCTGCGCGAACCGCGCCACGATCTTCTCCCCCTCCCCGACCCGCCGCCACAGCGTGAACTTGTTCGACCCCCGCTTCCAGTCGAATTCCCACTTGTACAGCGACCCCTCGTGCACGAACTCGCGCTTGCGGTACACCACGTTGCGGCTCTTCCGTCCACTACCGTCGCCATTGTCCATGCGCGTCGGGAGAGTGAGCTGGAGCGAGCGCTGCGGCTTCGTCGGCGTCCCGGGGAAGGAGAAGGAGACGTCGGCGAAGGAGTAGGCGGGGTGGTGGATGGCGCAGAGGGGGACGCGGGCGCCGGCCGGGGACGCGGCGTACGCGTCGAAGCGCGTGCGCCAGAAGTTGTCGGACTTGATGGTATAGATGTTGTCGAACTTCTTTTTGTCCTTCCAGGTGCGCTTGGCGGCGTTGCGGAGGGACTCGGGCACCTCGGTGCTGAAGTCCGCGGAGGGGGTGAGGGTCGTTGTCTGCGTGGTGATGTCGATGATGCTGATCTTCCCGGAGAATAGCGTGTAGGGCCCGATGAGGTAGACTTTGTTGGGGTGGAAGAGGGATTGGCCTGGCGTGATGATAGAGGGCACCGTGGATGGGCCCGCCTCCGATGACGGGCCCGTTCCCGGCACGTATGCTGGAGGGAATCCCGCTTCCTCTGCCTTCGACCGGGTCGCTCCGCCGGAGGGATGGGCGTAGTTCATCGCGGGAGGCGGCTCGCGTTCGCCGTCCCGGGGGGTATACTGGGGGGGTTTGGATGTATCTGCCGCTCGCTCCGCGTCGGAATCGTTTTCGATATCCGACCCCTCATCGTCCCATGAGAAAGGATCGGATGATTGTCCCGGAGCCTGATTCCGGGTCGGTTGGCCATATGCTTCTGCGTGCTTGGAGGAGTGTGGGGCGGCCATTTTCACGAACCGTGGGCTTAAAAGGAAGGCTTTAATCGATTGACTTCAAATACAGAGACGTAAACTTGAATCGAAAACAACTAGAAAACATACTCGACCTTTTCGTGACTCAGCTCTTATATTTACGTACTTTCGACTTACGGCCGTAATCCACCGCGCGTCCAGTTCCTCCCTATCGAGTCAGCAATCGACATCGATCCGTCCCAATGCAGCATCGGACAAGATCAGCGAAGATGGAGGATTGGTCGATACGAACAGGCTGTGGCGGTGACTTCACCCCTTCTGTGGGGAGTGGCGGATCGTAGGGCGGGAAAGTGGAATCGCATTATCGCACAACTGACAATGTTGAAATCTGAATGTGTACCTGCATGGAGACACTGCAAGGCAGGGCAAGGGTGAAACAGCGCGGAGTTAGACGCAACGGAGATAAACGGATTTGGGGGGTGAAATTACGAGGCAGAAAAGGATAGACGGACAGCTGAGGTTTGGCGAGTTCGAAATACGGCCGAATAGTGTGGTTGTAACCAGTTCATCACGATTGCTTTCCTTAAAGCCGTCCATCAGTGAACGAAGGGATTCCCGCCCATGATAACATCATCTCAACGTTAGCTGCGGAAATTACAATAGGGTAGATCCGCGCAATGGAAATTATATCCTATGGCTACACTACAATATCGGCAAATCGACGCCGCATCGCATCCGAGCTCAAACGCCACCCTTCAAATCATGGATTCAACCCAATGAACCGATCGATCCCCCTGACGCCAAAACCTCCGAAGAACGGATGCCTTGCTCTCGATCGAGCCGATCCCGCCTCGACAATACAATTAGAGCGTAACGACCATGCAATGGACCCTCTATGTACAACCTCGGGTTGCCCGTGCGAAACGAAAGAAAAAAAAACCTGCCCTTCAATTTCCGGATCCGCCGTGCAGATGCGACGGGCCGTGGCGATGGAGGAGCGGGCGCGGTGGCCGCTGTCCCCATGCTCGTCCGTGAAACCGAAGGCAAATGCAAACCAAATCATCGCGTGTCGTGGTCATCAGAACTCCTCCCTTTTTAATCATACCCAACGCCGCGCTGGAATGGCGACGGCGACGCGGTGGCGCCGCGGTTGACGGGGCCGCGCGAGTTGTAGCCGCTGTACTGGCTATTGCTGTACGGGGGGGCGGGGCTCGCGCTGCCGCCGAAGCCACCGGCGCTCTGGTATGTAGTGGTACTCGGCGCCTGGGAGAGGGCCGAGCCGGCGCCGTAGTAGCCGCTCTCCTGCGCCTTCTCCGCGTGCACCTGCCCGCGCGCGCCGCTGGAGAAGCTCTCGTCATCGTCGTCGTCGATGTTCCGGCGGGTGGGGGTCGCGTGCTTGCCGTCGCCGCGGGCGGTGGCGCCGAGGGCGTCGAGTTCGGTGGTGGCGAGGTTGGTTTGGGATTTGATGAAGGAGCCGCGGTCGTCGCGCATGGGCTGGTAGCGGGTGTCGGGGTTCTTGGACACGAGGGCGTAGATAGAGGCGACGAGAACCATGAGGAGGAGGACGAGGGCGAAGACGGCGTTGAAGACGAAGAAGACGACGCCCATGACACCGGTGACAAGGCCCTAGGATCTGGTTAGCGAGGAGCGTTAGAAATGCAGGGGAGGATACTTACGGGTTGATTAAAGATGTTCGAAAAGATTAGAAGGAACAGAGCGCTGATGAAGTTAATGGCGGCGATGGAAATGTTGAAGGCATTGGTCTTCTTGTCCATATATGGGCGCATGACCGAGAGCGCAATCAATAGGGCTGCCTCGATAATGACGAGCGCAACGGCTTGGGCTTTCCCGCTCCCTTGAACAAGAGCGATGAAAAGTCCCTTGATCAGCAGATAAAGGAGGATCGGAGCGATGAAGTAGTATGCTGTGGCCTTGAACTGAACGTAAAGGAAACCCCATTTGTTGAGCGAGACAGGATCGGAATAGAGAATGTACGCCGGGTTCTTGTGCATCGAGATGGATCGCTGGGCGATTCGCCACACCTTGAACGTGGCCCAGCCGAGAATCATCAGCATCGTGATGATGGTGAAGATGGCGAGGACCACTTCGGCGGCGGAGTCGCGCTTGGTCAGCTCCCAGAAGCAGAGGACCACCATCTGAGGGAATCCGATCAGCACGCAGCGGAACAGGATGCCTTTCAACACGGTGGTCCATCCGTTGCGGAAGTCCTGGAACTTGTCGTTCTTCATGCGGCCGGATTTGACCAGCGCCTCGACAACACCTTTGAAGATGGCGACGATCGCGATCACGAAGATGATGAAGATGATAAAAAAGGTGTAGCCCGTCATGAAGATGTTGGTCGAGTCGATCTTCGCCTTGAAGCCAACTCGTTCGATGCCACGAATCGTGATGACCTCCAAATTCTCCGCGTTGGTCATTTCATTGTTCGTTCGTTTCCCGAGCGTATGGAATGCGCGCTTCGCCAGGTGTTCGACGGAACCCAGCGATCGCTTCTGGACCTGGACAGAGGTTGTCGCCAAGGTCGTGAAGAGATCGGTCGGGGTTCCGCCGGTGGCTCGTTGGTACCAGGTGCATAGTCGCTGAAGGAAGCCGACACGAACGATCCCCATACTCCACTGGAAGTTCTGCGTCCACGCTGAGACGATGGGAGGAAGATGGACCGACGACATGCCGATAAACGCCTGGGCCTGGAAATATCCGAAGAGGGAGAGCGCATTTGCGGCAACATGGGCTGCGGTGTTGGAATGGCCCAGTCCAGAGGTGATTGCAGAAGCAACGAGGCCGATCCCGGCAATCACGGCAGTGCTCCAACCGACCGCTGGCTGGTACACCGTCTTTCCGTTCGACAGCACTGCTTCGAGGCAGGCGAGCGGTTCATTGGTACTCGAATCGTTGATGTAGATCCGCACCTTGCCGTCTAAGTTATCAAGTCAGTGAATCGGGTCTGCGAACGAGAGTATCCGAAAGCGTCTTACCAAGGTCGGGTACAGTATAGGCGATTCCTGGAACTTGCTTGATGACATCTTCCGATAATGGAGCGTTCGAATTCTTGATATTAATCGGACCCGTGTTCATAGGGCATAGTCCGGCCAAGTCTTCGCTGTCGCAAGGATTTAGGTCTGTCGAGACTGCTTTGTAGCCATAGGCAAAAACGTCTAACGCCGCGGTGACGTTTCCTGAAATCAACGAGTTTCCCGTGACGTTGAAGTGCACGATGGCGTCGTCCGGCGTAAATAGGACGTTGAATCGCGATGCCGAGAACTTGGGGTTCTTCATGCACGCGGACAAGGCGGTGGATTGGAGGAGACGATCGGCGGAAGTCGAGGGAATGAGGGCGGGGAGGAGGAGGAGAAGTGAGGACGGGATTACGTTCGAGAAATGCATGATGGGCAACTAGGTATTCGGTATTCGAGGAGAGCGATTCGATGTCCGAGGGAAGTAAAGGTGAGCGAGCCAACCCCGGCTCTGCTCCAGGTTGACGGTTCGAAGCGATGGTAGATTGATGGCGAGCGATGGTGAGCCAAGTGGTCGGTCGCAACTCTCGTCGCGTGATGATGAAATGAAGAGTGCTCAGAAGCTGGTGTCTGGTGGTCTGGAGGTTCAAGTTGGCAATCCGGGGAAACGAGGGGCGGATCGACACAACAATGCCGACCAGAGGCGTTGATGTCGAAGTAAACGAAGGTAGCGCAACGTTTGGTTGTTACGCGAAGTTGGATTCGATGATAGGGATACAGGAGCGCGAGGAGGATTGACGATGGTTAGGGTGATGTGGATTGAATTGGAGGTGAAGATCGATGTCGTAGGGGGCGACCCAGAAATTGAGGCTGTGTTAGTAACCCGGACGTCCGAGCAATCTAAGGGGGACGAGCTGACGCAATACTCGTGACAGTGGACAGTGGACAAGCCGTGGATGAGAATGAAGTGACAATCACAGTGAGCGAAATGCCGAATAATAAGGAGTCTCTTGTTACAGTTGTTAGATAAATGGAGGTGGATTAGCATCGATCTCCAAACTCTTCTTCTTCAGGTTGGTACGGTTCCTGTGTTGAGATCACCAGTCACGTGACAGCGATGATCAGCCACTCGTTGCTACGGTTTTTGTTCCAGAATTCCCTCGCATTAGAGTCATCCATCAACAATCCACCATCCATCATCAGTACGGATACGTACCCTACCAACGGATAAAGTGAGCCTCCTCCAACTTCGGAACCTGATGGAACGCTCAACGAAACCCGACCGTACTCGAATTTTCCGGATTCCGGATTCGAAGGGATAGAGCAGATCCGGCTCCCTTTGTCACCCTTTGTCACCCGTAGAGTTTCAGCTTTGTCTGGCATCGTGTCTCGTGTCCCACCTTGCGAGGCTGTGGATATATTCTTTAGTCGTACATCCTGTCAGGCACTGGATGATACGTACGTGTGATCGTGAGAGCCCCTGTCCGAGGACTGGCAGCACAGTTGCATCTTGCTTTGGTGGTCAGCAATCATCAGAGTTATCAGACAGACGGTTTGAAATATGTTCTATTCAGGTCCTTGTCTAGACTAATGCGAACATCGACTCCTCCATGTTCATGTTTCTAGCTTTGCCGGTCATAAACACATGTGTAGTATACTCGTGAATCGGTACTCGCCGTTCTCTAACGGACCGAGAACGATAGGTAGATTGCACCCATAAAGCACGGCGGCAATCATCAACAGTAACCACCTCTGGACTGGACCGCAGATAGCTCGAAGTTGTCCTGTTTAGCCGCCGTCCACGTTGTCGTGCACCCCTCATCCAAAGATACCGACGAAGGCTCTCTTTTTCATTTCCTTTCCGATTTACCGTCCTCATGGCTTCGGTAACCGCTTGCGAACCTCCGCAGCGACATCCGCTCGGTCCACCATCACGCCCTCTTTCTCAGGGTGGTCACTCTCCAGACCGAGGACCTTAATCTTCACCTTGCCGGCCGCCAGTTCATCCTGGCCAAGGATCACGGCGAGAGGTACGTCCGCCGCGGCTTTGAACTGCTGCGGCAGCCGCGGCTTGACCTTGGGGCTGAACTCCGCCCTGATGCCGGCATCCCACAACGCGCTGATGACTGACATCCGCTCGGCCAGCAGTCCGTCGAATCCTTTGCCGCCAAAGGCCATCACGTAGACGTCCGTCTCGCGCGTCCGCGGCGCGGCCCCGGCTTCGCGCTCGCGTTTGGCTTTGAGGATGGTGAAGATACGGTCGACGCCGAACGAGATACCGACGCAGGGGATCGTGCGCTTGCCGAACACGCCGACGAGGTTATCGTAGCGGCCGCCGGCTCCGATGCTGCCGACGAGGCTGGACGGATCGTCGGATTTCTTGGATTTGGATTTGGATTTGGATTTCGGTGCTGATGCGTTGGGCTCCGTCGCGGCGGTGGGCCCCACCACGCATTCGTATATCAGTCCCGTGTAGTAATCGAGACCCCGGGCAAGCGATAAATCGAAGGAGATCTTGTCTGCGACACCCATGGCTTGGAGGTAGGTCACCAGTAGGGAAAGGTCGCTCAACCCGGCCTTGACGTCGTCGTTGCTTGTCAGCTTCGAGTCCGCCTGGAGACGCTCCAGCATATCGGCGATTGGACCGCTTTGTTGTACATATTCGCCAATTCGATCTGCAACCTCGTCCGGAATTCCCTTACTCTCGACCATTTCCTTTTTTACTTCTACCCAGGGCATCTTATCCAGTTTATCCACCGCCGAACTTGTTGCCCGGATCTTATCGGCGGGAACACCCGCCACCGCAAATAGTCCGTCGAGGACTTTTCGGTGATTGAGTTTGATAGTGACATCCAACTCCAGCGCCTTGAACACCTCGATGATGATCCGCAGGATTTCGGAATCGGGAATCATGGGATCGGTCTCGCCTGCAATGTCGAAGTCGCATTGATAGAATTCTCGCATGCGACCTCGGGCGATGGCAGGCTGATCTCGTCGGTAGACCTTGGAGATCTGGTAGCGCTTGATTTGGGTGACGTTGTTCATGGCGAGCCATCGAGCGAAGGGAACCGTCAGGTCAAACCGCAACGCTGCGAGCTGGACTTTTCGTTAGACCTGTCTCTCGATCTCATGGGCGGTTGTTCGTACTTCTCCGCCTTGGTCGGCCAAGTCATATATGAGCTTCGAATCTTCGCCATATTCTTCCCAATGTCAGCACTTCCACCCCACTTCCGAAGTGCGGAGGAAGACATACTTCCAGTAAGCACCTCTCTGAGTTCGAACACCGGCGTGTCCAATGCCGTCCCACCGTGGCGCTTGAAGACCTCGCTGATTGTTTGGCTGTTTGGGTTTCGTCAGCAAATGCCTGGACGTGGCCGTTATCGGACAGTGGACATACAAGATATGGTCACGGAGAATGACGTCCGCGCCAAACCAATCGCGAGTCCCCTTGGGGACTTTGAGCTCGCTGATCACGGGCACCACCCGGGCTTGCGATTGCCCGGTTTCTGCCATATTCGATTGATGGCGGCAGATCGCCGTATGGAAATGTAGGAGCTGGGGTTGTGGAAAGTTTCGAGAAAGTCGCTGGAGAATCCCACCCGTACGTCCGGCTGTAATGAAAGATTTTCCGCTGAGAGACAATAGCATCTACTGCGAGAAGGAGCGGAGGAAGTCAAGGGAAGGGAGGGGAAAGGAAGATAGGACAATGAAGGGGTCCAGAGTGGAGTGCGCTGGCAGAAATATCTCCAGAAATCTCGGAGTCACCAATTCCATCGTGAATCGAAAATGCGGATCCTCAATTACATCGGGAGGCGGTCACGTGCCGCTCAGATCTTGACCTCTCCCAGTTTATCAAACCAACTCAACTGGGTCAACCTTCTTCATCAAACACTATAGTTCATAATATCTCAAAGTCTAAACAGTGTGTGCTTTATTTCTTACTTAGTGACTATTTTCGGGTTTTGGTTACCTGTTCGAAAGCCGTACATCACTTCCTCTCTTACCTAAATTGTTGCTCCTATAGTATTCCTTTATCTCCATGAGGTCTTCGTTGTAACCGTTGTCACCGTCGCCGAGCTCAATCACTTCGTCATCCTTGTTGACTCGCGACGGTTGGCCCCATCGTGATCTATACGCGTATTGGTACGACCGCAAGCTCGCTCTTCTCTGCATCACAGGCAAAATCCCGTGATCGCGTTCTCCAACGGGTACTCTACCTCCTCGTTGAGCGCTTCTCGGATTCTACAGTAGGTTTCAATATCATACGTTTCGTATGGATCATCCAACTCCTCTGGCTCGACAATCACCAGTGTCCGGACTTCGCGTCTCCCCTTGGGTAGCTAATATTTTATGTGCTCGGTTTCTTCCGATAGTCCGCCATAAACCTACACGCGTCCTTCGGGAAGCAATTCCCATGACACATCTTGCAGGTGGATCCTGTCCCCATACCGACCTTGCAACGGCGGAACCACTGAGGGTCGAACGCGTTCCTCGAACCAAGTATCTTCGGGCGGGTATCTTCAATCAAGGTCGTTAGCCGCTTCCGCTAGTCGTCGCGATGCAGACCTGGTATCATACGACGGCCAGGTCTGCGTGATTGACGGGTCTATCCAGTGCAAGGCTCTTCGATTGCGGACGCCTGTCGGGCTTCCGTAATCATCCTCTAGCCTGAAGGTAAACCCCGGTGGTGTAGGTTGAATCACCAGGTCCATCTGAGGCTGTCGAACATGGCGCATGGTCTCTTGCAGGATTTCGGTGGCTACACCACTGAGCGCAGGTCTCTGGCGAACTATAAAGGGCCCCTGAGACTCCTGAGCCAGGTGGAACGATTCGCCAGTTTCCACGTCCTCTTTGCCTGCTTTGGTGTTTTTAACTCTCTTCTTACCCTTATCCAGCTCTCCCTTGTCGCTACCAGAGGGTTTACGTTTACTATTTGTCATTGTCTCTTTTAGATTTTCAGGCTCTTGAGAGAGTAGACTAGCAGCTTGTGTGCATTGAGCAGATCAAAAGACGATCTTCCATGGCATTGTGCTTATATATATAGGACGCAACTCTATGCGTTCTTTGGACTGGTAATGATATTAACAAAGAAACCGGTATTTTATGGTCCTAGCAGCATCCCTCGAACAACGTTGTATACTGCTAGCATACAACTGGCTTTGTGCTGCGTGATATCATGAATGCAATGGTCGAGTGTATCCAAAGCCGCCCTGCTATTTACAGTGGAATGCGAAATTGGCGTCTGGTTTTTTGCAACTCGCCAACTTCAGAAACTCTCAGAGCACAGCCTCTTTGGAGGACTGGGCGTAAGCTATACGTATCGTTCCAGCCTCTATGCCCTATCGATCCTGAACATTACATGACAGTCCTAACGAGAGAAAAAGTAAGTATATGCATTAATTGCTAAATTGGGGTAGTTGTCTCTTATCTAATCACTATCAACTGCCTTCATCTTACGAGTTTCCGCATAAATCTTCTCACAACTGACTGACGTCCTCTCTTTGCATCCTTCTTATCTACCATCTCGGCCGCCTCCGCTTCCTCTGTCCCGCTCATGTCATCTGCGAACTCTTCTGTTAAAAATTTAGTTGATATCATTCCATCCTAATCATTAGAGAGTACCTTTCGGAAGATCAAGGGATAATAGTCGACCCTCAAGCCACTGACATTGACCATAGGATGGCCTAAGAAGAACCTGGTAGCCAGCAAGAGCACGTGTGTACATAGATTTTGCCTTATGTACCTCCCCCTTGGCTACAAAGAGATCGCGGAGATATCTCCACGCTGTGGTGTAAGGATCAATGGGTCACACAGGGGCAGAATGAGAGGCAGGGTGTTGTATTAAGGAGAACTTTACCCATGCTTCAATCATTGAATGCAGTGGCAATTCCAGCGGCGGTAGCCACCTAAATCGTAGCGCTGAAATTGATATCGATAGCTAGGACAGTTGACTTAGCCTTATGTGAAGAGGTGAAGCTTGTAACAGTGTGGTGAGAATGAAATTCAGGGGCTGCACGAGTCATGCAACATGATAGTTGAGAGAGGGAAGGACAGGGAACAGACTCAGACATGCACCGCGTGTGATGAATCGACGCGTCGTGGCGTCGAAGGATACATACAGACCTCACAACCAAGGACTGGAAACCGTGTTTATGAAGATGAGCAATCGTATTTCAAAGAACAACAAGCATTACAATTTATTCCAAAGGGAGTGCGCCACATTCCCCAACCCATTGCGCCCGAAATCATGACAGGCCATTCACCAAGTCAACCCCAACGCCATCAGTTACCGCCGAACCAACCCATACAAAGGAAAAACATTAGTGGGGGGAGTATCCAATATTTGGTTTTCATCATCGCTCAGCCCGAATGTGCCCTGAGCCACATGTCCTTCAAGAATGCCGCATTAACCGGCGGGCATTGCACATCCTCGGGCACATCCCTCAAAGCCCTCTCTGTTTTGCTCTGATCCAACGCGAACATCACATGCCCATTCCTCAAGAACTCGCTCAGCACGGTGTATTTGATCGTCTCGCCATCCGCATCGCCACCGCTTCCCTGATTCTCCATGGCGGTCAGCCACTGCTCGAGCGGCACAAGCTTCGCGCCTCCCTTCCTGGGCCGCACGTGGTCAACGACGGCAGGGAGGTCCGAAAGCTTCATGGGCGCGACGTTGCCGATGTGGCGGATGTCGGGCATGCCGGGGAGTGGTCGCAGTTTCTGCTCGGAGGTGAGAGTCACCAGAGTGCTCACCAGGTAGTCGACGGGGACGAAGTCGATGGCGGAGGGAGGAGCGGAGGCATCGGCGCCCTTCATCTCCGGGACAAGACCGGAGTCGATCATGTCGAGGATCATGCGGGAGATGAATCCGTCGGCGGGCTCGGGGGCGTTGGTTGTGGTGCTAGCGCTGACGGCGGAGGAGCGGGCGATGGTGACGGGGAAGCCCCGGGAGGCGGCTTGTTGAAGCAGGTTCTCAGCCACCCATCGGGTCTTGAAGTAGCCGTATTCCTCGGACTCCGGAGGAGTGAAGAGCATGGATGGCTCTTCTGTGGTGATGATGGAGTCGCTGGTGCGCTTGCTGCCCTTCCAGGCTTGAAGGTGAAGGACAGACCATGTGGAAAGGTACACCAGCTCAGTGAGGGAGTCACCCTGACTGGCGAGCTCGAGGAGATCCAAGATGGGCTTGACGTTATGCTCACGAAGGCTGGAGTAGCTTTGGAGAAGTGAGACCATGCCACCGAGATGATAGATGGACTGAATATTCCGAGCGAGCTTTTTGAAGTCCTGCTTGTTGAGGCCGAAATGATCCGGTCCGAGATAGCCTGATACCACGGAGACACGGTCGACAAGCTCATCCTTGGTGATGGCCTTGGAGAACAGCTGATACTTGACGAACTGGGCTTCAAGGTCGGCCATGGTAATTTGTGCAGCGGAACCGAGGACGTGAACGTGGACAGAGGGGTTCTCAGCGAGGAGCTGAGCCAGCAGATGGAGACCAATGTATGACTCGGCACCAGTCAAGAGAACACCAGAGATGGAAGAGCGATCAACGGCTGGAGTGCCATAGCGAGGGATGTAACGACCATCGAATGGCAGCATGGCCTCCTTGCTCCAGCTGATCATGCTGGAGGAGGTTTTAGCATTGCCGCCGCTGAGTTTGTTACGAAGGAACTCGACCAGAGCGGAAGGGAAAGGCTTCTTGACCATCTCTGGTAGTGGAGGGGCGATCTTATATGTCCTCTTCAGCTTAGACTGAAGACGGACCATGAGGATGGAGTTACCACCGCGCTCGAAGAAGTTATCATTAAGCTCGATGGTGCGTCCAGCGCCGAGGACGTCCCTAAAGAGCTTCAGGACGTCGTCTTCGAGCTTGTTCTCAACCTCGTCAGTCTTCTCCTCTTCCTCTTCAACAGCTTGCTCGACGGCGCTCTGAATGCTGGAAGGGAAGACCAAATCAAGGTCACGCTGGAGGAGGTTCTGACGATCGACCTTGGCGGAAGGTAGCTGAGGCATATTGTCCAAGAACACGTAGCCATTGGGCAGCATGTAGGAGTTGAGGTTCTCAGCGATGGCCGCGTGGATCTTGGTGACGTAGGCCTTTCGCTGGCTAGCAGCCACGGGAGACTTGGCGATCAGGTATGCCACGAGCTGGCGCTCATCCATGGCAGAATCCTCAGACTCGGCACTGAAGTTGCGGGCAACGACAGCGACATCAGCAAGACCGTTCACACTGTTTTTTTGGGACTCGCTGTAGAGGCGTTGCTCGACCTCGCCTAGATCAATGCGGAATCCTCGAAGCTTGATCTGCTTGTCACCGGCAAGACGGCCATGGAACTCAAGTTGAGCATCAGGTCGGTACCGGCCACGGTCACCGGTCCGGAAGACGTGAGTCCATCCCTGGGCAATGTCATCGTCGGTAGCAAAGGGATCAAGAACGAAGGTCTCAGCGGTTTTCTCAGGCCGATTGAGGTAGCCGGCACCGGTCTGGACCCCACCGACACAGATTTCTCCGATGAAACCGAACGGGAGAGGCTGCATGCGGTTGTCGCAGAGGTACAGGTGGTTATTGGCGAGAGGGAAGCCGATCGGGACATCAACATCGCCCTCCTTGGGGTACAAAATGGTGTGCTTGGTGTTCTGGACAGTGGTCTCCGATGGAGCCCACAAGTTGTACGCGGTCGCTGGAGTTCCAAGGTCGTAGAAGGCCTTCGCAACACGGACGGGGAAGCGCTCACCGGCGAAGAACGCAATGCGGTAGGCCTTGTTGGCCTTGAGAGCTTCCGCATTCTGCTCGAGCAGCAAAGTGAAGTGAGTGGGCGTGAAGTAAGTGAAGGTCAAGGCTTCGACATTGATGAAGTCGGCAAGGGATGTGGGATCTCTGCGAGTATCGCGGGAGGCAACGCAAAGCGTTCCACCTGCGGTGAGACCAGTGAAGATCTGGGTGACCGAGAGATCAAAGCACATTGAAGACTGGTGCAGCATCTTGTCACTGGCACAGAATCCAAAATCATGATTCAGATTGCTCAGCATGCCTTGGGTGCCACCATGAGTAAGCACCACACCCTTGGGCTTTCCAGTACTCCCCTGTTCAAGGTCAGTCCTTGTTCGAGGCGAATTGAGATTAACCAACCGAAGTATAGATCATGTAGAAAGGATTCTTCGAATCCGGTGTCTTGTTGTAGGCAAGGACCTCCGCTCCAGAGCAGGCATCTGCAACGCGAATGTACTGGGGAGAGTTGGTGCACTTCTCTGCGATCTTGGAGACTTCCTTGCTAAGTTCGCCGCTGGTCAGTATGAAGCGGGTGTTGGCATCGCTGGCCATGAAGGCAAGTCGGTCGACCGCAAATTCAGGGTCCATGGGCAGATACGCGCCGCCGTTGATCAATGCAGCGACGATGCCAATGATCTGTTCCACGCCTGGAACGGCAAGGACACCGATCACATCCTGATCGGTCGCGCCGTTATCACGCAAGTGCTTTGCCAGTGAGCCCGCTCTTTGAGCCAACTGTGCATAGGTGACGGAGTCTCCGTTCGAAGACTTAACTGCTGTCTTGTGAGGAGTAGCTTCGGCAAAGTTGTGGATGCGCTCCAGGATCGAGACGTCTCCCCAGTAATTTGGGACATACTCCTGGTTCCAAAACTTCTCCTTCAGAAGCGTCAGCTCTTTATCACCGCACAAAGGGATCTCCGCGATGGGTTGACGGTGGTCGCGAATGGAGGCGCTCAAGAAGGTCAAGAAGTTGTCAAGGAATCGTTCCATGTCCGCATCTCTATAGAGAGGAGTGGAGTACTCCATACGGAGGCTCAGTCCCTTGTCGGTCTCTTCCAATGCTTCCAGCTGTAGCTCACAAGCGGTCGGGATATCATCGGATTCGATCTTGGTGATATCAAAGTCCTCGGTGTGGTACGGAGGCCAGTCGCCATGGACCTGGTAGTTAATGGCAACTTGTCCAAGAGGGAAGTGCTCTGGCTTCTTCGGCACTTCCATGAAATCAACAATGGCATCGAACGGAACACTAGTGTGTTGCATGGCAGTGAGCGTGCGTTCGGAGGAAAGTGCCAAGAGCTCATCGAAGGCCATTTCGGAGCAGTCATCCTGGTGGCGGAGAGGAATCATGTTCACGAAGAACCCCGTGAGCTCGTCGAGATCTGGATGAGGTCGGTTGCCATCAATCATGAGCATGACAATGTCCTTATCCTCGGTGTAGCGGAAGAGGAAGGCACGGAAGGCGGCCATGAGGAAGTGGAACGGCGTGGCATTCGACTGGGCGCAGATGCGCTTCATGCGGTTGAGAAGCTGGGCTCCAAGGACAGCCCTGTGCACAGCGCGCTGAGGAATGGCGCGTTGCGGGCGCTCAGGGACCTTCGAGAATGGTAGTAACTTGACAGCGTCGGGTGCTCCCTTGAGGGAGTTCTTCCAGAAGTCCACATGCTCTTGAATCGCAGGGGAAGCCAAGAGCTCATTATGCCAAACAGTGAAATCGGCATACGAGACGCTCGGAGTGGCGAGGGAAGCGATATCCTTGCCGGTTCGCATGGCATCGTACATGACAGCGAAGCGGTCCATCCATGGCTTGGAGGAACCACGATCAACAGCGATGTGATGGAACATGTTGACCATGACATACTGGTCCTCACCCAGTTTGGCCATGGCAGCGGAGAAAACCTCACCCTCTTCGATGTTCAACTCGATGCGGCGATTGTAGGCAATGAACGCCTCCAGAGCTCCCTTTGGATCGGGGTCTTGAGAGAGGTCACGCATGCTGATTTCGGTCTCGAAGTCGGGGTTGGGTCTCTGCTCGGCAAATTCGTCACCTTCGAAGTGCGCAGTGGTCAGGATGGGGTTGCGGCGAACCATCTCCTGGAAGGCCTGGAGGAAGATTTCCATGTTCGGCTTGCCCTTGATGTGCATAATCAATGGCAAGTTCAAGAACGATTTGTCCTCCAGGAAATTGTGGACGAACCACAGGCGAGACTGGAAGGTTGACATCGGAATCGGCTTGGAAAGATCAGCCTTCGGGATGATGGCAGCATCAATGCTCTCAGTCTTGACTTCAGCCGCTTTCTCCTTCTTTTCGGCCTTCTCGGCTCCGGGTGCCGGTGCGGTGGAGATCAGACTGGCAGCCTTCTGCACCAAAACCTGGATAGATTTGGCACCAAGAACGTCGAAGAGAGCAACGTCGACGTCAATGACCTTCCTGAACCACTTCCTGAATTCAACCGCAACGATTGAGTCAAGACCGTAGCTGGAGAGCGGGTTGGTGGCCATTATGTTGTCAACGGGCACAGCAAGGACTGCCGCAATCTTCTCAATGAAGGCCTCGAGGAGGATTGGAGTCTTCTCCTCGATAGTCTTCGCTGCTGCAAGCATTGCAGTCAAGTTCTTACCGTCACCGCCCGTGTCACGAGCGACAAAGTCATGGTTTGCATAAAGGTTGCGAAGCAACGGCTTGGTGGCCCAGTAAACATCATTGCGCTTGAGGTTGATGCCTGTGATCAGGGTGTGCTGGTCAGTGCCGCGAGTATCGGCTTTGGAGCAGTCGGAGGTGACCGCAGTCTCGATCTGGTAGAGGAGTTCCTCTTCGTTGACAAGATCCATTCCGAGACGCTCCATAACCTTTTGAAGGGCAACATCGTGGGCAATGACACCGATGCCAGTGATTGCACCGACGTTCATAGAGGTGCCGACAAGACCCATCTCACGACGCAGGCGCATTAATGAGTCGAGGTAGTGGTTAGCAGCCGCATAATTTGCTTGCGCCTTGCTTCCAAGCGGGTTGGCGACAGACGAGAAGCAGACGAAGAAATCTAAGTTCAACTTCAGCGTGGCGCGGTGCAGATAGTACGTTCCGAGGCATTTGGGCTTGGTGCAGGTAGTCCACTGGTTGTAGGTCATGCTCTCCAAAGGTGCGTCTTGGAGGACCATTGCAGCCTGGAAGATACCAGCCAAGGAAGGACCAATAGCCTTGATGCATTCCTCAACGTCGGCAAGAATGCTGACATCTCCCTTATGGACGGAAACACTGACGTTTCTAGACAGGAGCCAGTCGACGGTTTGCTTGGCTTCAGATTTGTTGGTTCCAGACCGGGAGAGGAATGCAATTTTTGTTGCACCCTTTCGGATCATCCATTCAGCCAGTGTTCGGCCCAGGCCACCAAGGCCGCCGACAAGTAGGTAGGTCTTCTCAGTGGAAAAGAGCTGACGGGCACGGAACTTCGTAGGCGTAACCATGACCATGTCGTCCTTGCTGGGGACAAGGACAGCCTTGCCGGGGTGGGTGCGAGTTAGTACCATCCGGAAAGCCTTTTCGGCCTCACCATATGAGAACTCGTAGATGCTCTCTGGCGGGACAATCTCGCCATTATTGACCAATTTGCAGCATTGATTGAAAATACGAGACAGAAGGGACTTGTTGCACTCATACATAGTCTTCAGGTCGACGGAAGAGAAGGTAACGCTTCGGCGGAAGGGATCCATGCTGATCTTGGAATTCTGAGAGATGTCTTTGTTGCCGATCTCAACAAATCGTCCGAAAGCATTCATGCACTCCCAAGTGGCTTGGAGTAGAGGACCAGACAAGCTGTTGAGAACAACATCAACACCTTGGCCGTTGGTTGCCTTCAGGACACCAGCCACGAAGGAGTCGTCGGTGGATGAGAAGATCTGATCATCCGGAACACCGAGCTTGTTGCGAAGAAGGTCACGCTTCGCCTTTGTGCTGCAAGTAGCAAGGACGCGAGCGCCTTGGCGGCGAGCAAGTTGGATAGCCATCTGTCCAACTCCGCCAGCGGCAGAGTGGATGAGGACTGTGTCACCTGCGCCGAGGCGGCCAACTTCAAGGAGGGAGTAGTACGCCGTGCAGAGGATGAGTGGCATGGTAGAGACAGTCGCGAAGGTGGTCGGTCCGGTCAACTTATGGCACAAGCTAGCTGGATTGCGGACAATAGTCTTGTGCGCACCCTGACCAGGTCGGAGAGCAATGACACGATCGCCGACCTGGAATTGCTCCTTGCTGACAGCTGAGCCGATGCGTAGGACCACTCCAGCGCATTCGTCACCAAGCTTGTTGTCTTCAATGCTTCCAGTGGCAGCAGCAACATCACGGAAGTTAACAGGCGCAGCGCGGACTTCAATCTCCAGCTCATCTTGGCCAAGGTCATTGTCGACGATCTGCTCATCCTCAGCGAAGTGAAGAGTCTCAAGGAGACCAGCCTTCTCGAATTTGAGGGCAAGAGGAGCAGATCCAAGCTGCTGGAGGCGAGGTTCCTTGCCGAAGCCGTGGCGGAGTTTGCTGTTCAAGCTATCGTCGGCCTCAACACGAGGGATGTAGAGGCAGTCATTGCGTTCGCAAAGTTCATCTTCATCCAAGTTGGTATCAAGAACCTCGAAGACGCGGCTGACGATGCGGTTGGCAGGGTGGTCCACGGGCAGGTCAAGCGTGACCAAGCGCAGCTGATCATTTTCGCTTCGGGCGGTTCGAGCAAGCCCGATGACCATAGCGTGAGCGGGATTGGAGGACTCCATAACCGCACCTTCGGTGACCCAGACGACGTTTTTCTGAACCTCACCCAGGAGTTTCTTGATTCCAGCGAATGTATCAGCGTCGTCAATGCCCTCATCGAAGCTGGAGAGGACAATGGCATCCTTAGTGATTGGCTGAGAGCTCTTGGACAGTTCAGCGAAGGTCATGGTGTTGACAGATGCTGGAGCGCTAGTCTTTATGGCGGAGATGATCGAGCTAACGCGCTTGCTGAGAAGGGACGACACAATGACAGTCAAGTCTCCAGGAGCCACGGCAGTGCGAGGGCGCCTGTAAGCGGAAAGGATTCCGTCCTTATAGAAGACTTGTTCGAGGTCAGGGTTGGTCGGCAAGTTGGCGCCATCGTAGATGACGACAGCGTTATCTTTCATATGCGGGAGCGGGTCAACACCAGACCCGTCGCTGATAATGACGAGGTCGTAAAGCTCTTCAGTATTCGGCTCACGGATATCAACTAGGCCGCCGCTCTTGTTTTTGATCTCTTCGTACTTCGCAGCATCACCGTTGGCAGATGACTGAGCGATGTCAAGGCACTTGAATCGTCGCCTCTCATGCGCAGCAGTGCCAAGGTACTTGAGGACTTCGGTGACGCGCTCGGAGTTGGCGGAGAAGGTCAAGATGCGAGTGTCAGGGTGCTGGTGCACGAAAACATCCACGACGCTGGCAAGAGATCGCAAAGAAGGAGTGTTTATAGACGAGGTGAGTGAGTCGAAGGACGGCTGCCAGCGTTGGCGGAAGAACAGCGAGCGGCCCTCCTGGCCATCGTTGACACCAGTGCCCAAAGCAGTGACCTCAAGGCCTTGCATTTCAAGGGCGAGATGGTCGCCCTGGGTCAGAACCAGGTCGCTGACGGCGACGCGGTGGGTCGGCAGCTCAGTGAAGGAGACTATATTGAACTCCTGTGTGCTGCGGTCGCTGACAGAGTCGACGAAGGAGCCAGAAATGTCAAGGCTGCGGATGAAGGACGGAACGTATGCCTCATCCAAAGCACGTCCCAAACGGCTCTCGATCGCACTAAAGATCACGTGGAAAGTGGAATCGAGGAGCGATGGATGCAAAACAGTCTTGTCGAACTCCTCTGCTGAGAGGACAGCGGTTGGATCGTAGGTGATGGGCCCATAAGCGTATCCAGGGCCGCTCTCAACATTGCCGGAGACAAGACGGAAGTTCTCACCATACTGCAATCCGAGGTCATTCAAATGAGCATAGAAGGAACTTGGCATCTGGCTGCGGTTGCTCTCGAGACGCAAAGCGTCAAGCGCCGGATAATTCTTGATCGGCGCAATTGGAGCGGCGGCGCCCTTATCAACGGCAATGAGACCATGGCAGTGCTCAGAGCAGCGCTCATTCTCATCATAGGAATAGACACCGAATTCGTACCATTCAGCAGATCGACTCTTCGCAGACGTAGTGACCGGCTTCATCTCAAGGAGGACTTCGGTACCCATGTCAGCAGTGCTAACGATTAGGGCAGACTTGACCATAATGTCCTTCATGCGGATAGCCTTCACGCTCTCAACACCGCCTTTCAACCGAAGGGCACCTTCGATGGCCATGCTGATGTAGCCAGCACCAGGGAAGATGATCTTGCCATCAACAACGTGCTCATTGAGCCACGGGATCTCGCCAGGGCGAAGGAAGTTCCTCCAGCGAGGGCGGTTATCAATGGACCCGGTGATGGGGCTACCCAGGATGGTATGGCGGTATGGTCGGAGGCGATGTCCCTTGGTGAAGCGAGTTTCGCACCAGTAGCGGTTGTGGTCCCAGGAGTAGGTTGGCAAGTCGGTCTGCTTCTTGCCGGTGTCTGCTTGGACCACAGCACCATCAGAAAGGTACTGATCCTTGTTGACTGCAACCAGGTCCACTGGATAGCCGAGCGAGAAGAGTTGGCCAGCGCATTGGAGAAGGCTAGTATAGTCCGGCACACCACGAGTGAGGGATCCGAGGTATGGCAGATCCAGCTTCAAGGAGGTGACACCCTGGCGAGAGGGACCCTTGAGAGCAGCATGAGCTCCGATCTCGAGAAGGATATCGACGTTTTGCTCATCGTTGTCATTAAGCAAGATGCCAGTCAAGGCTTCGTAGAATCGGACAGTCCCAGTCATGTTTGCTGCCCAGTAAGCCGCACCCATTTGGGTGTAATCCGCCAAGCGAGCAGTGACAGACGAAAACATTCGGCAAGTCGGGGGCTGCGGCTTAAATTGCGGGCAGGAGTTCAATGCCCGTTCGTAAGCGGGGGCAAGCGGGAACATGTGGTGAGAGTGGAAAGCCTGAGCGACCTGGAGCTGGCGAGCGAAGACTTTGCGTTCAACAAGAGTGTTCTTGAGTTCCAGGATGGCATCCTCATCACCAGAAATGGTGATGCTGGAAGGGGAGTTGATTGCTGCAATGGCAAGGCGACCCTCAAACGCTTGCAGTTCAGCCTTGGCCTGGGGTTCGGTCAGGCCGATAGCCATCATTCCACCAGAAACTTTAACAGTGTTGGCAGAGGTATTGGACATGTAGAGGCCACGGTAGTAGGCAGCAATGATGGCACCTTCAAAGGTGAGGATACCAGCAGCATAAGCCGCGGCCATTTCGCCGGATGAATGTCCAACGGTGGCGGCCGGCTTGATGCCCCAAGAATTGAGGAGGTCCACGATAGCCAACTGAAGAGCAGTACACAGAGGCTGAGAGAATTCAGTCTGGGTGACGCGGGAATCCTCCTTGGACTTGGTCATTTCCTCAATGACTAACCACTTGGGCGCATCTGGCAGGCTTTGGAGGACAGTATCACACTTCTCGAGAGACTGCTTGAAGAGCGGAGACTTCTGGATGAGTTCACGGCCCATCGCAAAGTGCTGAGCACCCTGGCCGGTGAAGACCATACCAATTCTGGTTCGGCCAGACTCGGCAGCCGTCCACTTGGCAAGGGGTTGAGGGTTGGTCATATCGCTGGTAACTGATGCTCGGTCGTGTCCAATCGCGAATGAGCGGAAGGGGTGCATGGTGCGGCGGCTGCTGAGCGAGAATGCGAGATCGGCGACGTTGGCATCTTCGCGCGCATCAAGATATTCCGTGAGAGCGGAGATATGGAGCTTGCCGGCTTTCTCAATGTGGGAGGTAAGCGGGATGAGATATGGACGGCTAGCCACCATAGACGCCAGAGCTCCAGGCAAGATCTGACGAGGAATGGTGGTTTCGGGTTCCGTGTAAGCTTCCAGGATGACGTGTGCGTTTGTACCACCGTAGCCGAACGAATTGATAGAAGCACGGCGGACACCGTTCTTCTCCGGCCAATCGACCATTGAAGTTGGCACCCGGATCTTCCACTCGTCGAACTTGATTTCCGGGTTGGGGTTCTTGAAGAGCATGTTCGGTGGGATCTTGCGCTTCTCAAGTCCCATAACAGTCTTGATGATACCGGCAAGGCCGGAAGCACCCTCAAGATGGCCGACATTGGTCTTGACGGAGCCAACATAGAGAGGCTCTTCTCTGCTAGGAGCGAAGACCGCTCCGATAGCAGAGGTCTCACGGGGGTCACCAGCCTTGGTACCGGTACCGTGAGCTTCGAAATATTGGGTGTCTGCAGGGTCCAGCCCAGCGATTTTATAGGTATGCCGAATGAGCTGTTCCTGCGCTATCGGATTGGGAAGGGTAATGCCCGCCTTGCGACCATCGTGATTAGCCATGGTGCCCCGCACGATGGCACGAATGGAATCGCCGCTGGCAACCGCGTCGCTCCGGCGCTTGAGCACCGTCGCGCAAATGCCTTCACCACGGACATAGCCGCTCGCACCGTTATCAAACGCACGAGAGCGCCCGTCGGTGCTGAGCATGCTCAGGTCCGTCATCATCTGGTAGATGTTCATGTCGTAATGAAGGGCGGAGCCGACGACGATGGAAATGTCGGCCTCTCGATTTTGAAGAGTGCCATTGCCCCAGTGGAGGGCAATGAGGGAAGAGGAACATGCGGTGTCGCACGTGACGCTCGCTCCATGAAGGTTATAGAAATAAGAAATACGATTGCTCAAAATGGAATTTCCGGTTCCGGTGACCGAGTATTGGGGGTAGTATTCAAGATCCTTGACGGTCGTTGCCATGTAGTCGTTGGTAAAGCTGCCGCAGAAGACCGAAGTCAAGGAACCACTGATTTCATCCAGAGTGATGCCAGCATTCTCCAATGCCTCGTACACCACCTCTAGAAGCAATCGTTGCTGGGGATCCATGGCTTCGGCTTCTTTGCCAGAGATACCAAAGAAACCGGCATCGAACATGCCGAGATCTTGTTCAAGGAAGTAGCCATATCGGGCGTTCATCTGGTGAAGATCAGTAGCTGTGTCAGGTCTATGGTGTAGGCAATACTGACTGTTCCCTTATGGGCTCCATTGGGATGGAAAAAGGCATCGACATTGAATCGATCGGCGGGCATCTTCGATTGGAGGTCTCTCCTCTCAGCGATGTTGTCCCATAGCTTACTGGGGGTTGTCGCGCCAGGCACACGACAAGCCATGCCAATAATAACTGATGGGTCGGGGTTCATGGTATTTTGAAGCGAGGCTTGAGAAGAAGCCGCTGAAGATTGGGAAGACATGGTTGAACAAGTTGATCTAAACGACAGTATTACGGTGTCAAACCATTAACAAGTTGATGTCGGCCTGCGTTGAGAGATGGGGAATAGATAATAGGGAATAAGAAATCAGTTCAATGTGGAATATCTTGGAAGGAAATGGATGGGAGCAGTGGCGTGTATGTATAGGGTCAAGCAAGTCCAGCACCAGATAAGAATAACTCTCAAGTCGCATGGCCAGACTCCACTGAATTAATTACCCCCACAGGACCATAATCCTGAACCCCAGTATCGGGCAGGACAACAAATGGAGTAGTTCGTCGGTTCGGGATCCCGGTTCCGCAGATTTGCGGACGGCAGAACCGACTTCAATTATGTGCACATATGGGCGCCGTTCTGATAGAATCGAACTCCGTAACCTCCAAAGACAATGCTGCCAATCCGACTGTATACTATGAGACATTGAATGCATATTGGAGGACAATAAGGCAAGACTTTACTAGACAATGAAATGATTTGACTTCTAAAACACAGGACATGAGTAGCGATGAGAACAAGACGGGACAAGGTGCGGATATCGCACCCAATGACAGACTCTCAGCGGACCTGGTTACAACAAGAGCGGGTATTCCCATGTGGATCGGTGTTGGTTCTCCAGATTATTACCCGTTGGGTTGTTATCTGTAAGGCTGAGCTAGTCAAGTTCCATTCATACTCAAGGTGGAAAATTTACTTCGGAGCCCGTGGAGTGATCGACATGCGGACCAGGGTCAGTACACAGCCGCCACATCACGGCAGTACCGCAGAGGGCTGCAATTGTGATTCCGTCCAAAATCATGTCTTGCATCATTCGAAGCGATTGCTGAAAGATGAAACATGATGGCCGTTCACGAGCGGAGACCGTGCTGTCCGAATCGGTCGTCGAAACGGGACATGATTGTATATATCACTTCGACCATGGCATAAACATATCGCGATACTCACCAATTTGGCCGCAATAGCGCATTTCCTTCCAATTTCACTTGCATTTCCTTCTTTCAACACTTACTGAATAATTATCCATTTGCGCGAAAATGGTCCAAGTCGCAATCTGTGGTGGAGGCTTGGCTGGTGCCACGCTTGCGCTCAGTCTTCAGAAGCATGGGATCAGTTGCGTGATCTACGATCGGGAAGCAAAAGACTTTGCCGCAGGCGGCAATATCGCCCTCTCTCCTAATGCTCTTCGAGTACTCGACCACGCCGGTGTCTATGACCAAGTTCGCAACATTGGCTATGCGTTTGAGACCGTGGCCTTCACCAACGGCCAAGGCGTCGAGCTTGCCCGGGTTTACAACGGCAGTTACAAGATCTATAACTTCCCTGCTCTGCGAATCCAGCGCTCGGAGCTGCGCGACGCACTGATAAAACAGTGCCGCCGCGTCGGGGTTGAGATCTACTATGAGAAGAAATGCGTCGGCGTTACGAGCGAGGACGACTCCAGCGCAACCATCGAGTTCGAGGACGGAGAAACCGTTACGGCGGACTACGTTGTTGGTTGCGACGGCATCCACTCCAAGGTCCGCCCCTTCGTCCGGCCACACGCGAAGCCCGAGTTTCAGGGCCTGACCGGAATCTCCGGTACGTTCGAGATGAGCGACCTCGCCGATGTGGACCTGCAAGGGCTGCATCTGCCGTGTTTCCTGTTCGGTGCCACCGGCTCCTTCGCAATCATGCCTGCATCGAGCGCCGGTAAGAGCATCAGCTACTTCGCCACATTTGAGACGGAGGAAAAGTCCAAGGAAGAATGGGTTGCGTTCGATGCGGACAAGGCCACTCTTTCCAAGATGGTGAAAGAGCGGTTTTTGACGAGCAGTTCACGATGGCCCCCAATCGTGAAGGCGCTGTGCGAGCGTGCCGCTCCGGAATCTCTGACCAACTGGCCGTAAGTGTTCAATGTTCCGGGTCTCACACCGCCACTAATACTAAGTCACACAGGTTTTACCAAGTTTCCCCTGGAACCAACTGGACTTCTCCATTGAAGCGCGTCATCGTAATTGGTGATGCTGCCCACGCAATGCCGCCATCGGTATGTTTCCGTCATACAGGCTCTGACCGCGAACCGGAACAGTTGCTAATCGAGCATACAGGGCGGTCAAGGTGGCGCAACCTCGCTCGAGGATGCGGAGACACTTGGATACCTCTTCTCCCGTCTTTATGATTCGAGTTTCGACCAGGAACTTCGTGACCAGACGGTTCGGAGCTGGGAGCAGCACCGAATCACACGTCTCCAGAAGATCCAAGACTTCAATACGAAGAATGGAAACCTTCGGAAGACCAGCAAATCGGTTATCCAACAGTCCATCAAGGAATGGGTGATCTGGGCGCTGTTGAAGTGGATGGGGCCGACCATGAATTCTCAATGGATTTATGGATATAATGCTGAGTCCGTATTGGCTGAGTTGTGGTAATTTCTATTGTCATCCAATAAAGGATTGTGATCCTGGGATGGACGGTGTCGCAGAACGCGAGATAGCGGAAGTACTGTACTTAGTAATCTCCAATCTTTGTTGTTTTGGTATATAGGTGCCTTTTAGTGGTGGACCTTCGATGTATTTGGGTTAACCGAGCGATAGTGCAAGAGGCGTACAAAGGAGTTCTGTCACACCGCAATCCTGTCCAATGTGTCCTCGTGCCGTATGAACTGCGAAGATGACTGCCCACCCTCCGCTATTGCGCTCGTCGTAGAGAGATTCGAGGCGGTCTGCCAGTCACGTCTTGGTACAACACAAAGGAAGACGTTCAATGGCCCTTTCGGTTTGGTGGAACGTTACAAGGATGCCACTCTGAAAATAGATATCATCACGATCTAACGCGAAGTGTCGTATTTACCGTAACAGCACTGAATCAAAGACGGTCGGGCCGACCACGCGCCTTCCCCAGAAATCGCCGTATTGTATGGAGTCTAGGCAGGGCTCTGGGGTCGAGGGCTTAGTCGCCGGTGTAAATTTGGAAAGACGATCATTCCCATTAAGGTTCTGCTCCGACGGTCTGCAAACCCACCAGAAAGTTAGGTAAGGGGTTCTTTAATGAAGTCTCTAACGGTACAACGAGGACGAAAATTGTCAGATAGAGAACTCGCAGTAGTCAACTCGTCCAACTAGTCGAGCATCCAACCGACCGATCCTTTGCAGCTGGCTGTAAAGAAGCAAAAGTCAGCAAGCCATCGATACGATGAGATGTCGTCTCATGTCTCCGAGAATTACTCGGAGCTGACTGGTGGGACTGGAATAGCTGAGAGATCCGTGGTCCAACCACATAATGTCTCATGCAATGGAATCTTCTACCGACCCTCACAATGCTTCGATACCGAGAGTATCGTGGTCAAAGTCCCCACGGGGTATGACGCTGCACCTTCAGTTGCGTAGGGCTGATCCGGACCAGAATAGGTGTTTTGTCGGCGTCGTGCGCGTAAGGCTGGTGCATTTGCCTCCCACAGACGGAGTGGCTTCAGAGTTTTCTAAAAGCTAAGGTTTCAGAGTTTTTTCGATTCCGGGGGAGGAAAACGGATTTTCGGTTTCATTCACCGAAATTCTGGTAAACAATGGACTAGAGGGAGAGGTTCGGAAGCCTGGGGTGTGTCCGGGACTCGTCTCTGCGCCGGCTAGGGCTTGGGAAGCATGAACCAAATAACCGAAGATATGCTTATAGAAGCACATCATGTCGGCAAGATTCTCAGTGGAGAAAGACCAAATGGTAATGCTGGCAATTGTTTCTCGATAGAGGCTCGGTTCGAGTGCAAGAGGGCTGGAGGATCAACATCGTCAGGACCCTAATCCTGGCATGATCGCCAAGCCATTGATGTCAAGCGATTAAGCGAATGATGTTGCTTCCCACCAAAGCCAACGGGCGCCCAGAGAGCCTTGCACTTGGCGTGCTAATAAGAGTGCCACCATCGATCTATCCGTCCATAGCATAAGCCATCCGCAATATTGCAGTAGTCTCTAACGCGGTGAGAGATGCTGATTTGCTCGCGTCGCACATTGCTATCAGCCGCTATGGAATTTGGTAGCGAGGCTAGCATGCTGTAGGGAATAGCATGCTGTACCTTTGGGAAATCATATTCCCAGGACTGTAGCATCAGGCGCCCCACCATTTCACCGACGGGTCCAACACCAACATCGGACCGGCCAGGCCATACCCCTCACTATGGACCAGACCTCGAATGGAGTAGAAGTGGCTGTCCGATTCGCACTGCCCCCCACGATGGACCGTTTTAGCGGTCCCTGCAATCATTGACGACTCTAGACAGTGTGTCCTGCAGTATGTCGCCATGTCCTGCCCCATACCCTGTAGCTTGACCAACGATCAGATGGGCCCATCCATGACGGATCCGTTGAAATGCGGTTGTGCTTCCTAACCAACCCGGTGGATACACTCCCTCTCCACCCTCCACCTCCAGCAAATCAGCACGAGCCAGGTCCGCAGGCTCGACACGAGAATTTCCATATCCGTCCGCTTTGCTTCCTCGTGCCATCCGTGAATTCCAGGAATTGTCACGGAAGACAACCTGGCCGAAGACGGTACCACCTTAGAGTGATACGAACCTGGGAGATAGAAAATGCGACTTGTCCACTGCCTTTCACCAGCGCACCTATAAGTGGGATTGAGCAGCCAGTCTCTCGTGCATATCCTCTAGGCTAGATTTCTTCCATAATGTCTGCTCCAACATCATCAGAAGGCCAATCAATTCCCATTGACAAGCCCATTCGGGCCAACGGCAAACCACCTCGCCGAAAGGTCAAGGACTCCTGCGACCTTTGCTCCAAACGAAAGGTCAAGTGCGGAAAGGAGAGGCCTAGTTGCCTTCGTTGCTCCAGCCTCAAGCTTCCGTGCAACTACAGCCCTTCTCGGAGGATAGGAAAGCCGCCAGCATCCAAAAGAAAGGCCGCCCTGCAACAGCAGGGCCTCACAGACGGCTTCGTTCGCCAAGACAGCAGTTACGGCAGTTGCACACCTGGTAAGCCACCCCCCATAGAAAAACAGAAATATATAGCGAGGGCAGAGCTAACGGCCCCTCAGAGTTGATGCACGTGAGCGGTTTTGGTGATCACACAATGAACCCTCAACAGCCGCTGTTCTTCCCGCCAGAAGATCTGCACCTCTCCCCGCAGACTTCAATGGGCATGTTTCCACCACCGCCCATGGCAATTCCTGATCGGTATCTCATGGATATGTACCTCGATTTCGATGGTTCTGCCGCGTCGGTCCATTCTGGAATGGGTCCCATGGACGACTTCCCAACACCACCTCTCTCTGATGAGAGCTTCGACGACGGCTTCAAGCCATTCCCCGACGTCATTCCGACAACAGAGTTGCCCGAACGATGCTCGAAGGACCATGATTGCATGAACCTCGGCATCACTGCTCTGCAAAACCTCTATGGTGTTGCGGAGTTGGCCCAATCTACGCTGAGCGCGGATCGGATTCTGGACCGCAATCGCAAAGCCATCGATGCCATATCTCAGTTGGTGGACTGCGAATGCTCGGCAGACCCGGAGCTGGCTCTCCTCCTGTCATTAATAATATCCAAGGTTCTGCGAACCTATCGCACCGTTACAGCTCAACGGAGCTCCTCGTGTTCTTCTTCCTCTTCCGTATCCGGGTCATCTCAAGAGTCGCTCTTTAACCAGGGAGACATGGATGCCGCCTTTACACTAGGATCCTATCGCCTCGACGAAGAGGATGAGGAGAGCATCAAGATGCAACTCATCCTACGCCAATTAAAGCGCATGGGTAGCCTTGTGGATCGTTTTGTTGACGTCTACTCCCGCCAACGGATGCACGGCAGCCACATCTCCGGCGCACTGACAACATTTGTCCGCGGAGAGTTCAAAGCGTCCTTGAAAGAGTCTACCGACAGACTAAGTAGCTCGATGCAGGAGCTATTCTGAGCAATGACTTTGACGATATTAAATTCTCCGTTGTACTATGTTGCAATATATCGGCGTTGGGTATGGATAGACCGGTGCATGGGCGGATACCACATCGTGGACGGACATTGTAACGACAGGCGTTGGTAGTATTGGCCAGGTGGTTCGCTTAGGGTTAGCATCGACAATCTAATCGCCCGACTTAGGTGTCTGTGTACGAAGTTGACTTGGACTCTTGTAACCATTTTGTGACATTGTAATGATTCTGGGACCGGGGCGAGTGAGGAAATACGAGCTAGGGTAGCATTCAACGGCAGAGGGTTCGTTTGTTGGAGTGGTTCGGATGTAGTTTGATGGGGGCAAGGCTGACACGTCGTGGTGCTTGGCCCTTGGGCCCTTGGGTCCTTGCAAATTGCGATAAGTCAATTTGGGGGAATACGGACACGTAGCCATGTCTGCGATAGGTCGGAGATGGAGCATTGAAGCTTAATGCGAGTTTGCGCCAATCCTCGGGGCATTCGGGACTCTGGGAACTGAACGTGAAGAGATCAACAAGACCAGGAAAGAAGTTGGACGGATTGAGCTGAGAGCCGATATCACGTGCATTTAGACTCTGGCACGTCTGGTCGGATTTCATAAATAGAAGGTGCAAATTAACATTATCTGTGCCACCCATGCCAGTTATGCACCAGCCACCAGAATCCAGATTTCCCCACTGCGCATTGACCACCGCGATTCGAGCCTCAATCTTGACTTCGCTCCTTCACGGCCTCAATAATAACAACAACGAAAAGGCCCGATGAGACTCGGACTCCGAGAACTGTGATCTCCCTCAGCCACATCGTTTCAGAATATTCTGAAACGTTCATCCGGTACCTGCATCTGTGAAACTCTGTCTTGAGTTCTTGCCACGATGCCACAACTTTCCGAATTCCATCCAGCCGGTATCCTGCCTTGGTAGCCGCAATCATCCAGATTCCTATCGAACATTCACCTCTCCTTCTTTTCTACATGGCACCTGCATCGCCTACGTCATCTGGGAACCCTGCCGATGATGCTCTGTTAGTCGAAGCTGCTGTCCGATAGCTGCCGCCGAGCCTCCCTTTGCAACACGGAGGAAATCTTGAATGCACTGCAGTGTTGCGGAATTTATTCGTGCAGTGGATATTCGTGACACTAGTAGAATCCTACTGTGATTGGATGGTTTTGAATATACAAAAAACGTAATGTACATCGGTACAGGAAATATGCAAGGAAATATGCGTCTATGCCAACTCAACCACTAACCAACGCCATGCAATGCTTCCCGAGACATCTAGCACGTCAACCCATTCTCCGCACGCACTGGAATGCTAGCCGGATTTTGGAAGAAGTTGCCTGGATCATATTGGTTCTTGACATTAATGAGCTTGCAAACGTTGTTGCCGAAGTAGGATTCCAATGGATTCACTGAGATCTTGGAGTCGGCGTAGCCAGTGTATGAAGCCGGACTGCGAGGGACATTAGTCTTGGATCTGTTACAAATTCGGGTGCTCAGCCTTACCCAACTATAGGCCGGAGGTAGCCTTCCAAATCAGCCATCCAGTCATGATATCCGTTCTGTACGTCCATATCGTCGGAGCCACGGATCTGGAACTCGAGATGGGCATATGCTTGATCTCTCCAGGCGAAGGCATCGCTTCCATCTGCCGTGGAGGACAAGTTCCACGCATGCCACTCTCCCCAAGCGCTAGCTTCCGGCGGGAGCTGAGCAATCCGGTCAATGACATTCCTCAGTGCGTCATCTGGAAGGAGGTTGTCCTTTTGGACGATGAATGACTTGGCAATACGCCAGAAGCGTGGCCAGGCTGGAGCCACTGGAGCAGCAGGGTCCGCTGGAACATCATTATACCCGAACCGAGGGTAGTTGCCGACTGGTTCGAAGGCTTGAGGAACCACGTTGGTAATGAGAGGGTCGACCTCGTTATCAGCTTGGCAGTCGAACGTGGTATATCCGAAGAGACGGGAATTGAGTTGATTGCAGCCACCGTCAATAATCGGCTCTGGTTTCCCGATGGTGAGGAGTCCCGAATCATTGATCAGCGCGGTCAGTTCCTCGCCAGTGGCATTGAGGAACTGCCCAACGACCTGGACAGTTGTGCCATAGACGTTGACCTGGGAAGTGAATCGGCGATCTTGCCTTGGTGCCCAATCCAGGAATCGCTTCGCAACATCATAGCGAACCGTATTGGTATCGGTCTCGTTCCAGTTGATCAGAACCATGCTAGATCGCGGATACTCCAGGACCTCCAGGACGTACTCCACAACAATTCCATACGTACCGCCACCGCCGCCCTTGACTGCCCAGAACAGGTCCGGGTTTTCGGAAGCTGAAGCGGTGACAAGCTGGCCATTTGCAAGGACAACCTTGGCGGATTGAATGTAGTCGATCCCGAGTCCCATGTCGCGCATTTGATTGCTGAATCCTCCACTAGACAAGAAGCCGGATAGACCGACTGTTGGACAAATGCCGCCATTGAACGACCTTTCGTGTTTCCAGAGGACGTTATAAAGCGCACCGAGTCGAATTCCGGCTCCGACAACGGCAGTGTTTCGATCTTCGGAAACTTGTACGTAGTTAATGTGACTGATGTCAATAGTCATTGTATCTGTCAACGTGGAGTAGGCTTCAAAGCTGTTCGAATGTCAGGTTTCGCTATCTTGATACGAGATGGAAGTAGTGGGCTGAAATAGGTATTATATTGACCCCTCACTCTGAGCCCCCAAACCTGGGGTTTAGTATTCAGGCATCAATACCACCGCATAATCCAGATCCCATTGTCGAGAGAAAAGAAAGACTAGACTTACTGGTGACCGCCGGTCCGGGGAACGGCACGAATTCCTGATTTCTGAGCGCAATTGACAAGAGCAGGGACCTCGGAAACATCTTCGGCGAAAACAATCAACGAGGGGAATTCATCGAATCTATCCAAAAGTTAGCTTCCGCTCATTCCTGTCGAGTTCGTTCTCTAATTCATACTGGATCTTCTCGCCGAGTCTCGCATCTGTAAAGGTAGGATCCGTGGGTCCGACTATTCGAGCATCTGAAGTGTTTCCAAAAACAGAGCGAACACAGGCCAGCAGGTTACTCTGTCTGGTCACGAACTCTTCCAGTGGCGCCGCAGCCACGGAGCCAATCAAGCACGTAAGTGGTAAGAGAAAAGAAAAGCGACCCTTAGAAGGCGTCATATTGGCAAAGAATGTGTCGCAAGCGCTACAAAATAGGACCTGCCTAATGATGTTCGAACCGAAGTCTAGAAGGAAAAGCTGATATCGAATGGCAACATGATTTGACAACGACGCCAGCGAAGTCAGTTTTTAAGAACTTGACATTCTTCCAAGTCTCTAGGAAGCGAATATCACGTTGACCAGGTGGTTGCGCACACGAACGGATCGTGGAGCCCAGTTTCGGAGGTGTTGGATGGCGATCGCGGAGCCCGACTCAGATATCCATATGTGCATGATGTGAGCGTTCCATAGAGGCAAAAACTAACGGTATGGAGATGCGGCTCCAGGGCTTCCGGAACTAGAACTTCATCAAAAGCAGTCCCTGCTATACCAATAAGGTATCCAAACATAGAATGCCTGGTAAAATAGAGCGGACCGTTGATCGATGTACTCCACATTAGAAATCCAGGTCCAGATTTCATGAGCGTCGCAGTGAAGGTCCAAGCAACCAAACCCATCCCCGAGGATCAGAGGATGGGGTATACTCTCCGAAATCGTGGCTCTGTGGCGTGGTGTTGTTGTTCGGAGTCCACCATGTTCTTCAGCCCTGCGGAACCAACCCCCTTGCCCCTCGCGTCGATTACATCGCACACCCCGGCTCCACCACCCAACCAGAGGTGGCGGCGATTGAAACATTGGCTGACTCGACAGATCTTTTGCTGTTTGGTGGAAGATGAAACGGTGCCTTTTCGCCACAGGTTTCTGGTCTCCGTGCGACAGAGGAGGTGAGCTCAGAGCTGGAAGCAGGTCGGATTTTGGTAGCGAGCGCAATTGTCAGCCTCTCTGCACATCGTGTCTCTCCGTTCTATGGTAAGGTTCCGATTCTGCATGTCGTATTATTTAATTCATCACTTCATTCTGTTTGTCATAGATTGGATGGAGCCTTTGAATGTCCTGTCTATTCCGTCTAAAACTACAATGCGCTGTCATGCCCAGCTAGCCACCTTGATGCATGTCGCCTGTCAATTATCCCACGCCAAACACCCTAATGAATGAAACCCAGAACAAGATATGATGCAACGGAGGGTCCCCCACACCAGCCCCATTCATGTTCTAGCGTGTATGATGATCATTAAACGAGCGTAACTGATTCTCTTTGTATGACTTGGATATTCAACCGGTTTGTTCCAGCACAGATTGCAAGATTCTGGTCAACTCTGGCGCCGCCATGTCATCGAGAATGCCATCGTGGTCCGCGTGGATCGGAATGGACCTGAAGCTCCGGAAAACGCGGGGGTCCCACAGCATGTTCTTCTCGCGGAAGGAAAATTTCTGGAAAAGCTTGCGCTCGTAGCTGAGGTTCGGGGTGCTTCCAGTGGTAGATAGCTGTGCAGGAGCTTTGGTGCACTTGATCAGGACCGCGTCGTAAGTTTGCTTGCAGGTGAACATGGTCCCTAGCTTGACATTGGCGATTATGCGCAGGCCGTTTGAAACGTGATGGTGCAGCCTTGACAGAAGCTCGCCCCCTTGGAGGAAAAGATCTTCGTCGTCGTCTTCAGACGAGTCGAAGTCTGGCTCCATGGTGGCATCGACGCCCAGACGCTGAGCAACCGCACCGTAGGCGTTCCCGAGCATGGTCTCGAACTCGCGGTGACTGCGGAATGCCGGGGTGGCCTCCGGATTAGGTGAATCCAACATGATGACTTTCAGGACTTCCTCGCCGTAGGAAAGGAGTACGTCGGCCATCTTCATTGCTACCATCCCGCCCATGGACCAGCCGCCAAGGAGGTAGGGGCCCTCGGGCTGTTGGTACTTCAGTAGGGCCACATACTGGCGAGCAAGCTCATCCAAGCTGGAGGGAAGGCGATACTGCTTAGTGTTGTAGATGGGAGAACCGATGGTGTAGACGGGGCGACCAGCGTCAAGGAACTCCTCTCCCCGAGTCACTGACCCAAGACGAAGGTAGGGCAGGGCAAGACCGGAGACGGCGTGGACGAGGAATAGGGGAGTTAGGTGAGAGGAGGGATCTCCTTGAATATGGAGGACGGTTTCCATTGGTAGGATATAACAAGAAGCTGGATCGAAATAACGAAAGTATGCTCAATAAACCCAGGACCAGCTGGATCAGTGAGAGGCGTTGAGGTCTCGTGAGAGTTGACGTTAAGATTAACAGACCTCGAAAACTGTTGTCGACGAACAAGCCTCAGAGCTTGCGAACCTTTGGGTATCATATCATTATAACTCGTCCTCAGTTATACAGTGGGCCTGATGCTGGAGCTGCGCTCATGATGGCAAAACAGCTGCTCTCATCGACACGCCTCCTCCATCCTCAGGGAGTCCTACTCCTTGCGGAAGCTGATGCTCATGGGAGAGCTTCAGGTGGTGGCTGAAGCTGTTTGATAGACAGATGAAGTGGGTTTGACAGCAGTTTCATGTACCTCATTTGCCTCAGGTCTAGAAGCATCGTGATCGCGTCTGTTCCAGTCGCGCTTCTAGTGCGGCTCAACCATGCTGACATACATGTTGCAGCCACTAGTCCAGATTTAGCCTAGCTCAATATTCCCTAGAGAATTGGCCAATGATAGCTTCTAGGGTCCAAAGCTTAGCACTTCGCTCCCCGATGATTGGTCAAAGGTCTCGTTCCGTTGGCAAATGGAGATCCCAATCTGGTAAAGACCATCTGGACGCAATTATACTTGAACTTCGATCAGACTCGCCGCCGTGTGCCGGAGTTCCGTATTGTCGAAGATCCCTGACGGATTTTGTTTCAACTCGATTTCTGGTGTTTCACGGAAGAGTTAGTGGTCCTTCCACCTCACTGCGGGGGATCGGGTGTGACTGAGATGACTATTTTCCGCTATGGTGCAATTCAAAAGACAAGACAGGTCCCCATAATGATCGGGTCATCAAGACAAGATTTGGAACAATATTGTCCTCCATCGTGACTGTCCTGGCTACGGCCTTTTAATCAACACTCATTTCAGTGTATTCACATTCAACATGAGTGTTCTGAAGACACTTGCCTTGGTTTTGGCCCTACGGGCGGTGCCCTCGTTGGCCCAGGAGTTGGAAGCCGTCTCGAAGAACCAAATTCCGATGTCAAGGCCTGGTGTCTATGATGTCCCCCATGACCGGCACCCCTGGGCGGGTTACCTACTGAACGTCACGATTGGAAACCCTCCACAGACCATCCCCATGTTCAACGACTGGACTTGGGTCCAGATGTACACGCTCACTACCAAATGTATGGGGGACGAGGAAAATACCTGGGCGTGCTTGAACCACGATCAACCATATTATAATCAAACCGAGTCGAAGACTTTCCGCAATGTCACCGACAGATATCCTCGCATGAACTGGAACCCAAACCATTTCTTCTTCTACGAGGATATGTGGGTTGAGCATGCAACAGAAGTCACGACAGTCGGGTCTGCTACTTCGACTGTCGTGTTCGAGGCTTCGGACTTCTCGTTTGATAGTACTGCAATGGCTTTCCCGTTTGCCGGAGTATATGGAATGTCACCCGTGTTTGAGGGTGATAAACGTAAGTGGAACTAGTGCTCGTCCCGTATCCTCAGACCACAAGGCTGACTTGTATCCAGCCGACTATCAATCTACCTTCTACCAGCAATGGAAGTCCGGCGCCTGGGCAACTGGCCTGACAGCATTCCACTACTGCTATGACGGCAGCCCGGATGTCGAAAAGGAGGGCTGCCACGGATACGACGCCATCCAAACCATGGGAGGCTACCGCCGCGATCTCATCCAGGATAAGAAGATTTATTGGTACGATATCACCATCTGGGATTGGGTCAACTACCAAAATTTCATCTGGGAGCCTAAGGTGATTAACTACTGGACCCTGGATATTTCCCAGATGAGCATCGGCGATGAGCCGGTGGCCATCAACAAGACGACCGGGGGCGCGGCAATCTTCGACCATGCCAGCTTCGGCCGCGGAGCACCCCTCTCCATCGACGGTTACGCCTATCTGGTCGATTTGGCTCAGGCGGAGCCGATCACGCTTCAGTGGCCCCCGAACAACGGCAACCAGTCGTTCTTCAGCGTCGACTGCAACAAGAGGGACACCCTGCCACCGATCAAGTACGCCTTCAGCGGCCATGACAAAGTATGGGAAATTCCCGCCAAATACTACGTCGAGAACATCGACGAGGCGACGTGTGTGCTCAACGTGCGGACTTTGGGATACGGGGAGATGTCGGACGGGAATTTCGGGGATCAGTTCGTGATGGACAAATACCTTATCTTTGACTTTGAGAAGCTCCGAGTTGGCCTCGCGGACGTGAAATGGTGATTTGTCGATCGATACTCGAAGGGGATTTATGAAATTATGACTGGGGTCCGCTGCTGTTAATAGCGATCGCTTTTAGCTGCGTTCTTAGCATTCTTAGAATTTTTAGTGGGCGGAGTACCGCTGTACTTCAACTAATACGCATATGAAGATGAGGACATCACTAAATCAATTAATTTCAAAATCCCTCATGCATGATACTACCTGCTATAACACGTTGCGAGTGTGACCAGGGAACATTCGGTGTGTTTAGAAGCTGTGTGACAATGTCTTAGAAGCGGTGACGACGACCACCAAGGCTCTCAGCTCGTGACATCTCATTTTCCCAACCCAAGAGTTTTTTGATCCAAGGACTCGGACACAGCATATTCGGCTTTGATCGACGAGACCGTTGATTGCCTTGGTCGGATTGCCTGCACCTCACGAAGGTTCGGAGGGAATCCGGATTGGGGATAGCGGGGAATATCTCCGCGCACGTCATGGGCAATTCTATTGCGGGGGGAGCCAGGGTGAGGGGATTGAAGACTTCCATCTTGTAATTCCCCGTTCCATCAATTCCGACATGTATCAAAGTAGAATATATTCCGAAAAGACGAAAGCATTTGATAAGAATAGATAGATTGTATTGATGGGGAATATGAGTCGGGTTGAAACGGTAATACGGGCCCTTAGTGTCGGCACAGCCACGTTCGGGGTAATTAATTAGTGGCATTAGTGACTCTACCGTAATTACCTCATCCTGCACCCTGCAGAGATTCTGTAATTATCACCATCCCAGTACCGCAAGCAGGAGTTGAGCTTGAGTTATTCCGTGCAATTCGTCAAGCTGGAATTAATAATAAATCATGTTGACAGTTGGGACACTGTAGAATGTCCATTGCCGAGTGTCTTGTCCGCCTTGCCATTGCGCATGTCACCATGTCATGTGCCTCGGGTCTTGGCATTTTCACCTCAGACAAACAATGAACGTCAATCCTTCCATTTCCATTTCTCTCCATTTTCCATCCACCGAATACTCGGCCTCTTCCTCTCACAGCATGATGTCTGTGGACTGTGACACCAACAGTTCTAGTATTAAGTAAGTAGTTATTAATACCGTTTGGACCGAGCCGAGTGGAACCTCCCCGCCCTAACAACACCAACCGTTCCGATCTTCACTCCCTCGAGTACCCTCGCCTAGCGACTTCGCCTCGTCGCTTTCCTTGTACCAGTACTCTCCACCTCTTCAGATATTGCTTCATGTAGGATGATCCCTTCCCTTGTCCGTATTATCATCGCATTCACTTGTGTCCCGTTCGACTGTTCCCTCGACCTACCCACCGAATCTCGGCTTGGCAAACCTGCATGGGAATTAGGATACCGCTCCCTGCTCCACGGTTAGACCTAATGGCCCGAGTCCCCTGTGTCCTAGTCCAAGTTCCAACACAGCGAACCTCCACCTGATGATCATATGTTGCTACCTTTAACTCTCCTGCATGGTACTATGTATCAGAATTGCGCAGGGTCCGTGGTTTTCAACTCTTGTCAGCCACCGATCTCCAGACTCCAGTTGATGTAAGGCTAGCCTGATACGTCGGATCCCGAATGACGGACATCCATCCACACAATGGCTAGGAAAGCTCTTTGCACAGTCTGCCCGGGGCCGTGCGTAATACACACGTCGTCGTTTACCGTCATTCTGGATTTTGATATCGGACCCTGCGCCTCTGCACACGAGGCTGCGCTCATCATCCTGAGATCTGAACTGTCCGTCCGACGCTCCCGGTAGCATACCTACCGCTTTCCTCCTTTTGGCCATCCCGCCGGCTTAGGTGCATCGAAGGATTGTAGAGCATTCTGTACCAATGCTGGCCGTTTAGTCCCCCTCCAACGTCAGATCCAGTGTAACCGGAGTCAGAAGCTGAGGTATGTCTCCATACGATGTCTTTAACCTTCCGTCTTTCCATTTTCGGCCTTGGCTGCCTGAGTTCTTGGAATTTAAGTATAACATTCCATCCCACTCGAATTATTTATTTTGCACCATCGCCTCGACCAAGATTTCCCCTCACTTCCTTTCAACTCAAGTGATGCCCTTCCGTTCCTTGTTCATTTCGTAGACTATTTTCCCCTGTCGTCTATTTCCTATATCTCTTTCACAATGTCTTCATTCCCGCGTCAGAACCTTCGACGAAGCTGCCATTTCTGCCGGGCTCGCAAGATCAAGTGCTCTGGTAGCAGTATATGTGAAGCCTGCAAGGAACGAAACCAAGATTGCATCTACGACGTCTCAGAGACGAGGTCACGCCGCAACACCTCGGGTGACCGTGATCCAACCTTCGCCCACGGTAGTCCTGTCACACAGTCACTCTTCCCCTCACCACCTACCTCACATGCCGAGTTCACAAATGGAGCTGAGGGGATACTGGGCGCCGAGGGCGCTTCTGGAAGGGGAGATACCATCGGCCAAGAGCTAGAGAAGATCTATGGAGACAATTGTTGGGAGAAAATGGAGAGCTTCAACCGAAGGGCTTCTGAGTCCAGCACAGAGAGCGCCGGCCGCTCTGAGATATCCAAGCCCGGATCACTGAGTTATGATGGCTGGCTATCATTACTCACCCAAGACCTGGTTGGCATGATCGCTGCGAAGTTTGGCGGGTTGGGATGCCAGCATATCCAAACTGGTGGCGCGAAACTTTGCGTCGATTCACTGGCGAACGACCAAACCACTACCATGATCGATTATTTCGAGGCCGAGCCAAACCCTCTCACTGAATACGACAGCCGTAGGATCACTCAGTTGATTGAGGTGTGGTTCTCGACTCACCCACTCTCCATTCTGGTGTCAAAAACCCTCCTTCTTCGCGATGTCCGAAATAAAACTCAAGATGACGCCCTCCTTGCCGTTATTCTGGCGGATGCCAGCTTCGCCCACGACCACTCAACGGCGCATGAACGGGGCCACAGACTCCTCCGGTTTGCTCAGCGCCAACTTCAAGACAGAAAGCTCTCTGATTGCGGCTTCTCCACTGCTCAGGCACTCACCCTCTTTGGCTGGCACGAACTGTGCTTCTCCAGCATCCGCAGATCGACTTCTTATGTAACACTAGCAAGCAAAATGCTCGTCGGCTTGAAGGATCGTCAGCTCGAACCTAGTCTCATCAACGGTATCGACGTTCGGGAGGTCGAGAGGGAGCTTCTATCCTTCCTCTGGTGGACAATTTTCTCCCTCACTCTTTGGTCATTTATGCAGCTGGGCCATAACTTCTCCCACCTACTGACGGGACTCCTCCCCCAACTTTTCCTACCCATGGACGATTCCTCTTCGAGTCTTATCAAGCTCGACGAAGCTTCGGACAACCTATCCACCCTGCAGATTCAAAGACGCGTTATTCGTGAAATGTGGCCTTTGAGCCATGTTTCCGCTGCGATTGCTCACGTCTACGCACTTTACCCCCAAGACCCCAATGGCATAGACGACCTCCCTTCTGGTTCTTGGCAAGAGCGACCTCTTCAAGGATTCCGCCGCCTTGTTTCTCTTCACCACAGTCCCGATTTCGCTAGCATCTGCAGCAGTGCTCGCGGCGTCTTCATTGACAGCATCAGGGTTCTGAAACGGGAAGTCGACGATAGTGCCTCTCAAGCGCTTCTCTTGACTGTGCACCACACGATTCTCATTCACTTCCTCTTCCCCCGCGGTAGCACTACCGCGTCTAAGAATCCAACCCAGGACAAGACAATCAACGACAGGACCATCAATTGCTTCCTCGAGTCAGCGGACGACCTTCTGGCGATTCTTGCCAAGGTCTCGGAGGGTTCTCGATCAGATATGATCCGATCCGGCTCGACACGCCAACGCTCCTCATTCCCCGACGTGTTTATCTTGGCATTAGATTCGTGCGGACGTGCTTTGGAGCTCTTCCGCAGCAGACTTGCAACCGATAGCAAATCGAAAGATTCCCGGGTTCTGCTCGGTTCCGCTGCAAGACTGGGATCCCTCGCCGCACGATTGCACAACACTGCTAGGGATGAAATCCTCGCATCGGCTCGACTCCTTCGCCCGGTTAAGAAGCGTCTCAAGACTGCTCGCGTCGGGTTTGAGCAATACCTGGGTCGGGGGCCGCGATCGGTGCCAAGTCCTACTTCTAGCCTTGGCAGCGGAACAACTTCCCAGCCTCACACTCCGAGCCGCTCCGAATCCAACAACATGCTTGGAATCTCCGATGTCCCCGACCTTACATACCAAGGTCCTCACATGGATGCTGGCCTACCTAACGGCTTCAACTTTAGCCCTTCTAGCACTTGCCCTACCTCCCCGGCTCTGTCGAATATCATGTTCCGTGGACCTGCCTCCAGCAAATCCATGCATTCCGCCTCCAACAGCCTCCAGTCCTTTACTTACGACCCTCCCCAATCGTTTACTTCCAACCCTCTTTCTCCATCCTCCCGCTTCGCCGCTGCGGTCGGGGACATGGACATGGGCGAATTTCCGCCCATGGACGACACCATGTTCCCATCCTCCATGGATCTCGGCATGCCTGCCGTGACCATGTCTTGGGATACGAAGTCCGCCGTCTCTGCCGCCAGCGGTTCGGACTCGATGCCACAGGATATCCCTTCACACCATATGCTTGACGGCATGTCTGGTCCGTCGGGCGCCGGCACTCCACTCCATCACACACATAGCAGCTCGCCTGCCCCAAATATGTTCATGCCGTATACTACCATGGGTGACTCAGTCGAGGGGCTGCACTCAGGCGTGATGACCCCCGAAGCCACCATCTCAGATCCAGGGATGCTGCATGAGGGGCATCATCACTTCCATGGTGGAATGGGAGAGTGGGGCATGGAATCCAGATTTGGCTTTCATTAAACCGACCACTTTTCTAAATGGTCATGATGAGATGCTTGGATGCGAGGCGTGATGACGGCACGCAGATTGTCGGCCGTCCGGGACTCGACTTTCTCTTCCTCTAGACGCGCGTTGGGTTTAAAAACTTGTATGATCGGCTTGGTTCCGGCTCTACATATTCACTCTTAGTTCCTGCATGCAGCCTTCTGGCGGCTTTATGGCTTTATGGCATATCTCACTGTTTCTTTGTTGACGAATCATACCAGCATGACAGCTCCTTCGGTAAAAATATCTTGGAGGCTTAGTTAGATACACAGACCCAAAGTCTTTTGATGCTGTACGCTTAGTTTCCTCATCTTCTTATTCCTAACTAGAAATCAAAAGCTACCTTATTACCAAACGTATCGATTCCATCGCTACAATTTCTTCTCATGATTTCCTGCTCCGCTGCCCGAGACCGCTGCTTGTCCACCTCCAGCAACCCTTTGCCGATTGACTGATGCGACTGATACCAACCGACGACCGCCTCTGCCGTCTCCATGTTTCGTCACTGAATTCCGCATTAACAACCCCTCTATAGTCGTCATCGCCCCGTCAAAAACCTAGCCGCCAACTCCAGCCGCAGGTCCCATGTCTCTCAGCCCTACCTGCCCGGAGTCGGGGAATGCCCGATGTGTGACGTCGCACTGCCCAGTCCGTGGAACCACGTCCGCCTCCGTGAAAAGTCTACCGCATTGCAGATTCCGAAACACCTTACCGGGCGCCCCGGGCCCTGGCATGGTTCTGAGGAAGGACATGTCGTTCGCGCGCTCGAGATGCATGTCACTGGGATCTACGTTTTAGGCTCGCGTGCGTGGTGGCAGGATGGAGTGTGGCGACTGGCGAGCGTGGGGGACTGCCGCGTGATGGTGGGGGATGTTTCGAGATTTTGCTGTTTGGCGTTCGCGAATGTAGGGGAAGGGGCAGTCCATTGATTACAGTATGACGATCCAGTGGTGTTCAAGACCCTGGTGGCTAGGGCTGCGTTTCTACGCCGTTGAAAACATTATTTGCAAAACCGGAAGGAGTAATATTAACCTCTAAGGCATTGGGATGTACGGACGGACTAAAACATGTCCGCATATCAGGAAACATTGGAAGGGATTATAAATAGGGAGCCTTGCATCTGACTCAATGCTTCAACAAAGGCTGCGACTCGGCCGAACCATCTTTACCCTTCTTCTTATGCGGCCGCTTCTTCCTCTTCTTCTTCGCATTACCTTTCTTCTTGTCATCATCGGCCACCGCACTCGTTTCCTGCGTCTCCCCCGGCTGCTTGCTGCTACTGGGCTCCCCAGTCGCTTCAGCCTCAACGTCGCTTTCCCCGGGCTGGAGGTCAAGAACCATTTTCTTCATTCCACCCGCGTCGACTAGGTTCTCCGTGATGCTGCCTGACCGCGCAGTGGTCCTCGGAGGGGGTGGCTCGTCGCTAGAAGGTGACAATGGTGATTTTAGCCCCCCGAGAGTGCTCGTGCTATGGTTGCTGTATTGTGAAGGAGGGCGCTCCGAGGGAATAATGATCTTGCCCGATTTACCGGATGTGGTGGAGAGATTGCCAGTGGAGCGGGTAGCGCTACGTTCCTTGTAAGGGTAAAGGTGGTCGCCATCGTGCTGTTTGGTGTCTTGCTTATCATCGGCGCTCGCTTTGTCTTTGCCATTGTCGTCCGGACTAGGTAACGGCTCGGTCTTGGGTGCCGGAGAGCTCGCAAGGGTGCCATAGTTCGGTTGTTGGACTTGCTGGATGAGATGTACCGCGTCGCTGGCAGACCGGCCTGCTGAGATTGGGACGTTTGGCGAAGCCCCCGCGGACTTCTTATCTGGCTCCGGAGATAGTAGGAATTGGGACGGGGAAATAGCCGCATCTTCGGGAATCGTTGAAACACCATTTCCTGGCTTGATCTTGACTGTGTTGATCTTCGTCTGTTTTGGTGCCGATGCAAGGTTGCTCGGGCCAAGATGCTTCAAGGCTGCGCGAACTTCTTCGCTGCTGCTCTTTACAGGAATAGTCGCGGACTGATTGGCATCGGCCGATTTGCGACGACGCATGTAAAGTGTGGTATCTCGCGGACTTCGCGACAGGTCGGGGAGCGACTGCTTTCTAGGATCCGTCCCATTTGCTCCATCCACGCTGTCCATGATGGCGGATCGGTTCAATAGTGATGACTCGAGGCCTTCTACCGGGATCTCATCCTCTTGCTTGGTATGAGTCCCTGGTTCCGGTGCCGTTACAACCTCACCTTTCGGGATTCGTGACCGAGGAGCCGGAGCCATTCTTCGAATAGCTTTGTGGACGTCGACGAAGACATCGGATTCGTCGATAATCTCCTCTCCAATGAGCTCCTCAATCACATCCTCCAAAGTAACAACGCCCAAAGCACCGTACGGTTCTCCTGGGTAGTCCGAAACCAAGACCATGTGTGATTTGCCTTCTTGGAAGAAATTGACAATATCGAGACAGCTTGTCTCGGGCCTTGTTTCCGGCAAGGTTGCAAGCGAGAAGTCGCGAACCCGTATGGCGTCTTCCGGATCATACGTGATAAGCATCTTAACTAACAACATCCCGACGTAGTTTTGAGGATGATCTGGGGCATATATGGGGATTCGGGAGTATCCAGCCGTAAGGATTCTGTCCATCATTTCATCATCCAACACGGCGTTCGCGGACAATGTGAAGACGTCCTCGATCGGCGTCATGATGCTTCCAACTGGCTTCTCTTTCAAATCCAGAACTGCGCTAATGATGGTGACTTCATCCTTATTAAGACGTTCGTCTGGACTCGTACCAAGCGTTCGGTGTAACGTCACCAAAGTTTTCAATCCTGCTTTCTTATACGCCGTTTTGTGTTCTGTGCCGAGGAGATAATCGAGGAGTTTTGCGGTTGGCCAAGCGACTGGAGACATGATCCACATCAGAACAAGTACTATATCCGACATCCATGCACCGATCGGTAGGCCGTAGCGAACGCAAATAGATTGAGGAATGACCTCTCCGAAGATGACTAGGAGCATGACCGGTCAGCGTAGTCCAGTTTGCCCGGATACGATGGAATACATACCAATTAGGATCGTACTACTGAGTACAGCAGGCCATCCTCCACCAATGGATCGGTCGAGGATGACAGGCAATGTCTCGTTGGTGATGACATTGCTCAAGAGGAGAGTGACCAGAACCCAATGTTTCCCCCTTTTAAGCAACTGCAAGACCTTTTGCGCGTGTTCTCGTTCTTTCCCCTCGCCGGACGTTGCAATGACCTGAAGATAGATCTCATCTTGACCCATTAAACTAAATACGCGTCAGCTGGCACTCTTTCGTTGGGCAATGGGCAACATACGCGATGGTCAGACCCGCAAATACACCTCCAAGCACGACCAAAGCAAAAGCAGTTCCAAGGAAAGCCCATAACGACAGGTCGTTCGGGCTTTTCGGTGCTTCAGGTGCCTCTACGCGGAGGATGGAGAGTGGGATGGCAGAAGCCAATGGCAATCGAGTAACACCAAGCATCAGGACGCGCAAGGCGAGATGAACTGAGGACGCGGCGGCCATTGACCGCCCGGCAGCAATTGTCCTCGCCATCAGAGCTCGCTAACAGACAGTGAGAATGTTAGCAGGAGCTCAACATTTCCGAAGGGTTTTTCGGGCAGTGATGGAGGGAGATGGAGATGAAGATTGAAGAAGCGTGGAAGAAGTCACAGTGAACGCGCGCAGCGAGAAGCGGGGCCTTCAGAGTTCAGTGCAGGGAGGCTGCAGTAGAGCCTCCTTCAAACTTAAATGAGTTAAATCATAAAGGGATCAATTCACCCGCGGTTCTGAAAGGTAGACAAGGGCTTAAGCGTCTTTTCAATTCCGGTTTAACTAATATATGTAGTTGGCGTCGGTGTTCCATTCAATTTCCTTTTGCGTCTGTACAGTGTACACACTGCACAACTACACTGTACGACTCGATACAGATATATTATGTAAGGCATGACTGAGCCACAATAGGGATTTACGTGATTTTAAGCCAGGGGGTTCTGTGGCGTAACATTCACCACCGCGAATAGCCGCACTTGATTCTCTCCATCTTTGCTTCAACCGACACCTTTCCGGACAATAGTAGACAATCTTTAATTCCTTATTCTTATTCTCCTCCTAGACAATGCAGCTCGCCTTGGTTTCCATTCTCTTAGTCGTAGATTTGCAAATTTAGTGTTGCATATCATAAAATGGTAGCATTAGAACGATGGCTTTGCCGTCACCGGCACATCTTCCCCACCATAACCACGACATCGACATCTTCAAGACGCAATTACTCGACACATCCTCCTAATGCCCGCTTGAACAAGCCTATAGATTTCTCGACGACCCCGATCCTACACCATACCGCCTCCTCCGCCCTCGCCACCCCTCTGCTCCCTCCCGCCGCCCGGAAATCCAAAACCTCCCGCCAGAACCTCTTCCAATCCATCAACTCCGCCCTCCGCCATGCCCTCTCCTCCGACGAGCAAGTCCTCCTCTTCGGCGAGGACGTTGCCTTTGGCGGCGTGTTCCGGTGCTCCATGGACCTTGCTGCCGACTTTGGCAGCGAGCGCGTCTTTAATACCCCGCTGACGGAGCAAGGTATAGTCGGGTTTGCCATCGGATGTGCCGCGGAAGGGATGAAACCGGTAGCGGAGATACAGTTTGCGGACTATGTGTATCCTGCCTTTGACCAGCTGGTGAATGAGGCGGCGAAGATGAGATATAGGGCGGGCTTGACCGGCAAGCCTGGTCCAGATGGCGAGAGAGGCATGCATTCTGGGGGCCTGGTGGTTCGTATGCCGTCCGGTGGAGTCGGTCACGGCGCCCTATACCACTCGCAGTCCCCAGAGTCACTGTTCACCCACGTTCCGGGACTGCGCGTTGTCGTGCCGCGGAGTCCCATCCAAGCGAAAGGGATGTTACTGTCGGCCATCCTGGATTGCAACGATCCCGTGGTGTTCCTCGAGCCGAAGATCCTCTACCGCGCCGCCGTGGAGCAGGTGCCTATGGATCCGTATTTCCTTCCCCTGGACAAGGCCGAAGTCTTGAAGCAGGGAAAGGATGTCACGGTCATCTCATACGGCACGCCCCTCTACTCGTGTTCGGCAGCCATTGAGGCCATCGAGAAAGATCTAGGGGTCAGCGTGGAGCTGATTGATCTGCGGTCGATACATCCGTGGGATAGACCCACTGTTTGGGAAAGCGTGAACAAGACCGGCCGGGCTGTTATCGTCCATGAGAGCATGGTAAACGCGGGCGTCGGTGCGGAGGTTGCCGCTACGATCCAGGAAGGCTCGTTTCTTCGTCTGGAGGCACCGGTGATCCGAGTCGCTGGCTGGACTACGCATGTTGGACTGGTTTTTGAAAAGTTCAATATCCCTGACGTGACACGTGAGTTTCCAACTTCCGTTTTCTGATCAACACTGACCTTGAGGAAGGTATCTACGATGCTATCAAGCGATCGGTTGAATATTAAACATATGGTCTAGCGTTTCCCATTGGACTTCGTACTAGGCGGATGCGATTATTAGTTCCATTACGGGATAGACCTTTGACAGCGGTGATCTGTATCAAGGATCACATAGGAGCAATTCCTTGGTGGGTGTTTGGATGTTTGGGTGTCAACAAAGCAAAGACTTGGGCCTTTACTCTAAAAACGAGCCAAAACTCAGCGAAGAGAGTTCTTCCTCTCCTAGTCCCCAATAACAAAAAGCTGGTCACCGGTGGCGCCCTGAAACACCCCCGACCAGGTTTTTATAATTGGGGGTTTACGATTTTTTTCTGCGGTAGCTGGAACATCACTCAAGGCAGTAATCCAGAGCCCAATATTTTGCTATGTAGTGCCAGCCCCTGAAATCGAACGCACGTACACGTTCTGACAAGGGAAACCCGGCCTGCGTGTCGAAACCTGAGAACATTATGCTTAACCAGTGCACCACACTCCAGGCCACCCACATACAGCAGGATTGTGAATGATTTGGTATATATATTCGATATTGGCTAGGTCACATGAACTTTGGGGTATCCACTGGTGTTATCACATGAATACTGCCTCAGCTAGACTACCATCAAAGGAGATAAACGGATAGTTCATCAGTTCAGTTCAGTTGAGCGCTCAGTTATATGTACAGTAAACCGGAGACATGTCTTCATGCATATCAAACATGATCGCATCATCAGAGTCGTGGCGACAATAGTCATACAGATATCCTACAGCGCCAATAGACGTCATTAGTCGTCATCACAAGAATCCGAAATGCCTTCGCTCCATCTCGCTTCGTCCGATTCCCTGAAACCTTTCAAAGGATAATCTTCTTCAAACTCCCCCAAAACCCGGAACTCCGCTTCGTCTCTCTCTCCCTGACCCGCTCCCGTGGCTCCCTCACCCTCTCCCTCCTCCCCTCCCCATGTTCTCGCCCACCCGTCCTCGCCCGATCGCTCCCTTCCGGAGACCGTTCCCGCGTCCCCTGATCTTCCTTAGCCCTATCCCTATCCGAGCCAGATCGGTGCGATCTGTCACGGCGCCGATGTGTGTGCTCTCGATGCCTGTCCCGGTCTCGGTCCTTATGGCCATCGACACGCATGCTCTTCGGTCGGTCGCGGTCGGATATAGTGCGGCGGCGGCGTGCGGATGTGTCCTGGTGCGAATGGCGCTTGCTACGGCGGGGAGGAGACTGGTCTTTTGGCGGTGGTACTTCGTCTGGGGCGGCAGGCTCGGTTGGCGGAGCTGCCTGAGGCTCTTCGGGGATAAGCTCGGGGGCTGGTGGGGCGTCAGGGGCAGCCGGTTCCGTTGGAGCATCATCTGGAGCTGCATCGTTCGGAGCGTCTCTTGTCCCTTCTTCTGCAGGGGCCGGTTGCGGAGGCGCGTCTCCTTTGTCTGCCATTGATTCTCTTCGTCGTCGATGTCGTTCACGGCGATCCACTTCGGCCTTTGCCACTCGTGCTCGCTCCCTTTCCTTCTTCTCAGACGATGAGAACATCCCAAAGAACCCACCAGTATTGGACTTGAAGAGCCCACCGAAAGCCGGGCTGGGGTCCTGTTTCCGTTCACGAGGACGTGCATCACCCGTGCTTCTGCGTGACAGTTTCGGGGGCGATCCTGTGTCCTCAGAGGGCCCGTCCTTGGAGACGAAATCTGCATCGCCTTCCGCAGCGCGTCTCGCATGTTCCCTCGCCCGTCGTTCCTCCCTCCTTCGTTGGCGGTCCGCTTGTTCTGCAGCGGCTCGCTCTCGTTCTGCTACCCTAGATTTCTCTTCCCGCTCTTTGCGTTCGGCGTGTCGCCGTCGCCGGCGCTCTTCGTCATGTTTTAGCTCTTTGGTCGCAGCTTCTCGAGCTGCTCGCCGCTCTTGGTGAAGTCGTTCTTGCTCCTCCTGTGCTTTCTGTTGTTCCTCGGCATCGCGTCTCGCACGTTCATCCCGGCGCCGACGCCGTTCAGCGCGCTCTTCAGGGCTTTCGGCAGCATCACTGCGGCGACGATGGGACGATGTGTGTCGGTTGTCTTTTTCAGAAGACCGCTTGGTGCCAGAGTGCTTCATCTCTCGAGTTTTGCTGGAGCTTGCTTTCTCGCGTCTTTTCGAACTTGTGTGGCTGTCCCGTCGATTCTCAGATGTTTTCGAGTGATGATGGTGTGAATGACGTCGTGATCTTTTCGGTTCTACCACTGGTGAAGGAGGAGACTTTGGAGATACCGAGTCGTCGGTAACAGCGGATTCGTTGGGTGGTGTTTTGGGTGACTCGTTTTGTGGTGGCGGTGTGTCATCTACGGGAACGGCAGCTTTCACTCCTGCTTCTTTGATTTGACTTTCAAGCGGAGCGTCAGGAGATTTTGCATCCTCAGGCTCTTTCTCTGTGTCTTTGCCTGTTGATTCCTTCGCCGGTTCAGGCTTGTTCACCTCTTCTTCGCCACCAGCTGTGTCTACTTCTGCCACAATTGGTATGTCTTCATCTACAGGGGCGTCCACAGGGGTATCCGATGGTTCCTCTATGGGATTATCTGTTTGCACCTCTGCTGGCGGTGCCTCTGCTGGCGGTTCTTTGGGTTTGTCTGCGGGTGGTGCTTCCGGTGCCTCAGCAGGTGCCTCTCCGGGTATCTCTTTTGGTATCTCTGCCGGCGGTGCCTCCACTGGCGAGTCCGATGGCGCGTCCGTTGGTACCTCTGTGGGCGTCTCTTTTGACTCATCTGCAGGCGGTGCCTCTGATGGTGCCTCTGCTGCATCCTCCACAGCACCGTCTGCTGAGGGATCTTCTGCCGGTGCCTCTAACGGAGGAGTATCGGTCTGAGGAGCCTCTGTTGCGGGAGCCTCTGGAGGTGGAGTCTCTGCGGGTGGATCCGGGGGAACTTCTGCTTGATTCTCGCTGACAGGTTCATCTACAGATTTCTCAGAGACCTTTTCTTCTGTGCCTGTCGCCGAGTCTCCCGTCGGCTCTTCATGGACTTCTGGCACGGGTTCTTCATTGTTCGCCCCTGCAGAATCCTCCTTGGACACTTCGACAGGTGTAGGCTCAACCGGAGGTGTCTCAGTTGCAGGTGTTTCAGCTGGAGCCTCCACGTTCACATCTCCTGCTTCCAGTGACTTCTCGAGAACCTCTGGAGCAGCGTCACTTGCCTCTTTCTCATCTGCAGGTGCTTCCGACTCCTTCGCCATTTCAGCTTCTTGTCTAGGTGATTCGGCCACTTCACCCATAGGCTTTTCCTCCACACCTTCAGGGGCAGAAGCTTCTTCACCTTTTTCCCCTTCTTCGCTTATACCTACTTCCGTTCCAGAAGGCGCATCATTGGAAGCTTCTTCAACTGGAGACTCAGCTAGTTGCGAAGATGGCCCTTCAGGTGCTTCTGGCGCAGTTCCAGCTTCGTCCCCGTCTTCATGTTCCCCTTGAGGTGGCAAATGTGCTTCTGCTTTCGAGTCTTCTTGCTGGCCATCGGTGGGAGCGTCTCCTCCGCTTTTTCCATCATGGGTAGGCTCACCGTCCGTGTCTTTTGCTGGCCCAGCCGCAGTGTCACTCACTTCCGGTACGGCTTCGGGTTTGTCTGTATCTAGTTTGCTCTCCTCACCTTCGGGTTTCGATTCCAACAGTTCGGTAGATTGGTCGCTAGGCTCTGCTTCGACTCCAGCAGGGCGTTCCACTTCAGGTTGCTCTTGTTCGACTGGCGGTTCTGCCCGATCCAATTCTCTAAGCTTGTCAGCATCAGCAGCTCCATCGCCTCCAGTGCTGACCTCTGGCTCCGGATCTACTTTAGCAGACTCGGCCTCCTGAGCAGCATCTTCAAGTGGCTTTGAATCTACCGAGGCCACTTCATTCGTTGCAGTGTCGGTGCCTGGCTCTGATATCCCGTCTACAGTCGTTGCAGGGGTCAATTCAGGTAGATTTGCTTCGCTCGGAGTGTCCGCTGAATGTTCAGGGCTGGGTGTGTCCTGCATTTCCTTGCTCTTCCCTACTTGATCTCCATCAATCGAACTATCCGGCTGAAGATTCTCTTTTGCTTCTAACCCCACAATCAATTCCTCGAGTGCTCCGTCAGCCTGTCCGCTCACGGACGCTTCTGGGTCCAGTAGTGCGATTTGGCCCATCTGCTCAACTGGTGCATTTTCTAAATCTTCATTTATTGGTTCAGCTACAAAAGCAATTTCGGTGGCATCAGCTGGGCCTGGCTGCGATTCTTGAGGTGGTGGTAGAACTGATTCTGCTGGGTCGGACACCGATGCTAGTTTTGCCACCACTACCGCCGCCTCCTCCGAAATAGGCACATGGGGATGGTCGGTATTTTCGGCCTGGGTTTCAGATGTTGGTGGGTCCTGGTCTCCTGCTTGTTGAGTTTCAGTCGGTTCCACGTCTGTTGATACTGTCGACGATTCAGTGGCTGGTGGACTGGAGGCCTCCGGCTCCGTTGCTACAACCGCAGTGGGATCGCTCGAGGCTGGACATTCCTGGTTCTCTGGTTCAGAGTTTGGCATATATTCTATCCTGTCTTCGACGGCTTCGGGCTGCATAGGCGGCTCATCGTTATCCGCCACTCGCACTGAATCATCTGCTTCCGTTGCCTCACCTGCAGAACTTTCAGTGGCTGCAGCAGCTGGGCCTTCTTCACACGGAGCAGGCGTATCACTCGCGGCAAGTTCTTTTTCATCCACAATTTTGTCACCATCTCCAGGTTCAGCCGTTGGGCGTTCGGTGGGTGGGGAAGCATAGCCATCTTCATGGGGAGTGGACGCTTCATTCGCCACAGGATTTAGTCCTTGAGCAATTGTATCTTCGACTCCGGATCCATCTCCTGGTGATTCGATGATTGCATCGTCGGTTTGGCCTTCAGGAGTTGGTGTGTTGTCGGGTGCAGGACCTGGTTCGGGGGCGTTTTCTTCGGTTGCACTGATGACTTCAACCTGCGGTTTAGTGGCAGCAGCTATTAGGTCTTCGAGTTCGGTAGAAAGTATTTCAGTAGGCTCAGTCGCAGCCGGTTCGACATCGGTAGGCTCCGTCGTAGGGGGATCAGTTGCAGGAGGCTCAGTCGCTGCGGAAGAATTTTTGGCTTCAGGCTCACTGGGACCTTCGAGAGGCTGTTGCTCTTGTTCACTCAATACAACCTCAGGAGTATGTTCTTCTGTGGCCTCTTCCTGCCTCGAAGGCCCCACTTTCGATTCGTCATCTTCAGATCCTTCGGAAGCAACAACTGCAGAGGAAACAACCGCAGCTACGACTACTTCGACGGGAATGGTAGAGTTTTCTGAAGCAGGCTTTTCGGGGCCGTCGTCAAGCGCGTCGGGAAAAGTGCCAGGAACATGATCTTCGGGATTTGAGGTGCCTTGGCCCATACTGGCCGATGTTTCTTCTTTCTCCAGAACAGATGCCGTCTCCGCGGGGTTTGGTAGAGGCACCTCTTTGGCTCCTTCGGGTTCAATGGCTTCGGTGGTTTCAGTGGCTTCACCTTGATCTAGAGCTGTATCATCAACACCAGAAGCGGCTCCCTCGGCATCAGTCGCTGGCTGTTCGGCGTCGTGCTGTTCCGCAGGTAATGGTTCGACTGCTGTTTCTGGCTTGGGCTCATTTGGTGCATTTCCACTAATATCTTCCTTGGGGGTGTCGGTGGACTTTTGTACAGATCCAACAGGCTCGTCACTGGATGCGTCATTCGGCACATCTGTCACCTCTGCTGCAGGAGCAGGCTCAGATTCGACGGCTGACTCAGTTTGGCCTTTAGGGTTGTCGACCGCAGTGCTTGCTGCATTGCCATCAGGTGAAGCCGGGTCTGCGTGCTCCTCTTCTGCGCCCTTCTCAGGATCACAGTCCGCAGCCTTTGATTTCAATTTCTTCTTGCCCTTCCCACCCTTCTCTTTCTTGCCTTTAGGTTTCCTGACCAGAAGGGCTTCCTTCTTCTTTTCTTCCTCCTCCTTCGCCTTATTCTCTTTCCCCCCCTTCTTCTTCGACTCCTTCTCCTTTTCTTCATGTTTATCTTTTGCCTCATGCTTCTCTTTGGTCCGCTCCCTGACCATTCCGTTCACCTTCTTCTTTTTTGACTCTTTCTCCGACACCACGCTTCCAGCTTTAGCTTCGTTCAGTTTCACTCCACCATCTGCACCATTTTCGTCTTCTGTCACCTCATTGATAACGCTTTTAGCTTTACCAACTTCGCTGCCACCCTTAGCCTTCTTTTGAGGGGATGCTCTCTCACGGATTATCATCGGCTTTCCCTTGACGCGCTTTGGCTTTCCATGAGCGCCGTCAACAACATCCGCGGCGAATGACACGCTCTTCGAACTGAGATTCGATTTGACTGAGCTAGGACGATCGGTAGAGGATCCATCAATTGCTGGAGGCTCCGAGGTTGCATCTGGAGGCGCATTCACCCCGCTCACCGGAGGTTCTGGTGCTTCGGGGAGGATGGGTGAAGGTGAAGGTGGTGAATATGAGTCAACAACGGCTGGTGGTTCCGGGTCAGGCTCACTAGGTTGAGGTGGAGTTGGAGTTGCTGACTCCTCATTAACAGTCTCGACGGCCTGTTCTTCGAATGGATCAGGACATGGGTCTACCGGCGTAGGCTCGGCAGGAGGAGCATTTTCCTCCGGTTCCTCTTTGATATCATCAGCGGGTTTCGGTTCCGGATCTTCCACTGACTTGGTCGCAGGCTCTGGATCTTTGGCAGTCTCTGGATCTTTGGGAGGCTCTGAACCTTTGGCAGGCTCTGGATCTTTGGCAGGCTCTGGGTCATTGGCAGGCTCTGGGTCTTTGGCAGGCTCTGGGTCTTTGACAGTCTCTGGATCCGGGGCAGGCACAGGTTCTTCCGGGGCCTGAGATTCGGTGGGAGGATTTGCACCAGGCGTAGGGTCTGCAGAAGCATCCACTTCAGCGGCAGGCTCAGATGGGGCGGCAGGCTCGGGCTCCTTCGTAGGCTCGGGTGCAGCAGCAGGCTCAGCTTCGGCAACTGACTCGGGTGTGGCTGTAGGTTCGGGCTCTTCGACAGGCTCGGGTGCAGCGGTAGACTCCGGCTCCTTGGCAGTCTCAGGGTCAGTAGCAGGCTCTGGGTCGGCAGCAGGCTCTGGGTCGGCAGCGGGCTCCGGGTTAGCAGCGGGCTTCGGGTCGGCAGCGGGATCCGGATCAGCAGCGGGCTCAGGGTCAGCAGCGGGCGCAGTTTCAGAAGCAGGCTCCTCGGACTCTTTGGTAGACTCGGATTTATCTTCTTCTTTCTTTGCTGAGGATTCTGGTTCGGCAGCAGGTGGTTGAGCACTGTCATCCTTATCATCAACAGGCGCATCTGGCTCGGCGGGGACAGGCTCCGGCGCTACATCCTTTTCGGACTCCTCTTTAGGATTGTCTGCGGGAGTTGCATCTTGTGGCGCACTGGGAGCGTCATCAGTCGCGGCGGGGGGAGGCGTAGGCTGAGTTTCTGTTGGTGCAGCTTCAGCAGCTGCACCGGCTTCCTTTGCTGTATCTTCAGCAGCAGATGAGAGTTCGGCAACAGAAGGTTCGTCTGATTTCACCGCCTCCGGTTCTGAAGATTTGGTAGGAGGATCCTCTGGGGTTGGCTCGGCTGGGGATTCCTTAGTGCTAGACTCATCTAATTTGGTTTCTTCCTTTGCTTCGGCGAGTTTAGCGGGCTCTTGTGATTCTACTGGAGGATGGGGTGGTTCAATCGCCAAAGGTGGTGCATCTTGCGCATTTTCTTCTGGTTTAGCGGCCGGTGGAGGCGGTTCAGGGTCTTTAGGTTCGGGGGCAGAGGAAGGGGCCGCATCCGGGCTGTCTACCGGTCTAGCCTCTGCCGCTGATGGAGGCAGCGGTTCAGGGGCTGACGGTGGCGCCTCCTTAGGCCCTGGGGGTGGTGATCGAGCTTTCTTGGGTGCATCGGCTGGTTTGGGGTTGGGCTTTGCTGTTGGTGGTTTAGGTTTGTGTCTCGTCCAAAAGAGAGGCGGTGGAGGCGCTTTCTTAGCCTTCTTTTTCTGCTCTTTCGCTTTGCCCGATATACTCGACGCTTTCGTCGAAACAGTTGATAATGTTGGAGAAGGCGGAGGAACTATGTCTGCGGGATGTGGTGGAGCGGCTGGCGCAGCTGGCACTGGCGCTGGAGCTGGTGCTTCAATCTTAGGCTCCTCTTCCGTAGGAGCAGGGGGGTCCGGAGCAGGCGGATCCGGAGCAGGAGGGGCTTGTATCGATCAATATCAGTATCAAAGGGGGCACAACGGGTGATATACGAACCCGCATTGGTCATAACCGCATCCTTTTCGTCGTCACTCCATTCTTCATACACCATTCTCACTCCTGGATCGTTGAATACAGGAGGCGGCGGGAGAGGTATTGTTGAGACATATGAGAACTCTCCAGTTGGAACCGAGTAGTCCGAGAAGTCCACCCGATAGGGGGTGGAATCGTACGGATTCCTCCATTCTGCGTAGGAGATGTTCGCGAACCTCCGCGACATGTCTTCGCGGTATGCTAATTGCGTTCAGGGGAGATCGATGTGATCAACGGTGAAGAGTAGCATCGCCACGCTACGAGAAAGGCATTTTTGAAGTTGAAGAACAGTTTTCAGGACAATTGCGACAATAGCGCGTGATGTATGCCCGCACCATGGCGGTATTCGCGGAGAGAAGTGTGGGGTGTCCTACTGGGATATGGCTTAAGGGACAGCAACGTGGGGCATGGTGAGACGACGACTTGGGCATTGAGCGACAAGTCGTCTTTCGAATAGAGTTCAATGGATTCACAAAGACTCGCCAATGGAATTGAAGCGGACTTAACGAAGATAAGAATTGGGGACGGATGGGTCTATCCTAGAGCATAACCACCGAGGCAGGAAACACCTCAATATGCACGGAGAAATGAAAAGAGGACATCACGAGACGAGGATAGACACACGAACTTTCCAAAAGGATTGCGACTTGGGCTATAATTCGAGGCGAAATAGACTCGAGACGAGGGAGAACGACACGTCGGTGCATGTACTCGCCTTGCTGCCCACCAGGTCGCCACAAATCCATGACGATACGTCAATCTCGACCAGTCCAGGCCACCCCCGTTTCTCCGAGGCCGTGTATCAAGGTCGGAACGGACAGGAATCTGCTTTAGTTGACATCAGAGGGAAAAGAGTTGTGACACTCCGATCAATTCGGTCCATGTGCATCACTAGCGAGGGATCACACAGGTATCGTGGTCCTCTCAGGAGGAATCACCCGTTTGCAAGTGGTGATAAAACGCAAGTTTGCCGTGCTTTCCCGTGGTGGGAGGCTATTGGAGCCACGTTGGAGCTCTCCAACCGTCTGTCACCTCATGCAAATTGGCAGCTCGCCGACACGCGGAACCACTCGCGCGATGCGCAATATCTCCGAGTTGCATTCAGATTGGCTTGGAATCCGACCCCTGGGGCAACGCTTCGGCATGGGCCGCACTTCCAATGTCTGCGCACACCATGGCGGTTGGGCCTCGATGCTGTATGGAATGCAAGCCATTTCAGGACGCTCAAGACCAGGTGTCCCCGTTGTGAGCTGCTGTGATCCGCTGGGGTGCAACCGGAATTACGATGTCGAGTAGCACGGGGATATCCAGAACCGTTGAGGCGGAAATGGGTAATGAACGGAGAAGAGTCAATGGTTTCTTTGACACGAAACCAGACACGACAGGAAGCACGACATCGGTGGTGTTCCGTAATTATCATGAGTCCTGGCGCCTGGCGCCACAACCGTAACAGCCGACAGGGAATGGGCATGGGTTGACGGATATCATCACCTCACTGCTCGATCTCAAAGCTCCTCCATCCATCCGATCCTAGAGTATCCGTCATGGAGGAAATTGATGGTCCTGAAATATAGCTCTAGGCCTCAAAACTTGTACTGAGTTGGATTCATGGTAATCAAGGGGGCATGGATATCAATTCCCGCCACCACAACGGAAGATATCACCAGATATCATCATGAAACAGTCTCCTGTTCTTCATACCACCTTTGCGGAACTCCTCCCCAAACTTGAACTTTGTATGTGCTGCACAAAAACCAAGAACTCGGTCAAATGTCCATCCATACAATGGAGCATTGAGACTATGCATAGACCCGAAAAACAGAATGGCCTCGTGGGCATAACACTCCCATATGAGGGCCTGGAATGGAAACGAGGTATCATCTTCTATCTCTGTTGTAACTTGTAACTGATTGAACCCGTCGGGCTATGTAAAGACTACGGTACCATAATATAGCAATGATATAGTTCTAAAGCATCAGATTAACCACAACCTAGAAAGATGCAGCAGGCTTTTCAGCATTTCTTCATCATTGAGCGTCAGAGAGTAATGATTCTGGAGATGGTCAGGAATGCGGAGTCCAGTCTGGAGGTCTCATCATATTGCCTCTGCCTCGCCTCACCCTCTACCTCTGCCTCAGCCTCATGCAATGCTGATGCTGATGTGTCATGCAGGCACCCATGTTAGTTGCCTCAGGCATCATCAGGCTCTCGAAATCAATTGACTCCCGCGTCAACAAATAATTACGCACCACGAACAATTTATCGAATTTCTATCATTGTTGAAGAACAGCAGTGCAATGTGGGGTAGCTGTGCACGCTCTGTGTAAAGGTAGATTATGTTATTATCTCCTTTAAGCCTCCTGCGACCTACCTCTAGAATATCTGTCTGCACGCACCTTTTACCTTCTCTGCGACTGGGAAAATTCGTCACAATGCAGTCACAGATCGCTCCATACACGAACTGGAGCTCGGAGCAGTTCATAGCCCGCATTTCCGACCTCGAGTCGCAATTGAAGTCGCAAAATATACAGTAGGATATCCCCCCATCGTCGGATATTTCCACGAATCGCGGCTGCTAACCATAGATTCGTCGCAGACTCGCAGAACTACTCAGGGAAGCTCCTCCGCAAGCTGAGCAGCGACGAAGACGCAAACCAAACCAGTTCGACCCCTCGCGGTACAATACCCGCTTCATCGCCCTCAAATTGGCCTATCTGGGCCGCCATTTGAACGGCTACGAGGCGCCGGGAGATACGATCCCACCAGCTCCTACAGTGGAGGAGGAGCTATGGAAAGCATTGATGAAAACACGCTTGATCTTTCCTAGGATTAAGCGGAAGGGCAGGAAAACAAGGTGGCGACCGAACGGATCGGAAGAAGTGGCCGATGAAGGCGATGGCCAGGAAGAGCCGGTGTATGCGGAGTACGATGGCTCGGAGAGGGTTAGAGATATCTATTGGGAAGGGTGCGACTATTCAAAATGCGGCCGGACGGACAAGGGCGTGAGCTCATTTGGACAAGTGATTGGAATTCGCGTGAGGAGTAATAAACCTCTGCCAAAGACGTCACAACCGCAGAACAACACCGCGTCTAAAACTAGTGATATGGATGCCGCCGAAGCGTCGGAACGCACCGTCGAAGGGATAGCAGACCCAGTTGATGTCGAGGAAGAAGAGACGCCGTTTGATCCGATCAAGGATGAGATTCCTTATATCCACTTGTTAAACCAACTCCTTCCCCCCGAGATCCGCATCCTCGCCTGGTGCCCCTCTCCCCCCCCAGGATTTTCCGCCCGATTCTCGTGCCGAGAGCGGCGGTACAAATATTTCTTCACCCAACCCGCATATCTTCCTATCCCGGGCGCCCAAGGTTCCCGTGCCGGCGAAAACGGGGGGAGTTGGTTGGACATCGACAAAATGAAAGAAGCGGCGAGCTATTTTCTCGGGAATCATGACTTCCGAAACTTCGCCAAGATGGACGCGACCCGCCAGTTGACGAATTTCGAGCGCGTCATCTTCCATACTGACATCGAGGAGATCGCCTCCCTGGATGATCCGGCTTTCCTAAGCGCTGAAGCCGTGTCTGGTTCGGCTGGTTCGGATGGCAATTCAAGCCCGAAGCCGAAAGTATACGCATTTGTGGTTCATGGCTCGGCGTTCTTGTACAACCAAGTCCGGCATATGGCTGCCATTTTGTTCCTTGTGGGCCAGGGCCTGGAGAAGCCAACCATCGTAAAGGAATTGCTCGACGTCCGCAAAAATCCCAGGAGGCCAAACTATGAGATAGCTTCGGACTCCCCCTTGGTTCTCTGGGATTGCGTCTTCCCAGGCGAGAATTCTGAAAAGCGGGAAGATGCACTAGACTGGGTATATCCGGATGATCCATCGAACGTGGCCAAGGCCAAAACCAGCGCCCACGGAGGGAAATGGGGGCTCAACGGCCTAGTTGACGTGATGTGGTCCACGTGGCGCTCGAGAAAGATCGACGAGGTGCACGCCGCGCAATTAATGCAGGTCACGGCGATGCGAGGGCGTGGTCTGGCTCCCCCCTCGGAGGAGGGACGAAAGTCTTCGCAGAAGAGGTATGTGCTCGTCGAACGCGGAATGACATCTGGCTTACATTTGTTAGAAGCATAAAGGTATTTGATGGCGGGAACGTTACAAAACCCAGGGGAGTCTACACACCTGTGATGAAGCTGGAGCTTCTTGAGACTCCTGATGTCATCAATGCAAAGTGGGCTGCTAAGAAGGGAATAACACCTCTAGAGCTCCCGAGAGAGGGTCCATTGGGAGACTCCGATGAATGAGGCAAAGAGACATGATGTTCAAGACTTTGGATTATATAAACAGGTTTTTGCTCCCCTCCAGACGGGCTCAAGGATGCGCCTTTTTGGGAGCAGTTTCTTGATTCCCTGTTGTCAGTTACAGTGCCATACAGATGTGCCTAGGTTGGACTTACTGGAAAGACTACCACGGCGTCTTCTTCATCCTCGACTACAATTGAAAGGTAGAAGCGCACTTCGAACCCTTTGAATGCTTCGTGTAGAAAGATATCTTGAATTGCCGTCGTAGGAATAAAGCGAGAAGTTGGCGTAGTCAAATATGTCGAGCTAGATGTTGTGGTCTGTACACCTAAACCGCGTAGCACCAACAGAGACTCTTCTGTTCACCATTAGACTGAGTGTGAAGGTCCGAGGGGGACATGCATACCAACATAACCCTTCCTTACCGCCAGCCACAAACCTACGATGCTGATTGGTATTAGATACATCCACTCCATCTGCTCGACCAGCCCGATTCCTGCCTCTAGCGCTGTAAACCTCGACAACCATCGAGGGATAGTATTCCGGTCATGGCTCCACTTCACAAATAACAGCAGCGAAATAGACGCGCCCAAGAGGATGCGAACGGCGACCTTTATGTAGGCAAAAACATGACTTGCGAAACCTTGGCCCCGACGGCGCGTAGAGACGGTAAATTGAACGGTGGTTTCAGTGGGATTGATGACCTCAAACGACTGCACTGCTGGAAGTGTGGTTAACATGTCGATTATTGAGGAGCATGTCTTGACCACATGTAAGTCGCGTAGAGCGAGTCGACCTGAATGGGATCAAATAGGCGGAACGCAGTCGAGTGCCTTAAAATGTAGTACGTGAGATAAGGTATAATAGGTTGATTCTTAGATACCTGTGATCTGTGAATAAGTTAAGGTTTCATTGATAAAGACCACAATGGCCTCGGCACCGCACTAACCGCTTTGGGATAAGTGGCACTTGAGGATTTGTTCCGCGTATTTGTACACTTCCGTTAATTACTTGACGACCTCGACATGCGTTCTCAGTTTTAGGCCAAACAATTCAGCCTCTGTCGCGGAACATATCTTTTTGTGTAGCCTTTCTCTCTCGTTTACACTTCCTATAAGGCTCGACCCCTCTGTCCTTCGCTCATAATGGATGCTCTTGTCTCCCGGCACACCAAAGAGCTGCGCGACCTACAATCTCGCATCGCGCAGAAGAAGAAAAACGCCTCCAAGAAGACCCGCAAAGGCGTGACCGATGAGTGCAATCGTCTAGAAGGCGAACTACAAGACCGCCATGCCCGCGAACTCGCAGAATTGAACGGCGATCCTACCCCATCCGAGACCGCCGACGTCGCGGAAGAAGATATCCTAGACAATAATACGCCTACCGAACCCAACACTACACAACCCCCATCGCAAAATGGTGTGTATAAATCTGACCTCGCCACCGATCCCACCGCCTCCCTAACATCCTCTCTCGCCAACACCACCCTCGATCCCAACCCACCTTCCACATCCGAACCCCAACCCCGCAAACGCAACCGGCAAAAAGAACGCCTTGCTCGACGGGCTGCGGAGCGCGACGAGGTCGCCGCACAAGCCGCGGAAGAAGCGGCGTCAATGCCGGACCTGCGGGAAAAGGAGCGGACGGCGATGCTGGCGGAGACGCGGAGGCGGGGGTTGGTGGAGCGGGAGGTGAGGGCGGATGGACATTGTTTGTATGCAGCGGTGGCGGATCAGTTAGGGGAGCGGGGGTTGCGGCCGAAGATTGAGGTTGCCGTGGTGAACGATGGGGAGGAAGGGAAGGGGGGGTATAAGGTGGTGAGAGAGGTGGCGGGGGAGTATATCGAAAGTCATAAAGAGGACTTTGAGGCGTTTTTGGAGGAGCCGTTGGTGGATTATGTCCGGAAGGTGAAAGAGACGGGGGAGTGGGGGGGCCATTTGGAGTTGATGGCGTTGGCGAGGGCGTATGGGGTCACCATCCATGTGGTACAAGGGAATGGAAGGGTGGAGAGCATAGAGTCGGGGCGACAGAAAGAGAATGGGGCAGAAAAGGACGATATCTGGCTGGCATACTATCGCCATGGTTTCGGCTTGGGTGAGCATTACAACTCGCTGAGGAAATCGGAGGGATGAATCAAGGGACGGAAGTGAAAAAGCAAGGAAGACTGCACTGTCTGTCCATCAAAATTATATGGCGGGGGAGGTGCTGACGGAGAAACCTGGACTCAGCCTGCTGGCAGAGGATGATTTCCACATCTCACTCCTCAAATCTGACAGACCGCTCTGGTGGAGATATCATGGTATCTCGGGAGCAGTTCTCCGACGACCTTGTGCTAAATGTCCCAAGCTGCATGGCAGAGAGCAACCATCTTGAAAGCAGCCATACGTGGACGCCATACTGCATGGTCTGGAGTGTGCTTAGTCGGTCAATGGTGTCGGAGCACCTTCAGGATACCCGTATAGTCCATGGTACCGAGCCAACGAGGCCCACGAATTGGCGCAATCATGCTCTCCAGTCATCATCAGACTACCGGCAATTATCAGCAAAGCTAGTTTCGAGCAATCGACTATGATGCTTCACGGTTGGGGCCGAGTCGAAGCACCCGGTCTGAATGGGTAACCCATAACCTGCGTCTCACTTGTCACCACCCATGCCTTGAAATTGCTTCATAAAATGTTTGTAGTAGTGCTCTTGGAAGTTCTTTTTCTTACAGTTGGGGTTCTAGGTCGAGGGAGGATCCAGGCCGAATATATTCTGCCTTGTCAAGCACCATCATGTCCGCCCTGGTAGCAAGATGGGAGAGATCATTGTCCAGGCGAACAATAGGGGGGGAACAACAGGGGAAATACTCCGTATAGCTATTCAGGTCATGGACAACAACACTGAATCATTCCACCGGTCTGGAACAGCGACACGATACGATCAAAGGTTATGGCCGTATCAGGATTATATTCAAGGACCAGCTTTGAAGAATGAATGTCGTGATTGGCGTGAACTATCACGAATTCACAATGACAGTCGCACAGGACTGTGCGATACCCTGTTGGAAGCCGAGTGACGTCAAGGGGTCTACTTCCCCAGATTTTGCTTTTGCAGCCACATGGGACGTGGCCCTGAAATCTACATAGGTATATTCCAAATTCCTACAACATTGCACTGCGAGCACTGAACTTTCGGTCTGTAGACAGTCAGAAACAGCTCATCCCGGTTCCCCTGCTGTCGGTTGCTTTTCTAGCCAGTCCGCCGAGGGAAATTAGGCTCACAAGATGCTTCCACTTCCAGGCCGCGCTCTTCCTGCTGTTGCGGTAATCCTTCCAGTTCTAGGTACCTCACTCAAAAGAATTGTGCATAATACGATGGAGCAAGGAGGCACTTCCTTCAGTAGTAGTGCACAAGGGTAAGTGAGGAGTAAAAATGAATTATATTATATCAATAAAGTCGTAATCGTAAACTGTCTCGCCACAGTTGCGCGGCACCCTCGTTTGGGGCTTGGGGTATATCCGCCGGAATTCAACTCGACCGTTCAAATCGAAGAAATGCCAGAAAGGACATGAGACTGAATACACCAGCTCCATCCGAATGCGAACCCCGAAATGCCGTCTTTGAAACACTTTTTCCCGCTGAAGATGATCATCCGTTCCCGTTCCCCCTGTTCGTTTGCCCTGTTCATTTGCCCTGTTCGTTTGCCCTGCTTTCCGAGCCATGATCCATTCGAACACCATGTAAGAAATCAATACCAGACCGATGCGCCGAGGATGTTGACATCCCAATCCGGTAAAGTCGTTAATCGAGCCCCGTCACCGCGGCGCTATTGCTTGCTCGCCCCACTGAAGCTGCCCTTCACGCGGCTCCACGCGCCCTCGAGGCTCTTCCTCCCCGAGCGATCACTCCCTCCCGTCTGCGAGCTCCTCACGCTTCCTGCCTTCCCCGACGCGAAGCAGTTCCCCGCTCCGCCCCGCCCGGTCATGTACACGGGCGCAGCGTTCTCGGTCAGCTTGCGCTGGCGCTCAAGCTCCTCGTCGAAGCTGAAGATGGCGCGCTCGTTCTCGTGGCGGAAGTTACCGGCGCCGCCGCGGCCAACGGCGACATAGGCGGAGGGGTTGGTATGGAGGGGGATGGCGGAGGCGGGCCCTGTGGCGGTAGTAGGGGAGGAGATTTGGGAGGGGTCGACTTGGGTGACGTTGCCGGCGCCGCCGCGGCCGGAGTGGAAGTAGTGGCTGGAGGGGACGGAGGGGTGGGGTTCGGTGATGTGGTAGGAGCCCATGGTGGAGGATGAGGACGATGAGGAAACTGACATCGTACGGTTGACGTGGGGAGGTGGAGGGCCGATGTGATAGACTTGGGGAGAGAACCGCAAAATAGACTTTGATAGATTTATTGGATAGATGTGAGTGACTTTAGTTAGGTATGGTCAAAGAACTCTAATGTTGGAGGTAAATGCTGAAGAAAAAGTGGGCAAACTCAGGTCCAGGTACCCGAGCTGTATTTATATTGAACGCGCTGAAAGACTTTTAGACTTTTACGGATTTACCCCAGACGGCTGACCCATTCCTGTGGATGGACCGAGAAATCCAAGGGCCATGGGACCACTTCACCACGCCCAGCGGGAAAACTCTGCAGAAGCTGCAACATCACGATGGTGGTGGAGTGCGTCAGAAGTCAGAAAGTACCTCAAAGCGGTGGTTGCGCTATTCAGTTAACGGCAACATGTTGGAAATAGAATTGGGGACCCATTCGATCGTCTTTCTTGGCCCTTCTCCGCATCCTGACCGGGCCCTGGCTTGGAGCTTGGAGCTGCCAGATGGACCCAGTCAGACCATCGCTGGCGAACCGTTTTGAACACCCGCCGCTGGCTGACGCGGTGGGTGACGCCCAACTGCTGCAGCCCTGCACTTTTTTCCTGGAAAACAGCCACAAGCCCACGACGCTCATGCCATGCCTTGTGACCAGGAAATTTCCTTGCTTGACATTTTGGACGTTGCTTAGGATCATTCTGTCATACCGTCATGTCATCGTAGGAATGCTGAACTTTACCGGACGGTTGCCGTTGCGACCTAGAAGAGGAACTTGGTGACAATTGGGAGGAACCGAAGAATTTTGCGACTTCCAAAACCCATTATTGACTGAGAAGATGACATTTGCTCGATGTCGCTCTCATTGCACAATATTGCCAATGTGCTGTTCTCCGGCGTCCAAGTCCTTGTCCAGACCCCAAAGGGTTCCGCCAGCCTGGTCAGATGTAACATCCATTCCCGATGCGCGACGGGGCCAGCCAAGGAAGTCGACATTGCGACGAGGTCCATCGGTTGTTGTGCTTCACCTCAGCGATGATGCGATACGATGATGCATTCTACAATTAAACTTGAATCCTTCCATCATGAATTGCGCGCCGCATGTGCTGGAACGACTGGCGAATGTCGCCCAGGCCACGCCGCCCAGCTAGCAGTAGCCGCCGCTCTCCGCCCTGAACCGGGGGCCATGCGAGGGGGAGCGACCCCGTCGACCCGCCATTCGCATGTCGTTTGCGGCGTTTGACTGGCCAGTGCGCTCTCTGGCATCCACCGATGAAAAGATTTCGTCGGGTCACGTTGCGAGGAAACTGGGAGGGCGTCAGTTTCGTGAGGGTAATAGGAACCGGCCCTGGTTTCCTGGGGGTAATGAAAACCTCGTTCTGACTAACGACCGAATGCGAGACAACGTGTGACTGAAGAGATTTTCCGGGGTGTCGCCCATTGGAAATTGCGAAGGTTCCAGTTGCGGTTTTGGCACTTCACGATGCGAATTGGATGGCGAAGACTGGACCATCGGTGGAGGCGAGCAGAGTTTTCACGATGCGGCATCCTGACTGACGGCAGATGGCGTCGTCCATTCCAATTCTTGCGAAAATTGGCTATCGTGTCCCATTTGATTTCCAGTTGAGTATTCGACTGCGTTACGGCACCAAAAGTTGTCTATCGTGCAATGTCTCAGAAGAAGTGCCGCTCTTACGGCTTGTCGGTCGAAGAATCTCTCCCTCTTCGAGGGTTCTACGCTCCTTGCCTTTCTCTTCCCCATTGGGTATTCAGGCTAATATATCGCAACCATGTGCAGCTAAGTAATGGTATTTGTCCCCCTACAGTGATGTCGAAAGGTTGAAGAGGGTGGGTGAACGACCCTTCCTGTCACTCCATACCTTTATCAATTTGTCTGTGACGACTGTACTGTGAGGCACAGCATGCCAAATTACTACCAGGCACCAGCATTACCTCGTTACGCAATTGATATTCTTAGGAAAGGTTACGGAGGAACGGTGTTACGTTTCGCATTGCGGCTTGTCTCCCAGAACAGGACGATCGCCTAATATTCCCCAGAATGGCAAATTCTACACGTTTCGAGTTTTTGAATTCCTTCAGCACGAACAAATGGCACAATCATCTCAATTCTCAGCAGCCCGCACTCTCCTCGTGAAAGATTTCGCTGTTCCCTTGCTTGCGTTCAAGCTCATGCTCGGAGATCGTACGTAATAGTGTGAACCTCAGGAGACGGCTCGGGTTCCATCCTCCCATTCCCGGATCCCCTGACCCGAACCTTGGATCATCACACCATGAACCCAAAAAACCGCGCTAGACCCCAGATTTCCAGGGAGGAACAACAAAGTCTTCCCGCGAGCGCGCCCAAAAATCAAAATCCCAGAATGCGGGGGTATCTAGCGCGCTCCAAAAAATTGCCGGATTGCTCGCTCATTGTAGGACGGCGGACGCTAAGGGTAGATCACGCTCGATGAAGATTTAACAAGCGGACCCGAAAATCCAAAGGGAAGACAGCTCGCTCTTGCCAGCCACCAAGGGGTGAACAGTCGGGTTCTGACCGATGGGAACGGATGGCGTTGACGCAGGCCAACGCCATGGTCCCTGAGAATCATTCCCAATGCCAGTGATGCATTTGCGATTTACCACAAATGACACCAGGAATGGTCCGATCCGCACAACCCGTCCGAGATAGCACAAGTCGTTCCATACCAACCGACGTTTCGTCATCACGAGAACTTGGTATGAATGATATCGGGATTCTCCTGCCACTCGTCTTTCTCCACCCACATCTATCCCATAGAGTCAGCCGCGAGTAGTCATCTTGACCAACGAATCCACATACCTTCTTGAACGTGCTCAGTCCCGCCAAAATACTTCCCCCCGTCCACGTCGTGTACTTCCGCTCCGGCGGCGCGAAGATCTTTATCTTCGTGTCGTTGAGCGCCACTTTCTTCACCTCGCGCAGCAAGCGGTCGCCGAATCCTTTGGTGAGCGTGGATCCGCCAGAGAGGACGATGCTCTCGAACAACGCTCTCCGGAGATCCATGTCGGTCCGCTTGATGGAGTCGACGATGATCTGATGCACGCCGGGATATTCCAGGCCGATTATATCAGGATTAAAGAGAATTTCTGGTGCGCGGAAACGCTCTGCGCCAACCTGGGAAGATGTGTCAGTGACTTTGCATAACCACTGCTGTAACGAAGTCGCTTTGCTCTCCCCCTGTCGCTCCACCATCCAATCGCTTCACTACAGAAATGGTGAGACTCACCTTGATCTTCATCCCATCCGGTAACACATACTCCACCCCCCGCTCTCCCTTCCCCTGCAGCTGCGCCCACTCCTTCTCCTCCCTCACCGGATCAATTGCCACATAACTCCTCGTCTCCTTTATCCTCCTCACCTCCTCCTTCTCCGCACTCGTATGAAACACATAGCCCGCTTTCCGCAGCAGCGTCTGCATATACTCCGTGACGTCGCGGCCGGCCACGTCGATTCGCCGGATCGAGTTGGGGATCGCGAACCCTTCGTAGACGGGAACGGCATGCGACACGCCGTCGCCGGAGTCGAGGACGATTCCAGTGGTCCGTCCGGAGGCGTAGAGGGAGAGGACGGCTTGGATGGAGGTGTAAAGAGCGGGGACGTTGAAGGTTTCGAAGAGGATTTGGGCAGCGATGTCGCGGTTCGTGCGGGGGTTTAAGGGAGGTTCGGTCAGTAAGACTGGATGCTGCAGATATGTTAGTCCGGTCGTATACCATGCAAATTCCATATGCGATTCTCCATATCCAGCACCAGCTCCTACCGAAGCTAAGTGTTCCCGGTTATACTCACATCTTCACTCATCGCCTTCAACTCCTCAGCATATACATAATGCCAGATCTTCTCCATATCATCCCAATCCGTGACGATGCCGTGCTCCAACGGGTAATTGATTTTCAACAGCCCCCTCAGCTCCTGCGCCTTCGGTCCTATGAACACATCCCCTTCCAGCGCGCCGGCCAACGCTCGTACGTGCTTCGGTCGCCCGACGAAGGAGGGGAAGTAGCATTTCGGTAGGTCTTGTCCTGCGAACCCAGCTCGGATCGTCCCGCTGCCATTATCGAGCACGATGGGCGCGTTTAGGAGGCGTGAACCCATGTCGAATGGATGTGTTGGGATTCCGAAAGATATTACGGGAAGGGGTTGAGGTGGGTAGATCTGGCATACGAATACTGGATAGATTAGAATTAAGTGAAACTCGCCAGTTCAACTAGGTGTAGTCCTAACAGATGAATGGTTGTGGGGGAAATAAGGTATTGAAGGCCATCAAAGATACCTACAGGTGTTGAAGTGTCAACGCGACGTGCTCTTCGAATTCCCGCCAAGGCCTCCTCTGTTTACAGGGGTTCATGGTCCACGATATCATCGATATGGTATCACAGGAGATTTATCACCAGTTCACCACGTCAGTTAGTTAGTTAAACAGATTGCCGTATGGAATGAAAGAATTTTTTTCTGACATCGAATTCATAATGCCTATCTTCAAAAGGCCCAATGCTTTTGTTTGTTTGGATAAGTTCCAGATTGATATACAAGCCACTAATTTTATATAGTAACTAAAGCAAGATTGGGAACCCTTCCAGCATAATCCCATAGGTAAATATTGAAGACCGTGCTGCCCATGCTTATCCAATAGATCCATGATCCGTTCTTTTACAGCTTTGAAGACCCAATTACCGACCCGCCATCGAGCGTTATCGTGGCTCCGTTGACATACGACCCCGCCGGACTGCTCAAGAACAAGCACGTCCCCGCGATGTCCGTTTCTTTCCCAATCCGCCCCAAAGGAATTCCACTCTCGATAATACCCTGGAACTTCTCCAACGTCGCCGCCATCATCTTCGACTGGAACGGACCACACGCAATCGTGTTGGACGTGATGTTCCGCCGTCCCAGATGGTTCGCGAGCACCCGGCTCAGATGGTGCAGGCCGGCTTTGCTAGCGGAATACGCGAAGGTCTCCAGCGAGGGGACCTTCAGGCCGTCGACGCTGCCGATGTTGACGATGCGGGCCGGATTGCCGTCGCGAGAGGCAGCTTCGAGGAGGGGGGTGACTAGCTGGGTGATAGTGAAGACGCGTTGGAGGTTGAGGGTTAGCACGCGAGTCCAGGCAGAGTCCGGGTATTCGTCATATGCAGCGCCCCAATTGCTGCCGCTGTTATTGATGAGGACATGGAGCTCTATTTCAGTCGGTCAGCTATTGCCATGGTCTATACGGTGGTCGCCGCGTACCTTTCTCTCTCTTCTTGAGCTCGTCCGCCAGTCTCTTACATTCCGACTCCTTGTAAAAATCGGCGGGAATGGCAAAGGCTTGTCCTTTTCCAAGGGCGTTCAGCTCTTGCACAGCTTTATCGCATGCTTTGACGTCTCGTGATGAGATGTAAACTCTGGCACCATTCTGGACGAACCCTTCCGAGATCATACGGCCAATGCCCTTAGCTCCGCCGGTTACGAGGACAACTTTGCCCTGAAATGGTGTTGAATTAGCACGGAGATACCAAGGGAGGGAGAGAAACGGGTGCTTACTTTGACATCGAATAGGCTGTTCAAGTCCATGTTGTCTATCTTGACTTGCTTGATGGTTTTGTTTCTAACAATGTCCAAGGGCACTTCAGCTTGAGGGTATGGGAGCAGTGTCAAAGGAGTACAATTCAATACTCCGAATAACCGTGTGGAATCTGTCCATTTCACCCGCAATGCTAAGGTGGCCAAACGTCGGTATCAATCTGATCAAGTGCCTCGGCGCAACATCGAGATGAGGTCAGTGGCAGGGAGATCCCCCGACCAGACAGGGGTCAGGAGTTAAAACCTGAGGCTCTAAGGCTAATAGATTCCTTGGCTCCTCCACCCATTGTTGGTCCGTCTTAGCGTTACACAACACACGCACGACATGTTACACAACGTGAGGTTCGCATGTTTCATATCGAACTTCAGCTAGACGACATCTGACTGATTTCACTGCCCTGAGAGGGTGGATCCGAAGTATGGACCATCCCTCTCCATATCCCCATGATGGGTTGTTTGTGCCGTGCGGGGAAGAGGGTACGTGGTTCGAAAGGCATCCTGCTGATGATAAGACACCCAAGGACTGGGCAAATTGTGCGACAGACATATGCGACAAGTACAGCTTCAAATCCCTCAAACTGTGAACGGCCAGTCGCTTTACGGTATATTGATCAACTAATTCCCACCCACCTGGTTCGATATGCAACGGCTCAGGTCAGCCCAGTAACCGAAGCCGCTTATGCATGATCCTAGACACCGGAATCGCACAACTCTATCCGCGGCCTTCGAATGGTGTATAAATCCGACCGCTTACAGCTCTTAGACCGTTCCGTCCACACATACGTACTAGAACGTGCAGATATGCCAGCGGTAGCCTATCGGTATCACAATTAACTGCATCATCAACGTGTCCGACTGGAGGGGAACGGTGGGGTGATGAAAATAGATAGGTACTTCACGTCCCAGCTCGTTCATCCACTTCCTTATCAGTCTTCCTTATTTTCTCCAATTCCCAGTCATCAATTGAATCCTTTCTCGTGTCGATTTCCGTAATGGCCCCCCTTCAAAATCTTGAACAGCTAGCGGACGAGATCCAAGGCCTGGCGAAGACGGTCTCCGCATTCCTAGGCACGACGAACGGATCAATTCCGAACTTCGATGCGGCGGCGCCGGATGTACAGGCAGCGCGGCAGAAGCTTCGCGATGTGTCGAAGGCCATCTACGACATCACGACTGGCCCGAGAGAGCGCCTGATCAACCTGACCACAGGCGTGAGTAGCCATCCGTCCGCCGTCATCAGTGGACCATCATATGTTGATACTCGCAGTCTACCGTCCTTTCCGCGTCCCTGCGCTGGATTTACCAGTTTCGCATCGCGCAATCCGTCCCACTGGATGCCCCCATCACATTCACCGCGCTCGCTACCGCTGCTGGCGTCGATGAGTCCCAGCTCAAGCGCGTGCTGCGCTATGCCATAACCCACGGCATCTTCACCGAGCCCACTGTTGGCAGCGTGGCACACACGTCCGAGTCCAAGCTCCTTGGCAACGACCCGTTTATGCAGAATTACATCGGCCATTACTCTGAGCACTCGTTCCACATCGTCTCTAAGATGCCGGAGGCGACGGCGAAGTGGGGCGCGAGTCCGGAGACCACGGAGACCGGGTTTAACGTCGCGTTCGATACGGAGATGCCCATGTTCAAGTACATGCAAAACCATCCCGCGAAGGCGAAGCGGTTCGCGGGGTTGATGCAAGGGATGGCGAGTAGTCCGAGGTATCATCTGCGCCATTTGGTGGAAGGTTATGATTGGGCAGCGCTAGGCAATGGGAAAGTCGTGGACGTATGAAGAACATCTCTCCCGGGTGGTATACCACCCCCAATGCTAAGGCATATAGATCGGCGGCTCTGCCGGCCACGCATCCATCGCTCTTGCGAATGCCTATCCCTCCCTCACCTTCGTGGTCGAAGATCTCCCGCACGTAGTCGCGCAGGGTGCGGAAGCGCTCCCCGAGCCGCTCAAATCCCGGATCTCGTTCCTACCGTTGGACTTCTTCACCCCTCAGCCGGTCAAGGACGCGGATGTGTACATCTTACGCCAAATCTGCCATGACTGGTCCGATAAGTACGCGGTGAAGATCCTCGAGAATCTGCTGCCGGCGATGAAGAAGGGGGCGAAGCTGGTCATCATGGATGGATTGATCCCACCTCCGAATGCTATTCCGAAGTTGGACGAGGCACAGGTCAGGTATGTTGGATGGTCGGTTTCGGTTTTATGATTAAGCATGCGCTAATTTAGAACCAGAATGGTCGACTTGGTGATGATGACCCACTTCAATGGTAAGGAGCGGGATCTAGAAGATTGGAAAGGCTTGTTTGCGCAGGCCAGTCCGAAGTTGAAGCTGTTGAACACCAAGACGCCGGCCGGAAGCGTGTACTCCATTCTGGAACTGGAAATGGAAGAATGAACAATCGCTGTTTTTATTCGACAATGAAATGAAGTCTTCTGGTGTTCTATAATACGCTCCCTACCCCAACCGAATCCTGTTTGTCCGTCTCTTAATATTGTCACCACCCATAGATAGCAATACCAGCCCAATGGTGTAACGTTGCGTGACAAGAAACGCCAAGTCTATTCTAATGCAGCAGAACTATCCCATCAAACGCCACAATGCAGAAGTCGTGACCATCAATCCTCAGTATCCCTAAGCTCCAACTGCTCCGTCATCTTTTGTCTCCAAGCCTCCCCATACTTCTTCATGGTGAGGATGACAAAGGAGCCGCTGATAACGGCCACAAGACTTAATATTGTGCAGAGCCAACCATTCCCAATGGCTCCAATCAGTGGCTCGGCAATCAGGGCGCCGACACAGGAGAAAATGTTGCGGACGAAGTTGTTGACCGCCACACCGTTGGAGGCTCGGCCGGGGAGAAACTCCGTAAGCATCGTGGCGGACATAGCGAAGACGATCATGGAACCCATGCCGAAGAAAAAGTTGCCAATCATCTACAGATATCGTAAGCAAAGCGAATGAGACGGCTGAGAATGTTAAATGCGGATATTTACCGGCACGATCCAGTGAATGCCGTTCTCAACAGTCCAGCCGTACCAGAGGAGCGCACCCGGAAACAGGATCGCACTGATCCAGGCGTTCTCCTGCATCCGGTCGACCGGACTCAAGAGCAGCTTGCCCCTTTCGTCTACGGTTCCCCGTTTCTTCGCTTCCCTTATCATGACATAATCCAGCCAGCGTCCACCGAAAACACTGGTGAGAAAATACCCCAGGCTGCTTGGGATATAGAGCAACCCAACAATGAGAGTGGAGAAGTTGTATGGTGCATGGGAAAAGCTGCTGGAGACGGAGATGTTGAGGAAATAGAGGGAACCAAATGTAATGGATGCGTAGTAGACTGTAATAGCCACGGCTGGGAAGCGAAGGAGCAGGATTATGGAGAGAGGATCGATGATGGAGCGACGGAAGAAACCAAGGAACCGCTTGGTTTTCAAATGGACAGATTTAGTTGTGGATATTTTAGTAAGAGGTTCGACTCGAGGAGCAGAGTTCGATTTCGTGGTTCGAACCGGCTGAGCAGGTTCAGAGGCATCGGTGATAGCATTCTCCAAATCCTTCTCTTGTTGCGGCTGATTACAATTATCTTCCGGCTCCACGTCATTCGTATTCTCCTCCTCTACCAGAATTGAGCTCCTCGGTAAGGTTTCAGGGAGACCAAATGTTAGCAATATTGTTGTGGCCACACCGAATGCAAACAGGAACCACTGTGTGGACCTCCAGCCTTGCGTTTCCGCCATTGCCCCTCCAAAGATCGGGGCAAGTAATGGTCCACATAGCGGGCCGAGATAAAAGATACCCATTGCTTTTCCACGCTCTTTTGGTTCCCATATATCCGCTATACCCCCCGCACCTACCGCCTGCACGCTCGCCGCCGCGCCGCCAGATAGTACTCGCATTACGATCAGCATGGCAATATTGGTTGAGACGGCGCTCAGTAGTGCGAATACGGCGAAGAGGAAGAACGAAAAGATCAAAACGGAGCGCCGCCCGAGCTGCTCACTGAACGAACTCCACCATAGTGGAAAGATGGACATACTAAGCATATATAACGCAACTGACAGATTCGTGACGGTGGGCGTGGCACCAAGATCGTCAGCAATTAGAGCGAGGGCGGGTAAGATAATTGCGGAACCCATAGGGGCGGCTGCGGCGGAGAGTGCAATGACAGCTGTGACAGCCCATTTTGTACGGCCGGTGTAGCAATAGGGGTTGGTCACTTCGGGAATGAGAGTGAAGCGCGAGAGGAGGCCTCGACGCTGGTGGCGAGGGACGATGACAGGGGGTGGAAGGACAGTGCTAGCACAGGATTGTTCCTGGCGGAGACCTAGATCTGGAGGAGACCTGTGAGAGTCCTCTGCGGCTATGGGGGTGGAAGATTCGCTGGATGTGGAATGAACGGTAGAAGGAGTTCCCGGACGAGATATGCCATCCGTCCTGTCTGTGAGAGATTTCGGTCTTGGTGCTGTAGAGCTTTGTGAAGTCTCCTTTTCAAGAGATCGCTTTTCTGGGTCCAGTTCCGCATTGTTCGTTGGCATGTTGTAAGGCGGAAAGGCGCAAATGCGGAACCATGGACTTTCGATGGGACAATGACCCCGCGATTAGTCCGGGGATGATATAATGACTTTTTAAAGGAACGCGGACTGGAAAACATGAGATGCGAGTTATCGTCACTAAATAGAGATCGACTTGCAGGCGAGAAAAAGCTTGACTTAACCAGTTGATTGAGTGAGTAAAGAAACACAGGAATTCCCACAAGAAAAAAAAACAGAGATCTCCTGGAGCCCTGGCTAGGAGTCATCCCCGCCGGTTAACGGTTGAAGTCCTAAACTGTACTCAACCGAATATGCAGCTGTTGGTGGAGATCCCAATCGATCCCAATGGTGGTTGGGGTTCTAGGTTCGTTATGTGCCGATTTTACCGAGTCCAGGTCGATCAAGCCTTTTGCGATCGAAGCTTGGCCATCTCCGTCGATGACCCGGCTGTTCCTATTGTCAGATTCTACAGAGAAGGTTCCACTGTATAAAGAGATTGTGAGGGTTTGGATCAAAAGGATTCAGGGACCAAATATCGTCATTGAACTGCTAAAGAGGAAAAAGTGAAAGAGAGGTTTCTCCCTAGATCTCATCTCAAATAACTACTGTGTGGGGTCAGAGTAATGAGTAATCCGGTCAAATCGTGCACAGGCCCCAACAACCACGAGACGCGTCAAACCGACTCTAGATCTTAGATGATCAATATCTTCATCAATTTTAATGATGGAACGCTCAATTTTGGGTGAAATTAGCGGGAATCGGCGTAAGGATGCAAATCTTACGCCAGAACAGCGATCTGCAATCATTGGAATGGTCGACGCGGGCCTAATGTCTAAACGAGCGATTGCGCGCGAGGTCGGATGCTCGCCCTCAACCATCGACTACACAATTGAGAAGTTCGGTACGCAACGAACGTTCAAGTCTCTCCCAAAAGGACACCGACCAAGATGATCACGGAACCTGACTTCCGTTATCTTCAACAACAAATAAAAAAACCCGAAGGTCACTCACAACGAGCTGGCGCGGTCCCTCACATGCGACCAAGGCACCCCGTCCAAGTCGACCGTCAAACGCGCGCTCCGGGGGTCCAAATACTACCGCAAAT